ATTGTATAATATGTTCTTTAAATTCATACATTTTAATGGCAATAAAATATTTATATATTATTTTTTAATGAAATGAAATGTGAGTACAAATTTTATAAATATTGAGATTATACTTTTTAATTAAAAATATATATAATTAGAAATGCCAGCAAAGTTCAAAATGTTAATGTTTAGATTTCTATATTTAAATAATATTTCAAATAGATATTAAAAATATGAACTGATATGTATTTATATTTATTAAATAAATATTTTAATCCATTTTAATAACATTCCTTTAATATTATAACCAATATTAAAAACTAAGTTTATTACACTAACCAATTTTACATGTGCTGTACGTATAATTTTTTGGATAAAAAGATTATTTTAAATACGATAAATATAATTTTCTGAATAAATTTAATTTCAAGAATTAAGCAAATTATAATATACAATCTCATTAAAAAACCAAAATAACATTTATTAGTAAAAAATACAAATAATAAAATGACACTTCTATTCCAAAAGTGCGTTTCAATAAATGTATAGTTACAACTTTTTAATTTGTTTTGATTTAATTTAGCGTATTATTGAATTTGAAATTTGTCAAAAACACAAGATAAGAGAGATGAAAATTTTAAGAATACGTTTTCTCAATCATCTAATATGTATAATTTATCATCACATTACTCAAAACAACCTTATAACTTGTCCCGCTACCCCTTCTTTCATTTTCTATTAACCGCTGTTCTTTTTCTTCAATATCAGTAGCACAAGAAAGATCAACACTTGATATAATTTTACTTTCATATAATAAAGAGCGCCATCTAATATTAATCAGTCAAGCCAATGTCAATTTTATTTTATATTATCTGCTGAAATGAAAAAGTTTTCATTCGATTATCTTAATTTTTTTAATTCGTTTCTACGTCTAACCTTTTTATTAATTATTTAATGTTAGAGTCAGACGTTTGAGGATATGAATGAAAGTATCTGAATTTTATTTAATTTATTTTATTAACAAATGTATTGTGTTTAAATTCATTCATTTTCATTACATCATTAATAAAATACTTCACCTTTTATTCTTATGTAAAAACTGTAATTTAAAAAAAAATTAAAAAAAAAACAATTTAATTCACAATAATAAATATTAAAACTTTAAACAATTGCTTAAAAAATTGAATAAAAAAAATGAATAATGAATTATGATAATTAATCACTTGCACGTATAAATTCTATTTTCGAAATTCATTTTTTAAAATTATATACAGCTAAAATTTAAATAAATAAAATAAGTAAGTTAGTTTTAAAATATAATCAAAAGTATTAATAAGTATTTCCTACATCTAGTGACAAATATTAGACAATAAGAATTTAAAGGATATACAATTCTATACAAATCTAACTATTATAAAAAGATTTATAGTAACTACTTAAAAAAATTGAATTCTAAAAATATTAATTATATTTCTATTAGTTACTATATTTTTTTCGAAAATTTATCTTATAATTCATTTACATGCTTACATATCTTTGTATAACACATTTGAACATAATATATAACTTATGAATGTAATAATTAAGGAATTCAATTAAAATGATATACTAGTTTTAGAATCCATATCAGTACAATATTTTTTCGTAAGTAAATCTTAAAAATACTAATTAAAAATGCTCATAATACGAAAGAAATTTTCACTATAAAATTAGATTTTTAATTTTGTTTGGCAATGATAGATTAATTTCTAAGCTCTAAAAGACTTAAGCGACCTATCATACATTTAATACATAGATAGAATCACAAAATATGTGTTATAAAAGTGAACTACAAAAAGTATTGAATTATTTATAAAAAACAGCTACAAATACAATAAAACTAATCAAAATGTACATTATGTAAAATTATCCCTTTTACTTCAAGTAGTAGTTCATACTATTTAATTCCTTAAATATATGAATATATATTATATTTTATTATTAATAAATTTTATTATTCAATGTTTCGTTACAAATTTTCTAATAAACCTGCCAATTATTTTTTTAACGTGTATGTTCCTTTATAATTTTTTTTGTTGCTATTTTATGAAAAAAAATTAATTTTGTGTATATATATGTATGTAAAAAAATATAATGTATTTATATACATTCTTTTCTCTATACCGCTTTTAATATATAACATTTGAAATAGAACTATTAAAATATAATATAAGCAAATAGCTTTTTTGTACATCTTACAGTTTATATTCAATATACACGATTTCATAATTGAAAAAACAACAATGTTTCGTTACAAGCTTGATCATCATGTTGAATCGGCATTCAAAACAAAATGAACAGCTTTTTGTTCCTTATGTCTATAGACAATCTATTTATTTAATATATTGAAACCCGTAACTTTCAATCTAATTATTTCTATAGTAGCCATTCATTACGTTATTTATTTTATATACTTTATTTAAAGTATATGCGAAACCGATGACCATGTTAGCTGCTTGACAATGCATTTTATTATATATTTAAACAATTTACTTAAAAGTCAAAACTTGTAACAGTAATTCTTTTCACAAATACTAATGAACATAATATTACTAGGTATTGGAGTAGAAATTTATTGAGTTAAAAATTATTTTTAATTAATTAAAAATTAAATTTGACAAGATTATTAGTAAACTTTTATTAATTTGTAATAAAAAGATTAAATAATAAACATATGGTTTTAATCACTTTGACATATTTTCAAAATCCAATTTTTTACTATAAACTGTAATTTTATTTTACTACAATATATTCTACTATAAAACACAACTATATTTTACTATAAACTACAATATTTAAATAAAGTAAAATTTCGTTAATCGCTCTCATGTATTCATACATAATTAAGCCGTAATAAACGTATAATAAAAAATAACCTTATGCTGAATAGATAGAAACATATTTATTACACTTTATATTTTGAAAGTTATAAATAAATAAATAATAACTCTTCTAATAAAACAGAAATTCTACTTTCAAGCAATAAGAATAAACATTTAGAAAATATTGATTTTTTTTATTACAAGCATTTTTTGTATTTAGCTTTGCTTTTAACTATATATTATTTAAGTTGTATGAATAACAAAACTTTATTTATGTTCCATTATTCATTTATCTGAAAGAACAGTGCATAAGTTACCTATACAATTATGTTGAAATATGTATTACTTGATTCACAATGTTTGTTAGTCTTACAATATTGTCTTCTTGTATTGGATTATTAAATTAATCTATTAGATCAATCATCTATTAGATCAATTTCAAGAAAACAAGGAACGGATCATTTTTGGATTATAGCAAATCTTGATTAATAGTTTATACCTCAATGATCAAATTCATATAAAATCTCAGAATAAACATTGTCATTACTGTGAGATCTTTGAGAATACATTACACATTTATTCATTTACGTCATAGCTAATTTTCATTATTTATCAAAAAGTATTAACTGGATATTATATTTATCAAAATTAAATACGTGCATCTTCACTGCATTTACTTTAACACATATGTCTTTCTTAATAACAATGCAAATTTACTTTATTTTTATCCATTTAAGAGAAAATTATTTCAGTACAATAAGTAAAATCAAATGGTTTGTCAAAATCAAAAAATTTGTTTTTACATCTTCGACTTTTTTTATAGAAATCAAATTTTTCAATATTATTCACTACCTGTACCGTGTTTAAGTGAAATGTATAAAATTGCTTACGTGATATTAGTTTAGCCTCTACACTTATATTTCTATAAAATTACATAGTTTGTCAAATGATATGTAATAACATCCACTGAATTTTGATACCTAAAATTTTCTTATGAATCAAGAAAAATAAATTAATTTTTTGCTAATTATTTCTTTTTATTTAAATAAATATATCACTTGTAATTTTAGACAATATAATATAATAAAATGTCTATAATCCACATAATTTAAAAAATCCTATATTTTATTCATGTGCTAATATGTGAAAAGTATTATTTGAATATAAGTTACTTTATTAAAATTCCAACTTCATTAAAATACTTTTTTATCCAATTATTTAGCACTTGTTAAACAAATTTAAAGCAAAATTTAAATAGAACAAATTTTACGAAAATTCTTCTAATATAATTACACTTTATAACATCAACTGCTTAAAGAATTTCCATAAGTTTTAATTTAATTTAATAATTTGTTTAATTTAATTTTACTGATACATTTTAATTGTATGCAAAAAATATTTTTAAGTCAAACTTTCAATAGCAGATAAATACTTTAATCACATTATAAAAATTCAAATATATATTTAAATATATTTTCTTTAATAAAATTAATAAAATTTCTTAAACATTATGAACAAAACATTAATTTAATTGTAAAATTGAAATTAGATTATTTAGATATTGTATTATTTAAATATTTAAAAGAAAACACAATTATTATTCGATATTTTTATAATTTATTATTATATTATATCCACTGTATTTTATCTGCCCTTCAACTCTTTCTATTACTATTTAAATTAATTTTATTATTTTAAACCATACTTGATGTAGAAAAAATTTTTTTTTATTTCTTGTAAACTAATTATAAAATTAATGTGATATTAAAAATTGTTTATTTTTTACTTTTTACATTATAAATATTATATACTTTTTCGTATTATAAAAATATGCATTTAATCTTAAGAAAAATTAATTTTCCCGGTGAACTTAATAATATTGGCTCCCTCTTTACAAATGTCGATAATATAAACATATTTCAATCGATAAAATAGTTAAGTTATTATTTTGCATTATTATATATGTAACAAAAATATAATACGTCTACTATCGATATTACTTCCGTAGATTGATCATGTAACGGTAAGTATTCACCAAAAAATCATATTCGGCAATTCCATATCTTAATAAGACCACTATGCATAAAAAAATGCATGAATGCATTCGCGCGCGCGCATACACCCACACATGCGCGCGCAAATCGAACCTACACTAATCTCTTGCATGGCGTTGCTAATCAGTTTTAGTCTACCTGTAAAAAAGCTAAACGAAACATCCAAATTGAATTAAAAAACTAAAGCAAGAAGATTATGAGAATGTGCGGAACTTTTATTTGTTAGTAGGTAAACCAATGAACTTAATAAATGCCTTCCTCCAACATCAGCCGCGTGAGACGGCGTTCTCTATAAGACAACGCAACACGGGAGCTTCAGAGAGCTACCGCAGACGACGCCATATTAAAAGGTGAGCCGAGCACTGCCGAAATGGAGGAAAATCAGAGATCGGAGACGGTCGCCGTATTGCCGGACATGTCCGAATCGCTGACGAGCGAAACCGACGAAAGTCAACAGCGTCAATTGCAGCAAACTACAACGGCGACGACGGTGGTGCGTGCGAGTGTGACAACAACGTCGGCTGTCGCGACCACCGTTGTATCACAGAGACAGGAGGTTGCGACAGTCGCCCATCCGGTCGCTGTCGCAACCAATATTGCAACCACAGTAACCACCGGCGTCGGGGCGCCGGTCTCCCTACCCGTAGGTTCGATTATTGGAGTTGCTAATTCAAGTAACGGCACGACTTTCAATGTCATTACTTCTGATCAACTGCAGGTGGGTGAATTACGAGCTTATATAAGTATAAATACGTTGATTATTTATATTATATATGTATGTAATTTGTACCTTGACAATGTACAATGAGTAGATAAACATATTAAATCTATTATTTTTACTTCAAAGTTATTTAAAGTTACGTTTAAAATGTTTGCTTTTGCTATTTCATGTTTAATATCTACATGAACATTCTTTTTGTTTTATAAAATTATTATTTTTTTTAATTTTTAAGAAATTTCAATAAATATTTTATAAATAATGTAAAAGTGATCATTACTTGTATATTTATCTTCAAATGTAATAAATATATTTTTATATAAATAATTTGTTTCTTTCAAAACAATAAATAATCAATTTTGCTAATTTTACTTAAATTTTAATTAAATTCTTAAGTTATAACAATTTTTCAGTTACCAACTCCAGGTCAATTTAAGCAAATGTTATGTGTAGATAATGGTTTCCTTTGCGAATCCAGAGGAATTGAAAAAAATGATCCCCTTAGATGGAATGGAGAAATAAAAGCAACTCATATAGTAATTCAAAATAGTACAGAGGATAGTGAAACTGATCCAATACATGTTTCATCTGCAGCATCAAATTCATTATGCAGTTGGTCAGAGTGTGCAAACATGGCAGTTTTGCCAATCAGATGTAAGAACACAAATGCTGAATTACATAAAAATAGGTTTGGCTCTGGTGGTCGAGGACGTTGCATAAAATTGGGTAATGAGTGGTATACGCCTAGCGAATTTGAAGCTTTATGTGGTAGAGCATCTAGTAAAGACTGGAAAAGGAGTATTCGCTTTGGTGGAAGAAGTTTACAAGCATTAATTGATGAACAAATTCTGAGACCACATGCTACTTCTTGTACATGTTCTGCATGCTGTGATGATGATAGTGCAGTAAGTAAAAGAGATAAATTATATGTCATGTTTTTAACTTAATTAACATAAATGTTAATTACGATAAATTATATATTGTTTTTTAAGAATTTAAAATTTTTAAATATTTTGGTTTTATAAGCCTTTAGTATTAAATGATATATAAATATTTTTACATATAATATACTACATGTATTATAATATATTATATTATAAAATTAAATAGTCCATTATCAATGATATACTAAAAAGTATGTCAAATTTTTGTTATAATAAAAATAACTTTATATGTTTGGATATTTAATTAATTTTTAGGCTGGACCAATTCGACTATTTACCCCCTACAAAAGAAGAAGAAGAACAAGAGAACCTATTGATGGAGAAGGACCACCACGTAAGTTTAAAGGAGAAAATTCTAGAGATGGTAGTAATAATGATGATAGCGAAAGTGAACTTATAACGGAAAAAGGATGTTGGCCATCATTTGTATCAACAGATGATATAGTAGTACAACATGCTCAAGAAACAGAACAAGTAGTTACAAATGTTCATCATCAAACCGAAAATGGACACAGTGAAAGTAAATTTCAAAAATTAGATGAAATATCTAATAAACTTTTAAAGATTGTTTATGAATTTAGGAGAGTTATTGAAGAATTTAAAGCAGAAGAAAATAGGCAACAAAGAAGAGAACAAAATTTAGTATCACAGTTAGGTGGTAGAGCTGAGGTAATAGAAACCGTTGGTTTACAACCAGCTTCAGATTCTCATAATAAAAAGGTAAAATTATTTACTTATTTTTTAATATATAAATAAATTCGATATTGGTTATATTAATGTAATAGATTGTATATGTACTTTGATTCTTATGTAATAATAGGGAGTATTTATAATAAATACAAAAATATTATTAAGCTTATATATACAGTACTTTTCAGTTAAATTTTCGTTATGTATTATTTAAAATGTATATAAGATCCTGAGTTTTCATACACATAATTATACATTTAGCTTAATTTATATCAAATAAACATAATCGTAAAATACATTAAATTATTTACAAATACTTAATTCAACATTTGAAATTTAAAATTAAAAATAGATGGCATATTATATACAGATTACATAAAACAAGATTTACTATGAAATGTTATAATAGAAATATAATTTAAATGATATCAAAAATTGATAAATTGAAATAGGACTTTTCTATTTTACAGTGTGCAAATTGCAATAGAGATGCATTTGCAGAATGCTCATTATGTCGACGAACACCTTACTGTTCCACTTTTTGCCAACGAAAAGACTGGAACATTCATCAAGTTGAGTGTGTGAGAGATGCTGCTGAAACTGTGATGCTTATTGTCGAAAGCAGCACTGGTGATACAAGCGTCTTGCCTGCTCCAACAGGAGATCAATAGCTAGTGTTCCTAACACCAATTTGTTATAAAAAATACATCAACCTTATTATTAAGAAGAATATAAGTCCTTTGCATTACGTGTGAAAAATACTTTTGTAAATACTGAATTGTAACATTATATGACTGAAAAAAGTTTTTTGTGCAAAAATATTTTAAACAATTCATTAACATAAAATACATTGTAAAAATATTACTAAGACCTCAACAAAATTATATAATTATAAGATTAAACATTATTTTTATTTGTATAGATAAAATTTAAAGTGTGTTATAACGATGCAAATTAGAAGCAAATTCAATTCAATTATTAAATTTTAAATAATAAATATACTTGAAAAAATTAATTTATCTATAATTAGATTTTTTTTTAATATTTAATAGTAACTAAAAACTCAAAATATTGATATATATTATTGGAAATATTTTATATATAAACTAATCTCAATATTCTTTGGATTCGTCTAAAGTATTCTTGTTTAAATTTGTTATTATTTCAAATTAACTATTACTTAAAGGATTTATAGATGTATAATCGAAAAATTTTAATATTAATTGATAATTAAATAGAAATTATTTTTAATGTAAAAGCGTGTAAGACTTTTATTTAAATAAGCTTTTCTTACTAGTTATTTGATGTTCTATATTAATATTATCACTAGTTTGAAAATTTTGTAACATTACATTTTTAATAAATTCTAAATTAATTTATAGTTTGAATCTATAAATATTCTAATAATAGTATAAAATTAAATATATGTTTTCAAGAATGCTATGTAATTTATTATTTATATATTAATTTATTATATATAATATATTAATCATTAATCATTTGCCATTGCTTAAATGATTCAAATAAAATCATAGTAAATTCATTATTATTTCTTTATAATATATTTCACAATATATATTCTTAAAAAAAAAGTTAATTTTACAAAGTCATTAAAATAGATATCTATTATACATATTTCAGTTTATATGTACAATAGTTAGATATTTAATATGTACTAATTTCTAAAAATTTAAAAATATATAAATGATATAATTACAAGTATGTTAACTATTACTAAATATTTAATTAATAATAAATATTTCATTACCATATTTATTATGAAAACTACTGTCACTGCTTTAAAACATTTTTATACATATATATGTATATATATATAGCATATGTATTTTATATATTCAATTAATGAGTAACTCCATAATAAATAATATTGTAAATACCAATTTTATTAATTTTTAACTACATTTTATAAAATTCAAATTCCTCATCTACAAAATCAGATAATCTAATTTTCTATTATAATAATTTAATATTTATAAGGTTTATAACATTTATAATATTTATATGATAATAATTTTATATTATACAGTTTTTAAAATTATCAAGATAGATAAAAATCCATATTACTATATTCAATGATCTTATAAGACATAAAAATAAAAAAATAATACAATAAGCTCAAAAATAAATGTTAGTTTGCTATATTTTAAAAACATATTATTAAATTTGTTCATCGAAAGTATACAAAGATTAATTGAACTTTAAAGTATTTTATTATTGATAATTACCACCTTTCTCACCAAAAAAAAAATATAATGCTATCGTGCAAAAAATCATACTTTAATATATTATACAGAAAAATAAATAAAATATTTCATTATTTCCTATTTTTATTTATCATTATTATAATAAAATAAATATTTTTTCTAATTTTAGTACTTTTTTTTTAAATATTAATGAAATAAAAGTAACATCATCTTTGTCGCGAATTATAAATTCAAATGAGTTTTAGTATTAAATAAAATTTTATAATTTAATAATACTTTTATTAATTTGTTATTTATAAATCAATTTATTTTTAAATTAACCTTAGATAAAAAAATATTATTTTAAAATATTAAAGTTTAATGAGAAATAACACTTAAAAATTAACAAATTACTTACAACTAATGTTTTAATTTTTATCTATTTACTTTTTATAGTTACTTAAATATATAATATTTAATTATTTATTCACATTCTTAAAAAAAATTTTTACGTGCCACTCATAATACAATAAACTTATAATTTTTACATGTGCAATAGTAATAATCCTGATGGTCAATATCAATTGATCTTATAATGAAGTATTATAGTTGTGCATATTAGATAAACTATAATATTAAGAATTAATAAGAAGTAATTAAGATTTTTACTATATCTAATAACGATGACTTTTTAAATATAATTTAATAAAATCAATGTTGCAAATCATATTGTTAATTAAAATATTATCAAGACAAAAATAATGGTCAACATCATTTTAATATTCAAGTACAACAAAATATTAGTAATTTTATTTAATAAAATGAAATAATTATATGTACAAAATTATAGAATACATTTATTTACTTCGTGAATGTGGATGATCCAAACTAAATTATTCTCATTTATGTGACGATTAAGGCACTCAAAATATAGTGTATATGATGATTAAAGAAAATTTAATATATTTCTTTGAAACAAAATTGTGATAAAAATATAATAGCATTAATATTTGAACAAAAATAAATAGATAAATGAAACTAATGAATATATTCCAATATATGTATGATGATTTAAATACACCACGCTATGAGGAGATAAATTGAATAAACGCTTATAATAAATACCTTATTACCTATATAAATAACAATGCACAAGAATCTAGAAAAACATAGACTTCAATGTTTATTTTATAAAATACTATATATATAAACATTATGTAATAACATTGAAATAGAGTACGTAAACATTAAAATAGAGTACAATAGCTTCGGTGCTCAAAAAGTAATTCGTTAAAATAAATCACATTCACGAAAGCCGGCAATTTCCTAATTCTAGAAATGCGAAAACTATTATTACTTTTTTTATTATATTATCTTCTTTGTCCTAGATACTTATAAATGTCATATTACATCAATTCATATTATTTGTTCATTAATTTTAACAGCAATCTTGCAAAACCGAATATATTAAATATTATTCATTATAATATTATATTCTTATTTATAAATCTACGTATATCTTTTATTATTATAATTTTTAAACTATTTACTTTAATGAATTCAGAAATAAAAATTCTCAAACATTATATACCACTATTATTGAAACTTGTAATGAGACTATTTTACTCTAATTCATGCTTTGAATGTTTTATATATAAACTAAAGTAATATATATTATATATTTATGCATTTAAATCTAAAGAAAAGTATTTGTTTTAATACATATTGCTTATTAATAAAAACTTTAAATATATTTAAAAATAATATTACACTCCCATGATATAAGTAAATAATTGATTAAATTATTTATAATCAAATTTATTTATTGCAATATTGCTTTTAATAGAAAATACTTGAATGGAAAAAATTTTATGTTGAATATCCAACAATAATTATTCTCTCCATAAATTATTGATCAAATACTTTTAACAAAATTCTGTTTTTATTTTTTATATAAAAATACAATTTAATTATCAAGAAATACTTGGTTTAGTAAAAAAAAAAAGTTTATTTACCAAAATATACAAAATAAAAATATTATAATTCAAAATATGTATAAAACTATTACCAAAAATAAATCTCAAGAAAACTATTAACATTGGATTTTTTACATTCTTTCTTCAAAAGTTATCTCATTAACAATCAAATTATTCTTCTTTACATTAATAAACTTCAAAAATCAATTTCGTTGAATAAGCTTGTTATGTGATGGCATTTATATATTACATTAATTATTTTTTCTACAAGACATTCAAACCGACACAAAAATAATGCTATTTGAAAGACAAAATAAATGCAAATGTTTATTTATTAATTATATTTAATGACCTAAAATTCTTTCTGTCTGAATTTTTGTGTCTTTAATTATTAATTTTCTTTTACAGGAATAAAAAAGAATTAACAAGTTTCTATTATTTTAAATTTTTGTTAAAAAAACTTTCAAATATGTGAATTGTATAATAAACAAAAATGGACAAACTAGATGTGACTAAATTGAGAATAAATAAGAACTCGACTTTATTTAAAACCCACTAGCTAAAGGTAATATTAGGAAATCTAGTTTGAAATGAACGCTTTAAACAATTTTTATTCTTTAATCGGTTGAAATTTGTTAAGTAAAAGAACAATATCATTAAAAAAAAATTCACTAGACCCTAATATTTAAATTGGTAATATATTAATTACACAATGTCATAAATATGAAGTTAATTTATATATTCCAATTTAATAAATATAATAAATAATACGATACTCTCTATCTATTTGTAACATTTGCTAATATTTTTAATACAAAAATATGAATTTAAATTTATTTATTGAAAATATTTAGATTTAATAATAATAATGTAACTATTAATATTACTTCTTATAAAATGTTCAATAATTTTTAAAATTTTATTTTGCATAAATAATAAATAAATCAAATAATCACGTATTATTTTCTATTTATTTGAATCATAAAAACCATCCATTTACATACATTTGAAATATTGTTTTCACATTTTGCATTACTGGTTATTATAAACAAATTTTTTTATTCATAATTTTTTTCTAACACAAATTTAAAACAATTTATTTTACAAAACAAACTAACACGATGGTTTTTAGTATTCATTATAGAAATTTCCGACCTTTGATTATTGAAAAGAAATGATACTCGCGACTATTCTACACAGAATCTATTATTTTTAGAGCAATAATTTGAAAATTAGAAATAAATGCAATATTTTTTTTACAATCAAACTATTTTTATTGATTATAAGCATTACACTAACCAGTTCTTAAGGTAACAATGCTGAATTTCTGGCTCTATCCGTTTTTAGTATTAAAATTCAGCTTATATTTTCATAGTAATACCTTATATTAATAATATATTTAGTATCATTTGTAGCATTTTGTAATACAATGTAAAATAAAAAATAAAATGTTTAATTAAGCAAATTTTGTATTATTATTTACAACAAAAACGTATTTTATTACTAAGTTTATAAAATCATAACTGCTCTTTTAAGAGATTTTTCTTTGTTTTTCCGTTTACTATTTCTGTTTTTTTGACTTTTGGTAGCTTCTTTAAATAACTGTACTCCTTCTGTTTCTTCAATTTCACGTTGAATATAAGTCATTCCAAAAAGATTAAAACCTAATGTGTTCTAAATTAATAATATAAATATTTTAAGATTTGATATTTTAAAATACACTTATGGATAAATATTATAAATAAGTTTATACCCTTAATGCAGATATTTGTTCTAATGCAAGTGATTTAATTTCTTCAATTTGAGGTAATAATTCTTGACTTGTAACAATTGGCCCATGATGAGCTTGAATTAAACTTAAAGTCAATTTTGCTATTAATTCTGCTTGATATTGTTTCTTTAATAATTTAGGTAACATTTGTAGAATTTCACAAGCAGCAGAATATGGAAGTAACATTACGGCTTCATCAAAATCACTTTAAGAACAAATAAATAAATATAAATTGATGTACTTTTATTAAATTATCAGATTTTTATTACCTTGCATGAACTCGTTTTATAGTCTCTAGTAAAAACTCTTCGATAGTATTGCATTTATACGATTGCATTAAAAGAGGTAAGGGTGGAATAGTATTTGGAGAAGTGACATTCAAACAATCTTCTTTATACTTTTTACATATATCCAAACATTCAAGAATTAGCTCAGCCTTAAACATATTAAAATATGTTTTACTAAATTTAATTACTTATACTAAATATATATTGTATAAATTTTACTCACTGCTTTTTCACTATTCACTGTTTTTCGTGTAGGTAAAATTTGATTTTTTCGTCCTTGAACTGATGTTCGTTCACCTGTTATTAGTTCACTCATTTGTTTTTCTCTTTCTTCTTCCGCTTCATCTTCAAGAACCAAAATTTCTGAACTTCTGTTATAAATGCGTACAACTTTATCTGAGCCACAAGAAACAACGTGCATACCATTAGGTGATACAGTGCAATTAAATGCTTGATCAACATGACCCTAATTATAAATAAATTTATAAAAATATATCTATAAATATTTTAAAAAGAAAAGGAAAATTATACGTACTTGTAATGTAACAATCTTTTGAAAACTATCTGCATCCCATTCTTTAACTTTACCGTCTTTACCACAAGTGAACAGATAATGGGTTTTTGGTACAAAAGCAATTCCTGTTACTGAATCATCGTGTGCAAATAATGATTTATGACAATCACCAAAGTCCAAACCCCAAATTTTAATATTTCGATCAGCGGATCCGGTTGCAATTAATGTAGAATCAGAAGAAATATCTATGCATAACACTGGTAATTTATGACCATACAAAGATACAAAAAACTAAAAAAAAAGTATATAGTAAAAATTTATAGTCTAAATATAAATTAAGTAATCAATAACATTAAATTAACAAATATTGAAACTATAATGCTTACTTTAAATGTATCGAGAAAAAAAATTTTTACAGTTGAATCCAGTAATGCTGTAGCTATAAATCTATTATTAGGACTAATTCTTACACAAAGTACACTTTCTTCTAATTTTAATGTCTTATAGTGAATAACAGAAAGAACTTTTGCCTTACTATCACTTTCTGGGTCTATAATTAGTTCAAATTGCCAAAACTTTACAGTTTTATCACCACTGCCGCTGACAAAGCCTTTCTAAAAGTATTATATTTATTTACATCTAATAAATAAATTCATAATTAAAAGTATATATCTCACTGAAGAAGGTAATAGTGCTAAGCTCCATAATTCATTTTCATGAGCAGATATTTCTTCTAAAATATCCCCTGATGCAATGTCAATAATTAACATATTTCCATTTTTTAAACCTACTATTAAATGTCTATCACCTGGTACAAAAATAACACTTAGTGCATACCCAGTTTCTACTGTTCTTAAACATGATAAAGTAGATCTAAAATACAAAACCATATTTTATTGATTTAAATTATTATTCATAAGTTCATCTTACCTGTTCCAAAGTTTTACTGAATCCCCACTAACCGTTGCAAATGCTAAGCTATCTGAACTAAAAGCAATCGCCCGAACATCAGTACGATGTCCATGAGAACTGAGTATTCGTAAGCACTGTGTTTCGCTACATTTTTCTGTAATTAATACAGAATGAAGTTCAATGGTATTGTTATTGACAACAGTACATACCTAAATAAATTAAAGTGTAAATTTTAAGACTTATAATAAAAATATTTTGTGAAAAAAATAACTTACTCTGAACTCATCTCCTTGTCCCATAATAATATCTAATGCTTTGACTTTGTTTGAAATTTTTATGACTGGAAGTCGATTAATTTTATCTTTTAAAATTGTATCTAATTCTGATTCATATAATTTTTCTATTGTTTTCTCATTACTATTGCATAACATTTATAATGAAAATTTAAAATAAAAAAATTTTCCAAAAACTATCACTACAAATCAATAATAATAAACATTAAAATTATTTATTACATACCTAGCTGCATTTTTTTTCAATTTATTTATACGTTTTGACTTTTTATTTTTCACTTGATCTTCAGATAAAAAATGAAATAATTCTACTGTATTGTCATTACCATAACAACCGATAACTTGTCCAGTAAAATCTGCGGTTAATTTATTTAATCGTCCCTTACCAACTCTTACAATATTACCAATTTTTGTACAACGTAAAGGATATTTCTAAACAATTAGTAAAGTACAATTAGTAATTAGTAAATAAACAACTATCTATATTTATATATTTGACTTAAAAATTTTAAATACCACATCACTATCACCGTCATCTTCATTTTTTAAATCAATTGATTTTACATTAATATCTGATTTGGAAGTATTAGTAAAATAAATTTCCCAGACATGTAATTCACGATCATTACAGCCTGTCACTAAATATTGATCATTTTTTACCAATGTAAAATCCCAAACCTGCAAAGTTCAATATATTAAAAAAGGGGTTCAAATTTAAATTTACTTGTTCAAAAAAATGTTAACTTTACTTCCGAACGATGATCAATAAGTGTTTTAAAATTATGCTCAGTATTAAGATCCCAAAATTTTACAAAAGTATCTTTACTAGAACTGATAATAATATTATGATCTTTCATGAAAGAAACTTTAGTAATAATACCTTTGTGTCCAATTAATCTACATATTCCAGATTCAGCAACTATATCCCATAAAATAATATCAGTATCCTAAAATATAAATCAATATAATTGTATTTTTTTTTTTAATAATTGTTAAAAGAAAATTGAATATAATTACCTTAGATCCTGACACCAAACGATGGCCGAGATAATCATATGCTAAGCATGTTACTTCTGAATTATGACCAACAAACGTACTTATATTTTCTGCTGTCTCCAAATTAAACGTCTTAATTGATCCATTTGCGTATCCAACTGCAATTTGTTGTTTATTAGGTGAGGCTGCTAAACATGTTGTATTTACATTATCTCCTGATAAAACTTGTACCTGAAAGAATAATTATTTAACATTTCCTGAGAAATTTGTTATTAATATTTTTCTTTACTTTTTCTCCGAGGCGAAGATCCCAAATGTATACATGTTCACAAGCACCAACTGCTACAAATCTTCCTTCTTGACTTTCTAATGTTATAAATATTATATTGCAATTAGAATCTGCAATTAAATTTAAATTACCTCCAGAAATATATCTTAAATACTGTTTAGTAATTCCCATTATATTTTAATTTATGGAATTACGTATTCAAAATATCATAAAGTTTTATTTATAAACAAGCGCTTATAATAAATTTTATCATTTTATTTTTTGAAATGAGTGGAATTATAAATTAAAACTAGAATGAAAATTAAAAAATCGTTCTTGAAAAAACACGTGGTATTCCGTGGTATGTTCGGCATAATTTGTCAAACCATGATGATATATATATATCGAAGAAAGTAATAATGCACCTATTTGAAGCATGCGCAATCGAGATATAAACGTACTGGAACTCAAATACGACCTACTGGATCTCAAATAATTAAGAGAAAATCTGAAGATACATATTGAAATAAAGCAATTTCACCAACATATACAGTTTAAAGAAATGAATATAAATATATTATATATTATAAATATATATTATAAATATAAATATAAATATAAATATAAATATAAATATAAATATAAATATAATAGCTCATGATTATTTCTTTAAAATTTTTTCGATGAATTAAAGTATAATATAATCTGATTAGAATTTATTTATTCATTACTGAAAATATTAACAGCATTCCTACGGCAAAAGAAATAAATATATTCCAGTAATACATTTATAATATTATTTTAATGAAAAAGTAGAAATATTATAAAATATATATTTTTAAAAATATTTTTCAAATAACTGAAAATAATAAGAAAATTACTTTTAATTAATTATTGCCCATAAATAAAAAAATATTTTATAATTTTTTTTTAAAAGGTTACAGGTTATTGTTTACATTATAGAATTCTATTTTTAAATTAAATGACTGTCAATAATCAGTAAATTTAAACTCTACCGATTAACAAATTCATTAATAGCACATATATCGTATATCATAGTTTTTAATTTAATATATTATTTTTATTGTTACTATTAATTTTTTTTTATTTTATCGAATTTAATTGAATTTCGTAGATAGATCGAGTTGATGGTTTAATAAATAACAGCATTAAATTTAATATTCTTTTCAAATTTATATTGCAAAGATTAGAGTATTGATATAACTAAAACAATTTATCAATTCTAAAAAATGAGTCTGAAAGCTGTATTTATACTAAGACGGGAAGTACTTCTGTTCACTCAATACTGATCATTTATGTTTAATTTCATTCTATCCTATAAAATAAACCTGAATTTTCAATATTTATTTATTTATTTTTTATTTTCTTAATTAAATCTCTAAAAGTTTTCTATTGAAATACTTTATAAATGAAAACATTACCTTTTTATAAATTTCAACTATTTCTGGAAATTATGGATAAATTACTCCCAAGAACTAATTTTATAGAAGTATAGATTTGATATCTTGGTATATTATTTTATATCTTCGCATTTATTACTATTTATTATTTCTAATAAACGCATACTTTTCATATTTAAAAGATTTCTTCTTTTTCTTGATTCATTAAACTCTTACTCTTTTAAATATTACTGAATATTACTTTATAATTTTTATTTTTCCGATTTCTTTTTATTAATTTTTACAGGATGTTTATAAAAAAATATATTTTTTTTATTTTTTTATTAAAAAGTATGAGATTAAAAAATTTTCATTGTAGTATGAAATTCGTACTAATTAATAATGAATGATGCGCATACTGTCACTTGATAATTATACAAAAATCTCTATGAAAATGTAAAAATTTTTTTTTTGATTTTAAAAACCTCTGTGTCTCAAATATTCTTATACTTTTTCAATCGATTATTACAGAAAAGTAATATATTATATGAATTTATACGAAAATATTAAATATATTTTTTAATCAATTACTTTTTCAATTTGAATGAAACTAATATTAATCAATTAAATTAAATAACAATATTTTTAAACTTTCCTTTTCTATTTTTTCGTTAAAAAACTGATATAATTTAATATTTTTAATTTAAACATCAGGCTTACTCTTTACTTTTAATAATAATATTTTTATTTAATTGGCAAATATTGATATTATATATCAAATATTTTAATATTTAAGAAATTGAAAAATTAATAGCCTACTTAATTGTGTAAATATGAGATATTTATTCAAACTAGTAAACTTTATTTTTTACATCTAACAAATGAAATTAAAAATATCTAAATCTTTATTTACAAATTTTTACTGCGAATGATACAGTTGAAAAAAGATTAATATTAACTGTGGAAGAAAAAGAGAAAAAAGCAATTTTATTTAACACACAAATTTAGTTTTTGAGATTGGCAAATAATATAACTGTAATATTAAAAAGTGTGCAAGAATTATTACTTTCAAAATTATTGACTAATTAGTACTTCATTTAACTAATGAATGATAATGGATTATTTAATCGTTATTAACAATAATAAGAAAAGAGAAATAATATACTCCTCCTACAACACTATGAATTAAACACCCTCAAGAGAACAATAACTCCTCATGAAGAAATTACTGCATCAATTGAAGTAGTACTGAATCATTGTCATTAATTTATGATATATTTATCAGAATATGAAAACAACTTATTATTTTTATCTTTAAATAGAATTTTTGTTTTCCTAGTTAGAATTAATCATTGTCTTTCAAATCATTAATACTAATATTTAAATTTAGTCAGTTTTATTACATTTACGTTAGTATTATAAAAATTCAATTTATATCTGTCCTGTAATATAGATTATACATTATATTTATCTACTTGTGAAGATATTTGTTTACATAAATCAATAGTTTGATTCTTGAATAGCTTAAAATTTCAATCACTTCGATAATATGATGTTATAAGAAATTTAATTTGAAGATTTTAATTTCCATCCATTCTACTACTAAGTAGAAATGTAATTAGTTGTTTTAAGTCTTCAGTAAAAGTTCACAGAAATGAGTTTTTTCATTTTTATGATTTTTTCATATATTTTTATTATATTAATACCCATTCAATATTTTTCATATTATACAATTTATTTCCGGCTCAAAACTGATTCATATCTTATCTGAGAATTGTATAAATAGATTAAACTATTTATTGATATATAGTTGATTCTTTTTTTATCCTATACAGTTATTCCACACATTTATGCTTGGATTAGTTAAGACAGTTAGCCTGATTATCCTTTGTTAATGGTTTATTATATATATATTCAATTCTGTTAAAATTACTAGTTTTTACAATGTACAAAATACTCTGTTACACCTTAATTTATAACGTATATTTAGCAGATTATATATCAAATTTAATAATGTTAATATACAAATATCAGAATATATCTATAAAAAATTTTGTTTTATGACAATATAAAATTCAATAATTAAAATATTCTAAATTATAAATAAAAATATTAATAGTGTTCATATTTAAAAAGAAAAATATAAATACCCAGTATTTCGAAATGAAGTTAAAAATTTATTTACATTTAATGAAAAATATGTTTTGAAAATGTTTCAATAAAAACATAAATTAATTCGAGTATATATGTTTTCAAATTATTATTTTCTACTGATGCATTGAGAATATATGTAACAATGCAAGACATCATCGACCACGTGGAATTCAAAAAAAAGAATGAATTTAGTAAAATTTGTAGTTTGTTTCTTACTTGTATATTTATGCATATATGAACAATTTTGTATTGATATGCTTTAACTGAAAGAAATATGCTAAGAAATATATTCAGATTTACGTTTTGTAAATTTAAACTGTACTTTATAAGTATTAAATATACTATGTACATTAATTTATGAAAACTTAATGTAATTTAAGGAAATTTAAGCTTAACTGATAAATTTAAATTTTGAATATTTGAATTTGTCAAAAAATAGTATAACATGTACCATTTTCTTAGATTAGTTTTGATTTATATAATTGTTTGATATTGTAGTTACAGTAAATAACATATTTATATTTAAAATGATGCTGAATACGTCAATATGGAAAAGAATTCACATATATTATTTTGTTAAAACTATTTTTTAAAGATGGATCACGAAGAAGAGTTTTTAAATACATTTTTTACCCAAATTACTCAACTTTATTTTGATAAGGCTAAAGAATCAGTGGTAGGTTATCTTGTAAAGTACATTAATCTTGGAACATTTAATTAAAAATATAATATTTTTATAGGAAAAAGAACGAGAATTATGGCGAACAACACAAATGGGACCATGGGGAATGCTGCTTATGCATCTCCCACAAATAGCAGTCACAGAGCGTTCATATGTTGATTTAGGATTTCTACACACTAAAAATAAAGGATTTCTCAGAAAAGATGTACAAATTTATTTATTTATATAAATTACATTATTACTTCATTTATTTTATCTAAAATTTAACATTTTCTAGAATTCATTAAAAACAATGTACGAGTCCTTAAAATCTGATTTAAAAAGAGTAGAAGAAATGACAAGGGGTACAAATACAATTGGAGCAACAGTAGCCGAAATCTCTAATCAATTATGTCAATTTATTACAGCACGAATTCAATTAATTGAATTGTATGTATTTTAAAATATTTCAAAATTTAATATATTTGTTTTTATTATAAATATTTAAATTATGATTCATTAATCTACTAAATATAATTATTTTATTATAGCTATGAAAAGATGTATAATATGAGTATAAACAATAAAGTAATGCGACACCAAGATTTATTAATGTCTATAGAAGGAATTATTGATTGTCATTCACTTTCATGTTCACACTTTTCTTTAAATACTATTAAAGCATCTTTAACGTAAGAAAATTCATTTAAAAATTAATATTTATATAACTTATTTTAATAGAATATATATGTTAAATATATAATATTACTTCAGATTGGAGTGTGAAATATTATTACAATTAATAAAATCATACATTGAAATACAAAATTGGAAATTTTTACCATCTCTTATGGCTTTATATGGAGCTCAAGCTAGAATGTTAGCTTGGGAAAGAATATTACAAAATAGAGAAGTATTTATATAAACTTAATAATACTATGATTGTTCTAATTTAAACAGTATTAAATCTATTTTTTATTAGACATGGAAACTTGGATTTGGAGCAACATTTTTAAAAGCAAATCAACAGCCTGCACTTTACCAATGGTTATTAAAACTAAGAAGTGCTATATTGGCTAAATTTTCTTTTTACTTTCATACAACATTGAGTCAACAAACAAGTTCTAGCGAAATGAGAAATATTATGAGCAAACAAACAATAGATTATTATTACAAGTATATTTACTAATAGTTTTGAAATATATGTGTGATAATAAGTGTAAACGTTAAATTAAAAACAATTTTTTAGATTACAAATTTTCCAAAGAAAATATGATATAGTAGCAGTCTGTATTGTTTTTGATTTACGAGGTATGCAGGATTCTGGACCAGGATATCAACATCCAAAGAGAGAAATTGAAAATGTAGAAAATTTTACGATGGTCATTAGTATTCCTCAAGTAAATTATTTATCAGTTTAATTTTTAAACAAACAAATTTATAAAAAAATTAAAGATTATTACTTTATAGCTTTTCTGTCAAAAACCATTTATTCACTGGAGCAATATTAAGATGTTTATAAAAGAACGTTATGCAGATCTTAAATTAATGGATAAAGTAATATTTAATAGAGATCAAAATGTAAGAATTACCAAAATTATTTATTTTTTAAAAAACTTATTCAAGTTTGTATAAATTATTTTACTTATAGGATGTCTGGATATATGCTATGTGTAATGTGGATCCTCACATGACCTTTATGGTTGTATATGAGAAAGGTAGTAAACAGAGTGATAAAGATGTTCACATAATGACATTCATAACTGATATTTGTATGCAAATGAGATGTAATAAAGTTTTTGAAAGTCTGAAATTAGCTAAGTAGAGTATATGATTATATTTATCTAAAATAAAAATATATAAATGAAATAAACTTCAAAATTAACTTTATTTTAAGCATAAAAATAAGTAAAATCAATGCCTTCATATTTTTAAAAAAATTTAATTTTATTAAAATAAATATATGAATATAAATCAAATTACGAGATATTAATAATTCAATCAATAATATATATCAATTAATTAAAAAATTGTATAATCAATATAATAATATACAAATTAATACATTATTGTCATTTTGTATTTGCAAATTCAATTTACTTCACACAGCCTCTAGGTGTATGTTTTAATTGTTTTGGGTATTAAAATCAATTTTCCAAAAGTGGATTTAATACATATTGATTGAATACATGATTTGCTATGTGAATATAAATTACCCATGGTAGACATGAATAATGATTTCCTATTGGTTAATATACAATAAATTTATATTATTACATTGTTAATTTTTATTTAGAATAAAATTTATAACTCTTTTTATAATTTCTTAATTAATGTTTTATTTATATTATTTGTACTTGTACATATGTGAATAAAATTTTAATTTGACATTTATATTACTTTACATCTTTCCTATTTATTAATAATAAAAATGTTTTTGTATTATCGGGTGTTCGGATGCTCATTTATCTTGATTAACATAGCAAGCTTTTAAGTTTGATGTCTATTGAGATGTGATGTTTTGTTTAACTGTTGATAATGGTAAAAATAAAAATGAAGTTCATAGTATATATAATTTTTCTGGTTATTATAATATAATTATAATAAAATCATTCTGGAAATTATCTGCTCATGATATATATTATTTTTCACTAATATAAAAGTAATGTGCGCAAATTTTAAATAAGATAAGTTATATATCTATTATAATGAATGTGCTTGCGTCCATAGTACGATACGCATTTTAAGGTTTGATAACGCGCTTATAAATTATAATTTATTATAAATTGTTATTAAAAAACAGTAGTAATTAATTATTTTATTTTATATAAAAAGAGATAAACAAATTTTATCATGTTATAATTTATCGTACTACATCAAAGTTTGATTTACTACAAAATAATTTTCCTTTTTCTTCAAGATAAAAATTGAACTAATTATAAAAAAATTATTATAATCAATTCTTTTATTAATTTCCTTGCATCCCTAAGAATTTAACTTACAAATTGAACATAAACATCAAAATTATTACCAATATAATATTCCATAAAAAAGTCTTAATATAATTCGTACAGTAACTTATAGAATTTATGTTAAAAAATAGTGATTACTTGGTATGATACTTAAAAAAAACTTGTCTTTGTAAAATAAAGAATTAATAATAAAATGTATAATTTAAAAATGTTCTATAATTTCATGGAAAATTAAAACTACACAAATTTTGATACTAATAAAAATTTAATTTAATAACATAACTATCAAAAATAATAATTTCAATCATCACTTGAAATTAAACTAAAAATGATTGAGGTAATAAATATAATAAAAATATACTATAATATATACATATATAATAATAAATAAATAAATATATATAATAAAATAAATAAAAATAACTATAATAAAAACTTCTATATTTAAAATTACGTTGATTGTATAAATATAACTTCAGAAAAATTATAGAATTTAACTTCTACGTTAAAATTGAACTAATCACAACATATAAATATATATTTTACTATTTGTCCTGTAATAATACAAATTTTTAAATAAAATTAAACTAAAAACAGATAAAAAATTCATGGAGTTAACATTAATTTGATCGTAAAATAATAACTTTCCTATCGCCGTTACCAAAACCACTGATGATACGCCGAAAAAGAAACTATGATGATTAATACCAAATATGAATAACTAAAGTGTTTAATATATTGCAAAGTGTCAACTTCTAATTCAATATAAACATACTGAATATAGTAGAGAGTTTCATTCCTTTGTATTTTTCTTTATAAATTTTACAGTATGAGAAATATGTGGTAATTATGTCATAATGAAGATGAAATGATATGATTAATTAGGAACCTCAAAGTATGTAGCGAAAAGAGGAGATTTATATATTGACTATATTACGGTATAGTAAAGTAGCTCTCTCGATTGTACCTTGTATCAAAGAATAAAAGATAAAAGAGGAAACTTATAGGAAACTGTAAAGAATCTTGGTTCGAACTGACAATTCGAATAAATATTAAAGTATAATTTAGATAAATAAAAATCATCATTAAACGCTAAATTTTTTAATTTATTGACAGCATTTACTTTATTTATTATGTTATAGTTCATTTAGAAAAATTTGTATTTTTTTGTAAGTTTTATGAAAAAAAAACATTGGAAGATAAGATATTTATTAAGTTCATTCATTTTTTTCTTGACAGTAATTATATAAAAATTAATGTCATTTTAGTCAATATTAAATAAGGTTAATATTTCTAGATTGGAATTTGTAGATTTTACTTAATATACTTAAAAAATATTACCATAACTTAAGTACTAATCTAAGTAATTTAAGGCTTAATACACTTAAAAGGTGCTTGAATAGTGGCCATAATATTTCATGTAATGCGTAGTAACAATTCATTGTTAATTTAACTAAATTTTCGTTATAAAATGCGTTTGTGTTAGCTATACTAAAAAAAAACTAATCGTTATTATATGAAAAGAGTTAGCAAAAATAATGTCTATGTTTCCACCAGTATTTTGATTTATGTACTGATTCACTATATAGTTCATTCATTCAAATAAACATAAAATTCATTAAAAATATAAAAATTTTAAATATGAATGTTTAAATTTACAATAATAACTTTCATATTTAATACAAAATATAAATGTAATTTTATACTTTATTAAAATTATATAAAAAGACCATAGTATAAATAAGTATTTTTCAAAGTAGTAATAGAAATAATATTAATATTTATAGTAATAAGCTTATCTGTAATAATAAAAACACTATGTTAATATCTTGTATAAACTTGTAATATGTTAACGCTTAGTTTGGATAGTTATTCATTTTAATTACTCTTATCAAATTTTGAAATATGCATAGCCTATTTTTAATTAATTCAGAGATTTTTTTGATAATACCTTTCTACTAATATTTACCTTTTTCATTTAAGTATTTAAATTAGCGGCTATATGAACTACTAAATTAAAATTAGCTTCTCTTATTAGGTAACTTTTGAGAAGACTACGATTTCTAAATTCGGGAAATGAAGCTGAATTAGTTGATTAAACATAGTGTGAATTAAGATAAATAAAATATAATATTATACAATATAAAATATAATAATATACAATAGAATATATCGTTACAAAAATAATAGAATGTATTTATAATTTAATATAACAACATATTAAATTTCAAAGAAAATACATGATATGAAATTATGAAATTTGAATGTAAGCCGATTAATTTACGCTGTATGAAATACATATAAATTGTTTATATATCATAGAAAACTTTATTCTAAAAATTAATGTCTCTAAGTAGTAATTGGATAATACTAATTAAATAGATAATAGATATAACTTTTATAAAATGTAGCATATATCTTATTTAATTAACAAAATTATATTACTACATTTTATATGATCATCTTTAATAAGTATTTTTTACTTATTGATATAAACAATTCGAAATAAATGTAATAATCTTTTAAACTTGATATATAAAAATAAATATATGAATAATACCAAAACCTCATAAGAATCAATATAAATAATAAATCATGCATATAATAGAGGAAAATAAAATAAAGTGTAGAATTATATAATCTAATATAAATTTCAAACAAAAAAATATAAGGAAGCAAGTTATTTCAAACAATATATCATATGTTAGACCATTCATTAATAAATTAAACTATAAATAAATTAATAATTTATAAATTAACATGGCCCTCTAATCGGCATAATCTAAATTTTTCAATTATATAATTGGACAAGCCAACAAGTTAGATGTAATTGAGAATTCTGTTAAAAATGTTGTAAAATTAATTATATTTTACTAATATTATAAAATCTTCCATAAAGGAACATAAATGTTGTTTCTTTATTAATGGATTTTATTTATATATTTTTATTTCACATAGATACGTTTTAGTAAAAGAATATTACTTATTAATTATTAATTTCTGTTTTCCTTTTAATAATATATTTATCCAAACTTTTTACGTGGATATCTTCAATATCTTCATTAATAACTTTAAAATTGTTAGATATAAAAATACTTGACAATGTTCTATCAACTATTGAAACTGTAAATTCTTTTAAAAATATATATTATATATATATTTATATAACATATTGAACAAAAAATAAAAACTAACTGTCGATGTATAGTATGACAATTTAATGCTAAAAAACTGCTAAGCCTTTTTATTTTCTCTTCACCGCTGATTTTATATATTTTTCATAACTTCATGGAATTTATGTATTTCTTCCATGACTCCTACATAATCTTTTATCAGATATTTTATTACTAATTGAATTACTTCTGCAATCATAATTAGAATTATTGTACGAGTTAATCTATGATGATAGTTTAAATTTAATCAAATGCCTTAATTTCTTAGATGTATTCTTCTATTATTTCTTAGATGAAATAAATTTAATGTATACGGCAAGTATTCGTACCACTTATTTTCAAAAATTCAATGTTTTAGATATGTTTATTATACATAATTTTAAATTTATATCCTCTTTATATTGCAATGTAGAACTAAATTTTAACTATAATAGCTTATTTGTTGATAATAAATTCATGCAGGCTAGTTTATATTATTTTTCTTTTTAAATACATTTTCGTGCATACTATATACTTTATGAAAGTACATACAATTATAAATTTAAAATTAGCGCCGTTTGACATACTATTATAGTATTTATAAAATTGGTTGTTTTATTTATATAAACAAATTTTATAAAAATGAAAGCAATTTATAAGTTTTCTATTACGAATAAAAATCTTGACTACAAATTTTTATTCTATATTTATAATAGACCAAATGATACAAGATTCAAATGTAAATTTGAGGAACGAACGAAATATATTTTTAAATTTGAACCAGAAGGCATTTTAGATCCTACTAGAAATTTCATGTCCAAAATCTGAACATATATAATACAGATTAAATTTTGAATAAATAAAGAGATAATATTTTATTCATTAATAATGTCGGATGCCAAAAACTCTCTTATATGTTATAATCGAGGTTGTGGTCAAACATTTAATGAAAATAATAACAAAGAAGGTATTTTTAAATTAATTTTACAATATATTATTTTATTTTTCTATATTTACTTAATTTATTATATTTTGCTATTGAATAGATTACTTTAAATTTAATATTAGTCATTATTTTAAAAATATATTTGGAATTTTAGATAGTTGTCAACATCATCCTGGTCATCCAGTTTTTCATGATGCCTATAAAGGATGGTCTTGTTGTAAAAAAAAATCTACAGATTTTAGTGAATTTCTAAACATTAAAGGATGTACAAAATCACAGCATTCTAATGTCAAACCTCCAGAGGTACCAAAATCAATAAATAATACATTGAAAACTAATGAAGTTGTACAATATAGTTGTAAACCTTTAAATAATTCAATACAACGACCTTCATTTGATTCTCCACAACTTACATTAAAACCAACTGTTACCCCAATACTTCTGGAACAGATAAAAAATTTAACAGTTTCCAATGATATTAAAAAAGATGAAGATCTAATAATTATAGGTCAAAGCTGTAAACATAACTGTTGTAAAGGTATTTATGAAGGTTCAAAGTCTAATGATGAAGTTTGTATATATCATCCTGGTGTGCCAGTTTTTCATGAAGGTATAAAGTATTGGTCGTGTTGCAAAAAAAAAACAACAGATTTTACTGTCTTTTTGGAACAACCTGGCTGTCTGAATGGTAATCATATGTGGATTCAAAAGGTAAGATAAATCATTGTTTATAAATAAATGTATTGTCAGTATTTTATAATTTTATATTATAATTATTATTTAGGATGAGGAAAAAACAGCAAAATGTAGAATTGATTGGTACCAGACATCAAGTGATGTAATTGTTTCCATTTTTGCAAAAAAATATGATCCAAATACATCTTGTGTAAAATTAAATCCTATACATTTGACGGTAGACATACATTTCCCAGAAAATAATTCAATGTACAACTTGGACATAGAGTTAAAAGAGGTATATAAAATTGATTATAAATGATTTATTAAATCTGTTATATTTCTATTTTCAATATTTTATAGATTGTCAATATAGAAGGTAGTAGTGTAAATATGTTACCTACAAAAGTAGAAATCAAATTGAAAAAAGAAGAACCTGGTTTTTGGCATACATTAGAAATTAATAAAAAAACTATGACAGAGAAATCAGATGAATTAGATTCTGAATATAATAATGTGTCTCAAATAGATGCTGACATTGGTGATATTTAAATGTCTATTAATATTAATAATGCTATAGATACAATAATAAAATATGAAATATTTTATAAAAGATATAATTTACTTTGCTTATTATTATAACATTAATATAATGTAATATATATTTCAAAGTAAATATAAATGGTAAATAATAGTAAAAATTTTGTTTTGTGAAATTAGTTTTTTACTGATTTAGCACTAATACATTTTAGTTCATAATACAATTCACAATTCGATTGATCATTACGTATATAATAATTGAAAGAATGTTCTTATAAAAAATTTAATTTCTTTTAAAGATAATATTTATGAAATGAAATTTGAAACTAAATTTCGACTGTTTACAATACTACACTTGTATAGTAGATTGAATTTTTTCATATCTAAGTTTTAAATTTTTCATTTAAGTTGTATTTTCTATTTTCTGTTCAACTTGTCTCTCATTTATTAATTATGTACAGAAATTTAAAAAGAAAAATAAATATGTATATGACATTATTTAATAGTGAATAAAGTCTGTAAACTGATAAAAATGTTGGAAATAGTTGTATAATTTGAAACTAATGTTAACTAAAAGTTCTTAGTTATTACAGTAAGGAAGAAACTTAAAACCAGCTGTAATGGATTTTGCTGAACAATGCAAGCATTAAGAAATTTTATATATATAGAAAAAAGAATTCACTTTTCTATATAATTTTCAAACTGAATATAAATGTAAATATCTATCACCAAAGATTACCTCATAAATAATATTCTTTATGTCATGTCACTACGATATTTTCCATCACTTAAAATGGTCATATGAGAGTTCTAAGTAGTATTATTATAGAAATTATTATTATTATATATATATATATTAAATATATAAGGAAACAATTAAAACAGAAAAATAGTTGAACAAATTGCAACAAAGACACCAAAAAACTGACTGCAACTAAAAATAGAATTCAGTTGAAAGAGAATGTAATAAAAAATTGTGTATATAATAAATAACTAAAAAAATTAAATATAATAAAACAAGTTCTAGTAGCTGGTATACTTTATTCGGAAAAACCTGTCGTGCATGCAATGTATCTGAACTATGTAATTAGTAATTGTGGATAGATTTTATTAATTTTATTTAGATTATTTTGACAAGCTATAAACAATTAAAAATGTAATATAGAATTTTTAAAAGTAAATTAGATTCAAAAGCACCAAAAAAGTAGTAATCATGAATTACTTTTTCTTATTTTAAAGATGTAAACATGAAGATGAAGTCTATTTGTATTATTTCTTAATGTATACATAAAGTTTTCAAAGTATCCTTTATCCAGTATTCAAAGTATGATTTATAAATTGATACATAAGGAAATAATAGATTTAAGAAAAATAAAACAAAACATTAGTATAGACCTAAAGAAAGAAAACAGTAATAAAAACGATACAAGATGTGACAAATAAATAAAGTACACCTGAAAATAAAATACATAACAAATTATGCCATAAAGAAAGCTTCAAAAGCCAACTACGATTGTGCAGAGAGACAAGGAAGACAAATAAGCTTGAAAAAATAATTAAAAAATATTAAATTAGTAAATAAAATGAAAAATGTATTATAAGATAATAAAAGTTAAACTTATTATCAGTAATAAAATAAATAAAAATATATATTGTGAGAAATTTCTAATACAAAATAACTATTATTACTATTGTAAATGGTTACATATTATGTCTGATTAACTTGAAAAAAAACTGTAAGCAATAGAAACAAAGTAAAGATAACAAAATATTTATAAATAAATAAATGTGATTGTTAAAAAAGATGCACATGAGAAAGGATGAATAAGGTGAAACAAAAAACTATTTTAACTTCCATAGCAAACAAATGAAAAATATGAAATTGTAATTGAATTAGAATGTTGTTTTTATAAATATCTTGTAAAAAATACTGATACCACAATTTCTTGTTAACATTTTTGTTATAAATTGTAATTTTTTACATTAAATTTGAACACACCAATATTTACTACGTAAAATGATATCATTAACTGGGAACATTCTGATAATGCGATAGTAACTTATAATATATATATATATATATATAATCTAACAGTAGTAAATCTTATTACAAAAAAGAATATATAATACAATTATAAAATTAGTTTATCTCGTTAAGAAGTCGCTTATATACAACATAATGTTAAACTAAAATAACCTGAAATTACTTAAATACATATTGTTTGACTTCTATAAATATGTTAATTTGTATTAAAAAAAAATAATGTATTCTATAAATAAATAAATAATTGTTAAATAAATAATGAGTTCTGAACTAAAATTAAAGGTATTTAAATTAGATAATAAATTTGATTGAATATTAAATATTAAATTTGATTAATATTAAATATTAATTATATTAAAAATATTTATATAAATATCTAATTGCATGTAGGTTTTAGCAATACACGGCTACCGTCAATCAGATAAAATATTTAGCGCTAAAATAGGATCTATGAGAAAAAATTTTAAAAAAGAACTAGATTTCACATTTATAAGAGCACCACATAAAATTTCATACACAGAAAAATATAGTAATGAACAAACAGAAGTTAATTTGAAATTTGAAGATACCAATGGTAATAATTATTACAATTTAAAATTATAGTATCAATTTAAATTTGTTTTATTTTAGAGTACGGATGGTGGTTCAATACACAAAATAAAACATTTAAAGCTGTAAATTCAAGTGATTTATGTGTCGGTTTTGATGAAAGCTTACAATTAATTGAGCAGATATTTAAGGAACAAGGTCCATTTGATGGATTAATTGGTTTTTCACAAGGAGGATCATTTGTGTCCATACTTTGTGCAATGCAACAACTCAAAAGTAAAAAATTCAAATTATTTAAAATTATGCCCACTTTTAAAAATCATAATTCTTTTTAGTTATTCCAATTGAATTTCAATTTGCTATAATTATTTCTGGTTTTATATCTCTTTGTAAACCACATGAAGTATTTTATAAGCAGAAAATAAACTTACCTACACTTCATGTATATGGTAATAGTGACCAAGTTATTCCAACATGTTAGTGATTTTTATATTTTTAATATTTTTATGAAATAATATTGTAAATGAATTATTGACAGTTTTTCTTTTCAGACAAAGCTAAAGAATTATGCGATCTATTTATTGATAAAGAAGTTGTATTACATGAAGGAGGACATTATGTACCAGGAAGTAAACATATTTATAATAACTTTATTAAAAAAATGATTACAAAAAAATTAAACTCACTACAATGTAATTAAATTAAATTAATTATACAAATTATCTTTTATATTTGTAGTAAATAAAAAATTAATTCTCATATAAAAAAAAAAAAAAAATTATACAAGACAATAACCGAAATGTTAGAAAAATATTTTATTTGATAATAATTCTTTAATCTATAAAAATATTAATCAAATTGATCAACAATGTTACTTTATTTTTAGTCAGATGTAAAAATTAAAAATTTTTTATGAATCTTACTTTGTATAAATTGTTTTACTACATACAAATTAAAAGTTATAATTGAATAATTATATACTTAATGGAAGTATTAATGGTAGCAGTTTATTTAGATTTACAATAAGAAAGTAAATATTTAAAAATAAGTATAAATAAATATTATTTGATAAAAAATATGCTCACATTTTTTTTCATTGTATAATTAAAAAAGTTGTAGAAAGTATAAAAATATATCATATTATTTAAAATTAAATTTTAAATAATCGCTCATTAGGACAATAGATACAATTAAAAAATACAAGTGCAAGAAAAATCTTTAATTACATAAAAGGCACCATTTATTGTTTATTTATAAAATTTAAATATATTTTAATCTAATTGTTTTCATAAAATGTTTTATTTGGTGCCTAATAATACATTACATGTTTCTTTATGAAAATGCTTCTAAAATTATACAATTTTCACAACTTTGAAAATTTTTATAATTTAGGTATGAAATACTATAGTACATTCATTAAATGGCATAATTTAATATTAAAAATATACCATTTAAGACTTCGGGTAACTTATACAATTCTAAATTTCTTATTTATGCCATGTACAATACATTTTAATAAAGATAAATAGTTATAATTATTAATTGCTTACCTAAATTTACAATATCACATGAAGCTTGAAATGTTTTATGAAATATCATTGCAAATTAATTAAAAATGAATATTACAAAAATTAATTTCAAGCTTAAATAAGCAGTTAATGAGAAAATTTAAATTTCTCCAATTCTATCAGTGTAACAGTTATTAATTATATAAGATTCTTATTTCAAATTATGAAATCTAATGTTAGTTTAGACACTTTTCAAGAAGTGTAATGTACAATTCTTGTATATTAATGTAAGTTTTTATGTATTTGTAAACAAAAATCTATATAAAATCTTTATTTATACTCTAACAATTTATAGAGCAAAGTGGGTTATTTTGCACCAAAAATGTTTTTAAAGTTTACTTTTTTCTGTAAAAATTCATGGTATTTGTTCTTGTCCATTAGTTTCTTGAGTTTTCATTACTTCAGGAAGATCTGGAGGTAACGAAAATGGTGTCATTTCTAATTGTTCAAATTGACCACTTTCTAGACGAACGGCTAAACCAATTAATGCTGGACATTGAGCCTTAGCTGTTGTCGACGATAGTCCATAATCTGATAGAAATTTATTATCTGACATAAGGATATTATCCTTATTAAATAACTGTTGATTTAAAGGAGGGATCTTTAATATTCCTTAAAAATTAAATATAATATTATTAAATTTATTAATTATTGTATTATTGAATTTATGATTACATTTTCCGTTCTTAAAAAGAAACTACATGATTAAATTACCTTCAATAATTTTTTTTAATTCTAAAACTGTTGTATTTTCTTTAGCATCTGTAAAAATCGTCATTTTCTTCCGCCGGATCATTAAAAAAACATCCTGAAAAGACTTAGAAAAGTAAAGGTTAGGTTCTCATTAAGATCCTCCTAATAATAAGGAGTATTAATAAAAAATCATTGAAAATTTACAAAAAAAACTCACCATGATTATTAAATAAAAATAATTCTAAAATTACAGTAAGCTCAATTATAATATTCTATTTTGAAAACAGTAGATTCAGGTTATACAAAAAAGCTGAAAAGCATAAATTTTATAAATCACGTTCATAGAATATAAAACGATAATAGCTTTCGAAACGAGTGCCAAATTAAAAATAAATATATCTTCATATCTAAAAAATTCGATTATTATAATATAAACAATTTTCATCAGTTTAATGCAATCAAATTTATTGTGCACTTTTCGAATATAATATTTTACTTCAATATTCGAATTATAAAAAGAAAAATGTAACAGAATGCAATATATTATTCATTTTTATAAATACAATTATAAATTTAGTTAATCATTATATAAATTAAAGTTTATCTTATTTTTATAACATTGAATGTGTACGACATAAATATATAAATAAATTAGAATCGATTATTCCTATAATATAATTGATTTTGTAAAAATCTTAACATTTAATTTTTATATCAAATATACATTATTAATCAGATGTATATATAAAGCGTACTGGGATTTACAGTTTACCAAACAGAACGTTAAATACTAGGAAACACGTGAGCTAGTGCCACGATACGGAGGTTGAATAAATCAGTCTCTTTTCCATAATTGATGAATATGATTCGTGATTCACTCTTCAATACAAGCATTCAAAGAAAAATAAATTATTTCATTATTATTCTTACAAAATTTAGAATATTATTTATGAAAGTTTATGCATTTATATATGTTTTCATAATTATATTTTATATTTTATAATATTTATATATAAATTTATATATAATATTTATAATATAATATTTTATATTTTATATATATATGTTTTTATATGCCTATAATTCAATGTAGATACAATTACACAAAAGTCAGGACATAAATTAAACGTCGATATGTAATTGAAAATGTAGTATAAATTATTAAAGTAAATAATGGAAAATATTATGAGATCACGTTTTCATTTTTCATTCGTAATTCTTAAAATATATTAAAATAAAAATGTAAAGAACATTATTCAAAATTTACATACAGTTAAAATACAAATTACAATACAGTTAAAAATTAAATTAATCGATGGGGATCATTTGGAAAGATTCATAAATAAGAAATCAATTTTTTTGATACTTTAAATTTTATAATTTTCATATATTTAAAAAATTTACAAGTTTGGTTATTTCGCATTACGCGTTGAGTCGGATTGTACATGTAGATATAATTTATTGGGCAGCGTATATACTTACAAAAGAGGGTAGAATTAGAAAATAAATAATGTCGACGGATAAAAAATAATAATTATATCTGTTCTTTATAATATCTATGGTGCAATTGTTAATAAATTAACAAATTTAATAAAACATAATAAATTGATTGTATAAAAAATATATAAATTAAAAAATATAGTATGTGTATTATTGTGGTCAAAATATTAATAATAAATATAAATAAATACACAAGTTATTTAATTAAATATTCCTTGATATTATCCAAAAATATAAATAAATGAATTATGGGGTTCGACTGTTATTTTATTTTTTAGAACACAAGTCAATCTCTATGTAACTTCTAATGAATTATAAAAATTATATTTTGTTTCATCGTTATATATATATATATATATTTACAATATTTAATATATATGAATTATATATATATATATATATATATATATATATATATATATATATATATTAAATATTGTTTATAATAATATTGTAATAAATATTTAGTAAATATGGACAAATTCAGGTAAGGAACCAAACTTTGATTTAGCTCTGATTGCACTAAACAGCGATATCAAGAAGATTGAAATGTTACGCAGCCATTGACTAAGTTTTGCAGATAGATACAAAATGTGTAATAGATACAAAAAATGTAATAGCTCAAAATATCAATAAATTCTTCAAAAACATAGTTAGTAACTACCAATATACGTAAAGCATTCGTGGCAATTGTATATCGGCAAACCTATTAATATTTAAATCTTAATTTAAAATGATAAGATTTCATATGATTTGCTAAGGGACAAATTAATTTATAATTTTTTAGACATCACATTGATATTAATGTGTCGAGTCAATATTTCATTTGTATTTAAAATATTTAGATTTATTAGATCTTTTTATTATACGCACTATATAATTTATTTATTTATTATAATTTTTTTAATGGATTTTTTATTATTTACTCTGAAACAACTTTTAAAAAATGTGAATTAATTAGATTCATTCTTGAATTATTAAATGAAAGTTTGTAGCTTCAATTAAAAAATGTTTAAACTAAAAACTACAATATTTTATAAAGTCATTTGCTAAATTTGTACACTCCCGTTTCTACTTTAATAATAGAAGGTCATATCATTATACAGAATTAAAAATTTTTTGTTGTCTTTATGTTAATTTCAATCATTGAAAATAAAAGAATTTATTTCAACAATAATTGCATACTTATTATTAGCTGAATTTTTTTTATTATTTATAACCGTGAAATGACAAAAATAAAAAATGGAGTCAAATAACCAAATCACAATACTTAATATATAATATAGTACAATTCCAAAAAAAAAAAAAAAAAAAAAATATATATATATATATATTGACGTATACAATCTTGTTCAGTAAACATAAACGTAAGTTATAAAAATCCATTTATCTTTCACTTTAATACAATTTGATATAATATAGCATACATATTAAAGTATTTTCGTATAGAGTACAATAAGCTTAGAAATAAATTAGTTATTCTATTAAACTGTGATTGTCGATTAAGTTGCAAATAAAATATAAGCGCAATATTAAATAATTCTATATAATGTCATAATACTTATTATTGTATCATATATTATTATTCTTTTTTTTCTAATTTCTCGATTCAACTAATTATTACTATGAAGGGGCATATGTTTTACTATTAACAAATATTCGACCGCTGGTAGCTATTATCATATATTTTATTTTGATTAAGTAAAACTCAAATAATAGTGCTGTGGCAATATAGCATATAGGGTTTGCCGTCTTATATTTCTTGAATGCGATTATTCGGTTGATTTTTTTTATTTGTTTCTATTTTTACGTATATTAATACTGTTTTAAGCAATTCAATATTATCAATATATTATTCGTGTGTCATTGAGCCCATAAAAATATATTGGCAATAAATTTCATTTGTTTAATCGTATTTTTTATTTAAAAAAATAATATAATCAATATTTTTATATGGAAAGAAATCGATTTTAATCATAGTTTGTTATATAGTAATAAATTTTTCAAACAAAATATCAAATTGTTTGCATAGCTATTTATGGAATTTATTGAATACGTTTATGGAAATAGCTCGGATTTCATATTGAGAACAAATAAGGTAAACTTTAATTGCGCATGCTTCAAGTAGATACGCTCTAATTTAGTTCAGACGAAACTTGTGATGTACAAGTGTTGCATTTGAATTATTAGATATTTAGCATTGTGTTTGAAAAAATTTTAAATATTAAAAAAAAATTGATTAATACACTTATAAAATAAACAATAAATAAAAAATGTATTGGTTATTTTATTCTTGAACTAATTTCTTATGTATAATTATATTTGAATTCATCTAAAAAAATGACAGAATGTCGACCAATTTGAGTACTGGACTTGAGTAAAGATCAGTTCATTACTTTTCAATATATGCTGAATCTGATTGATTTGAACTGTCAATTAATTAATTAAAGAATATTAACTGTAAAAACAGATTAAAAATAAAATACAAAAATTATAATAAAACATAATATTTCAGTAAAAATACAGTCTTGGCAGGAATTGATTTCTTAATTGAAATTAAGTAATCACAGAATACAAATTTAAGATTTACATTGTACAGATACTGTCAAGAAATTATTCAATATTTATTATTATTCAACAATACAGGTCTATTAATAACAATAAGAAATCACTCAACAATATGTTCAGTAATAATATACTTTCTTAATTAAAACTAAATTAAAAATAATCAAGAATAAATTCAAAGTTATTTTTAGGTTGCTGTTGGTGTTGTTCTGCATTACGACCAAGATATAAACGATTGGTAGATAATATTTTTCCTGTGAATCCTCAGGTTGTAATATATTATCTTTTCTTTATTTTTTATTTAAAAATACTTGTTATTAAATATATAAATTTTTTATTTATATACAGGTAATATGCAGAAGTACATTGATTAAATTATTTTTTATCTTATGATAAACAAAAATAGTATGATATTTATTTATATAAAACGTGGCAACATATAATTTATATATTTTTGTGCAAATGATGTTCAGTTACATGCTTATTTTTAAGTAATTAAAAAATATATAGAATAATTATGGGAATATTTAGTTACTAAAGCTTGTACAAATTTAATAATACTTTTAAATTAATTGGCATTATTATATTATTAATTTTTGTATATTTTTAGGATGGATTAATTAAAAATAATATGGAAAAATTGATGTTTTACTCCTTAAGTAGCCCAGAAAAGCTTGATCGAATAGGAGAATATTTATTTCAACGAGCATCTCGAGATATATCTAGGTAAATTTAAAAACTTACTTATTCATTTATTTGATATATAATTTTCAATATAAAAAACAATATAATTACAGACGTAGAAATGGTTTTGTAATTATTGCTATGGAAGCTATGGATCAATTATTAGCTGCTTGTCATGCTCAAACATTAAATTTATTTGTAGAAAGTTTTTTAAAAATGGTACAAAAATTATTGGAATCAACAGATCCTCAGTTACAGATTTTAGCAACTCAGTCTGTAGGTATAATTTTATTTAAGCAAATAATTACACATAATTTATGACACGATTATTTCTGTATCATTACAAATTTTTTTCGATTTAATACAAACATACTTTTTACTAATATTTTTAAATGCGAAATTGCTTAATAAGTTTTGCTATGTAGCAATTTGTTTTCGTCAAGAAACATTTTTCAAACACTTATGTAGTTGAACAAATTGCTTGTGTCTTCCAGTTTGTTAGGTTTGCCAACATCGAGGAGGATACGCCTTCTTATCACACACGTTATGATTTCTTTGTATCAAAATATTCTTCAATGTGCCACTCCAACAATGATAACATCACAGTTAGAAAACAGATTCGCCTTGCAGGAATTCAAGGATTGCAAGTAATACTAAATTTTATTATAGATTATTATATAATTTAAAGGAAAAAACAAAATTTCATATCTTATATTAATGTAGGGTGTTGTAAGAAAAACTGTATCTGATGATTTAGTAGAAAACATTTGGAATATGGTGCATATGGATAAAATTGTTCCATCTTTATTGTATAATATGCAAAATGCTAGGTATAGTATAGACAGATTTTAGATTTCTTATTTTATTGGTAGGTAAAAATTGGTTAATTTCTTTATTAGATACTCTAATAAAGAAAATGCTACACCTGAAAGCCCTACTGAAGAAAGATCAGATCCACCACAGTTTGCAGAAACTTGTATGAGAGAATTAGTAGGTCGAGCATCATTTGGTCATATTCGATGTGTGATTAAACCGGTTCTCAAACATCTTGATAATCATTTATTATGGGTTCCAAACTATTTTGCTATTCATTCATTTAGAATAATTATGTTTTCTATTCAGGTAATTTTTTTTACATTATTTTTAAAATATTTTCTATATATTAAATTAATATTATTTATATATTGAATAGTCTCAGTATTTATATACTGTTGTCGAAGCTTTAATGACACATTTGGATGAGCATTCACAATCACCTCTAAAGATTCGTACTAGCATAGCAGATACTTTATCAAAAATTATTTCTATTGCAGCTGGTGAAAGTGTAGGCATGTATAATATTATTTACTAATTGTTAAAATAATAATATTATAATTTAATTGTTCAAGGGTTGCATAATATACTAATACAAATATTCAGTACAAAAAGATTTATATAAAATTTTGTTTTATAGGACCTTCCGTTTTAGAAATTATAAGTTCTTTATTAACTCATTTAAGAGTTAGTGTATCCAGAAATTTATCCTCTACTAATGATGAACAGTTGTATCAAGAAGCTCTTATAAATGCACTTGGTGAATTTGCAAATCATCTTCCTGATTATCAAAAAATTGAAATAATGAAATTCATCATGAGTAAAGTTCCCTATAGTAAATTGGATTCCATTACAACTGCTGGTAAAGGAGATGTTTTACTTCAAAGTATTTTACTAAAATCACTCTTAAAGGTATTATTTTATAATATTATTTTATAATATAAAGATATTATTTTATAATATGTTTTAATCGCTTATAGGTTGGAACAAAATATCAAACAATTCATTTAAATACAACATTTCGACCAAGTTTTCTACAACCATTGTTGAGAATGTCTTTAGCTTCAGATGCTGAAATGAGACTTCTAGTGCAACAAATTTTTCATACTTTAATAGATAGACATAAGAATATTAATAAGTTAACCAAACCAACGTAAGAAACACACATTACCAAATATTTTAATAATTTGTTTTAATGTTTTTTAATTAAAAAATATTGTTTTAGAGTCAACATTATAGATTTAAATCTTGAAATTGAAAAAGCATCTAGACCTGATATTATATTTATCAAGAAACATGGCCCTGAAATATACATGGCTCTTTATGAATCGTTAGAACTGACAAGTAATAATGTTGATAATGTTCAGTCCATTTATACAACACTGGCTTTGCTTACAGTGGAATTGGGTTCTGAAGAAACAGTTCTTGAATTATTGCAGTTAATTATGAGCTTGCAAGATCTTGCTCTAACTAGTATTGAAATTAATACAGCAATTAAGTTTAATTTACATGCCATAGTTATTAGTTTATTAGTTTTAATTGCTAATGTTTGTAACATATCTAATCTTATGGATTATGGAAATAAAGTAAAATTTTATTTTATCAAATATATTTAATTTCATCTTTACAAATTATTTAATTACTAACAGTTTGAATAATTTTTACAAGATTGTGAGAAATAGATATAAAGAAGCACCACATTTATTACCTGATCTTTGCTCGGAATATGGACACTTATCATCTGGAATATCATCCTCACTCTTAGTAGATCAAGCTATTGTTTCAGAATGTCTTAAAGAAGTTGGTTTAGAAACTAATGAATTGCAAGGAACTAATTACAGTAATAATTCCTTACAACACAGGTAACTAATTAAATAAATAAATAAATCTTATTTAATTATAGAATTATTATCAACATTATAATTAAATTTATAATAGAAACTGAATTTTGTATGTATTATAAGACTGAATTAAATCATTTAGTTACCAATTTATACACACTTATTAAAAAACTTTTTTAACAATTTTACTTATTAGATTTTATTTTTTTGAATATTACATATTATTGAATAAACTATTTTACTAGATATTCATGGGTTGACAATACAGGATGTAATTCTTCAGGTGATATTAATGATGGAACAATTGAATTAGATAGTGCAGGATCATCTCCTAGTGTGCAAAAGGTACAATATTTTAATTTAATCTTTCAAATTTAATCTTTAGTATCATTTAATGCCAAAACTTATTTACAATAGTATATTTTGACTACGTAATTATTATACTATTGGATAGAATTAAAAAAACTTTTTTTTACTATTTTTAACAGAAATTACCTGGAGAAGAATTAACATTTGATAGTATAAAACGAATTTTAACAGAAAATAGTAACGTTCAAATGATGGAAGAAGAAAAAAGAATGCAATTTTCTCATTTATTTCGAAATACGCCATTTCCTGATCTTATTAAAAAAACACAACCAAAAGTAAACTATTAATTAAATAATATATTTTGAGAAATATTTATATTTATTAAATATATACTTTTTATAGCATGATGTTCTACAAAGTAAATTATCTGAAATTTTTAATGTTTTAAATATTGAACCTCGAAGTCAATCAATACAAGGAAGTACTCCATCAGATATCAAACCAAGTCAAACGCCAGCATATGAAATACATTTTCCCGAATTATTTGTATACTAATATATTTATATACTATAAATTAATTCTTAATATTACACTTCACATTAAAAACAATTTGTGAATTGTAAATAATAATTATACATAAAAAGGTAATTAGGAATTGAATTGTAAATCAATGTTGTATTTGTTATTTAATTTTTAAATTATAATTTAAAAAGAAGTTATGCTTTTATAAATGCATTGTTTAAGCAGTATATATTATATGAAGATTTGTATAGAAATTGAATATAAATTATTCATTGTATTAGTTATCTATTAATTGTTAACTGACCTTTTGTAAATAAATATTAATTACATATATAAAAATATAAATATACAAAATATAAGTATATAGTGAGTTTTTCAAAGTATGTAGATTTAACAGTAGTTTTGTAGTGCTTTTGAATGCACGTAATTTTGATGCGAAGTCAATTATGAAGTTTTCAAGTAATTGGCGTATTTTTTGCAGAAAAATCAGGGATCATATAGGGTTTCTACTATATCAAATGAAGTATCAGAATGATAATTATATCAATTAATAGTCTAATGTTTTTTTCACTTCAATGCATTTCCATTAATATATATAACGATTTTACTTAAAATTATGTATGAATATTATATATTCAACCAAATATAAAAATCAGTTGTGATTTAGAAAAGTCTAAAAATTGGCTCTAACAATTTCAAAACCTACTGAATACTTCAAAAATAGACTTCCATCATTTTAAATTATAAAACAAGTGAAATTCTGGGTCGGACTTATAGAGTAATTAAACAAAATTTTTCCTTGGTTAAAGAAAAAATATGGTTCCAGATTTCAAAGAATATGTAAAATCAAAACAACAGTATTTAAATTGATTCTGAGTTTCCATATATTTATGCACCATTCTCAAGATTACTTCAAAAGAATGGCTAGACTAAATTTCATAGCATAAAGTTACAAAATCGTCTGTATATTTATTGTAGAATGTAAGAAGCATCAGAATCTTTGTAAACAGAACAAACTGAAGCTCAGTAGCAGTAAAAATGAGTGTCCAACAACGTGGGTACCGATGTACTAAATCGAATTAGTGTAAAAATTTTGTTTTTTATGTGATAAAGTTAGAACACCGACAAAGAGTGACTACATTTTGATGAAAGGAACAAAAATAAATTTTTTCTAGATGAATGAGTTACGTAGAAACACTATATATTTTAATTCGTTGCTTTTAATATAGTAGTTACATGATTTTAATGCAAAAAATGGTCATTACACATTTAAAATTTCTAATTCTGAGGTTTTAAGCAATTGTATGAATTATTGTGAAGATACAAAAACGCTTCAAAATGATTAAAAATTTTGGTTACCTCTAATATGAGTTCAAATAATTTCAAAAATTAAGCGCCAGTCAAATAGCTTTCTAAATTCATATTATATCGATTATTTGTGATAAATCAAATATCTTTCCACTGTAGATTTTAAGAGTGGATATTAGAATTTTCAGTTAATTGAGAAGAAACAATCATTTAGAGCATTCATGTTATGAACTGAAATTTAATAGTTGTTCATCTCAGTTCTAGGCTCTGTTTGTAGAAATTGACATAAAAAACGTTCAGACGACAGTAATTTATATATCTAAGATATGAAATTATAATGAACGAAATATTGACTCTAAAAAAATCATGACCATTCTGATCCTAACTTTATATTAAAATTTTAAAGAACTACAATGGCTTGAAACCATCATATCTATACATAAATGTTTTGTCTGCAATGTTATGATTAGTATTCTTGTAAATGAAATTATATATAAATATATGAAGTATAAATTGAGAAATTATGTATAATACTTTTGTTAATCGAATTGGATCAATGACATGGATAGTTATAAATAGAAGACTAAAAATTGTGTAGTTGGGCATTGTATGTCCACTGAACATGTCAAATGGAATCCACAAATCTGTACTGAATTAAATAAAGTATGTCGGAATTAATTCAATTATTTATAATTGTATTCAATGCTTTTACAAGTAATTATAATTTCCGATTTCTTTGCATATATGGCTAGAATATAAAACCATTTAAGCGACTATAAGTTTTCATTATATGGGTCATTAAATAAATTCTCGGGCCAATGAAAAGGTAGTTTTATATGTATTGTACAGCAATTGAAAGTCAGGCCAAAGAATTACTTGAACTAGAATCTCCATATCTACATCATTTTCATCTTCCTTCTATACTCTAAAAAAATATGTCTATACTGACCTATACAATCAGCATTTTTCTCTTTTGTTATACAATCAAATTTCTATTAGATTATTTGAAAGGAAAGTCAAACACATGGTATTATTGAAACCATGTGGATTTCTTATTGTCTCCTCTGATATCTTTGTATTGGCATCAGACTGTGATCTCTATTGATCTCTCAAAAGTTCATGATATGCCATGATACTGATTGTTGATTAGAAACGTTGAAAGGATTTCTTGTAATATGTATTCAATATTTGAGTCAATTAATGGGGTAAATTTGATGTTTATCAAAAATTTGAATGTTCAAAGAAAAGATAGAAGCTGATAATATTTATGACTTGTATATGAAAGTTTCTCTTTCAAGTTTTCGATATTTTGAAGTAATTGTCTCATTTTGGGAATATTGATACTATCATTAGTTTCATATACGTATGGTCCAGATACCTCATAAAATAAATACAAGGAATTTAATTCTAAAATGATGTATCATAAATGAGCTATTAAAGTTTATAGTTATATATAAAAATAACTGTATTTAATGAAAGCTGAATTAACTCCTAATTTTGGTATGATTACTGGGTTATTCTATTTAACTGATATGCAAAATACTATTTAAATAATATTATTGTATACTATTAATTTCTGTACATGTATAAGTGTTATAAGTGTTCTGTACATGCATAAGTATTATACATGTTATGTTATAAGGGCGTAGCTTCATTAACATAAAAGTAATGTTTTATAAAAAAATAAAAACTATAATTGACAGATAAAGTATTTATTAATTTTTTTACACAAGTATTAATGATTACATTAATATATAATTATAAATTATAATGTATTTGAAATTGTATAAAATGTTGAGAAAACTGTATTATGTGAAACTAAATAAATGAATGAAGAAAAAACTAAAATATCAAAATCCTAATTTATTCAAATTCAATCACTTTAATAAACATTTTTTAAATTATTTATTTTTATAAAAAAAAACGATAAAAAATATTTAAATAGTACTAACTATACAAATAACAGAATATTTTTTGCAAAATTAAAAATATTCTATAGTTAGATCATTCATTTTACAAATTGTTATAAATAAAGTAATTGAACAAATTTCTAGTATATTAATTGGTTATTTAGACTGCTTCATAGTCACTTAATAAAATTTTAACTTTTTTAAATTATCAGGTGCCAAGATGAAATAATTTAATCAGTTCTGTGCATTGTAATTATTGCTTCAAGGCTCCACTTTCAGCAATTCAACATCAAAGATAAGAGTAGCATTTGATGGAATAGTGCACTGCTGTCAAGGATAAATAATTGTAAAAATATGAATGCATTAAATAAAATTAATTTTATATTTAACTAATAGAAACTTAAAAGAGTTGAATTTATAGTTTTATTAAATAAAAAAAAAACAAATCTAGGCAGAATTTTATAAAAGTAAAAAATAGTTATGTTCTTCACTTTTATAAATTGATTTAAGGATTTCATTACAAAAAAATATTGTAATAAGTTATAATTTAAAGTTGCTAAAAAATCTTAATGTAATAGTAAGCTATTTATATTCAATATAAAAAAAACAGCAAAATCATATAGAAATGTATTTTAATCAGGATTTTTTTTAATAGCTTGTATTAATTAAATTAAAAATTGTATAAAAAAAATATATAATCTGAGCATTATTCCAAGCATACTAAATATCTATAATAAAATTAATTGAAATGACAAATAAATATTGATAGTAAAGGATATACGCCAGGATGTCCTCTCTCTCCATATGCTACTTCAGGCGAGCATGTTAATCGAGCCCGTTCTCCTACACACATTTGAGCAACTCCTTGATCCCAACCTTTAATTACCTCACCTCTACCAATTTTGAATTTAAAAGGCACTCCACGATCTCTACTTGAATCAAACTTCTTTCCATTTTTAAGAGTACCTTTTGACAAATTTTTAATAAAAAACACAAGAAACTTATATCGTTAAAAATTAAAAATGAACCTACCTATGTAATGAACAACCACAGTTTGTCCAGTTTTAGGATAAGTTTGCCCTATAAAAATACATATCAATAAATATTTACTTGGGATACTTCTATACAAATTTAAATAATGAAACTATTCGGAAAAAATGTGCATTTCAACGTTCAAATATCAAATATTAAATTAATTTGAATTTTAAATAAAAGATTAAGTTTTTTTTTTAACATATAATTCGCTTAAAAATCTTAAAAATTGAGGACTCAATGTAATTATTTTGATATTAAATATGTATGCATTAGAATTTAAGTAAATTAATAAAATAGAAATAATCGGCATTGGATGTAATAAATAAAAATAACACGCTACTACAAATAGACTTATCTATCTGCAATAATATATAATATTTAAAATTATTGAAAAGAATGGATAATTACCATCTCCAGGGGACAGAACTTCAACACTTACGCCCATGACTGTGATTTACTAAAAAAAGAAAAGTATATCTCAATTTCGATACTCACTTATACACATAGAATATAGCATTTACAGCTGATTATAAAATTGCTATAAAATTTAAGAAAAATATAAGATTACACTTTATTTTATAAGTATTCTTTATAATATAAATCTCACCAAAAGGCACGTGTTTCTAAATAGAATAATTCTTTCTCTAAAGAATAGAAGTATATTAAATACGAATGAAAAAGCTACCACTAGGATCGCTGCTCACTTAGTTCCTCCCAATAGATAGAAAGCTATAGGCCATTTCAACATGATTGGCTTCCGCTTGGAAAATCCGCTCAATACATCCATTTCCGATTTATTTGAAGCGGTTAATTTAAAGAATTTAATAATTTTTTCAAATAAATCAAATTTAAATTTAAATTCAACGAATTTATAAAATCAAAACTAAATCAGTGTCGCTTTTTATCTATCATTTCATTCATAACTATATTTGTACAATATTCAAATAATAAATCGATTGGTAATTATTTGAGTTTTTAAAAATCAATCAATTTATTACTTAATACTTATTACACAAGTCTAATAAAAAATATTAATCAAATTTTGTTGAAACAAAAATAACACTTAAAATTGGAACTATAGTTCAATTTATATGTTCATATAATATATAACAAACACTTAACTTATAAAATAATATACTTCATAATTAATATATTTATTCATAAAATGTTTATTAATCATATTAATACAAAAAATTCTAACCTAACAAATATTAGTTAAGTACATAGTTTGTATGCATAACATGGAATACAAAATATCTTTAATGTTATAAATATAAATAAAAATATACGAGCAGTTTTTAAGAAATGCACCTAAATGTATAACAAACTCGATAAATGCCATTTTAAACTCTATATTAAAATATCATTTTATTCTATTCCTGTTTTAAAAGTAACATTTTTTAAATTGCATGAGGTCTTGTTTATGTCATAAAATCTATTAACTAACGCACATAAAATACTTCCTGGTATTTTTTGATGTTGAATTATTAAATCGTCAAGTGCTGCAGCTATCTATAATGTAAAAATTTTAAGAAACAAGTAATAAAATTTAAATAATTAATCATTTTTTATGCAAATACCTTTATTTGAAGTTGTTCTGGTGTAAGATTTTCATCATATGGTATTGGTTTACCAATAAAAGTTTTCAGCTTCACTGGAAAACCTCCATAAATTGGAACAAAAGGAAATCTAGTTGCAGCATATAACTTTAACCACCATCTTCTTCCCCAATTTATTGTTCGAAATGCTTCTCTAACATTTCTGGTAAATAGTGGAATTATTGACTATACAAATAAGAAAATAATAAGTATTTTAATATAGAATTTAAATAAATCTGCATATTTCTACTTACTACTTTTGCATCTAAAGCTACTTTTGCAAATCCTAATCTTTTTTTCCACATAAGTTGGTAATATGAATCTCCGAATTGAGCTTCGTATACACCACCCGGTGATATAGCTAACATATTACCTTCTTTCAAAATTGTTGAACATGTTTGAATTGTACCAGGTACAACTTTCAAGACATCAGAAATAATAGACCAACCAGGACATTTAAAGAGAAATCTATCGGCCACAGTATGGATAAGTTTTGAATTAAATAAGAATACTTTGGATATGAAATAGTAAAGATCAATTGGAATTGCTCCATGATAGTAGATGAATAAAACTGGTTCATTTGTTGGGATATTCTCTAGACCCACAACTTCATAACCTAGTGAAAAAAATTATATTATTAAATGATATCATAAATATAATAAAAATAAAATATTAAAATAATAAAGACCGACAAATAAGAAGAAATACAAAAAGAAAACTAACGGAATTAGAAAAACTTCTTGATACATTTTGGAGTTCTTCCTACCATGCCAAATCCATCCATGTGCGTCCCAAACAGCGGCAACTACATTACGTGATGCATTTCTCCAGTCAGTTCCATAGGCACTTCTCAATCGATGTCTTAAACATAATGATAAATGTGATAGTTATCTACACAGATTTTATTGTCTTATAATTTATTATAATATTAAAGCATCACTTACCTATGTAATCGATAAACATATAAAATTAAAGCCGTTATATATAAAAGTAGGACAATCACCAATGGAAGTAAAAATGTTATTAATAATGGCATTAATAACCATAAAGTGATATCAATGTCAAGATAATCATCTAAAAATTAAAATATTTTATTGCAATAAAAATTTACTTAGTTTCAAGCAGTTCTGTCTTAAATATACACTAAAATAATTTTGTAAATTAAAATTGAATAAAATAATGTTACCTATCATATCTTCTATAAAATTCCAAATGCCAGATAGTGCAGAATACATATTGATATTAAAAAAATTAAAGATTGTAAAAACTTAAAAGAATAACGGTAAATAAAATCGAAAATAATTTGAAGTCTATGTTTATCACATTATTAACCTCAAACACGGATGGAATTTAACACGTATTAAAATATTTAAATAGAATTATAAATTGTATAAGATGTATCTCATTCAATCTGTTTAATTTTTTATTTTTATGCATTTAAATTAAAAATATATTTATATACTTTGTATAAGTTATAAATTTTCCAAACTAGTAAAATCATGGTTTGAACGCCCTCAAGTAAAAAATTTATGAAGCCTCGTTAAACTTTTATATTAGGATGTATACTTATATACAAGATTTGTTACAAATATACATAGTTACGTTTTCGATTTATAATTAAATTCCTTTTATAAATTAATAGTATTTAACTATTCTAATTTTCCAAAAAATTTAATCGGTACTGTATAATTGCTTAATATAGTATTTTATAGTTATCTTATAACTGTGGTGGAATACATTGCATATATATATTACTAAAAAATTAACATATGCAGTAAATTCTATGCATTTAATAATAAGAGTATTTTATATAATCATAAAATCAAGAATGATTTTGTAAATATTTTAAATGGAATCTGCAAATATATGTAAAAGATATAGAAAATTAAAAAAATAATATATATTGTTTAATTCTTCTTCAAATATGATGTAAAGGCATGAAAATGTAAATATGACATAAAAGGTATCTTTTACAAGATTATGATTATAACCTGCGTCTAAAAAAAATTGCTAACGAGGTCATTTAAAACATGCGCAAAATAGATCAAAGCTCATTGGCTGTTGTTATATGTCAAGTAAAATATTTACTAAAATACTTTAGTTATATTCATATATGAATAATAAAGATAATAAATTTTTTTAAAAATCAACACAATAGAATCATTTTATTTTCCTGTTTTTATTTGTTTGAATTTATTACAATATGAAAGATAATTAAAATTTATTTAATCACAAGTAAAATAGTCACAAATATTGATTATTTTAATTTTAAGTGAAAGACAAAATGAAATATCGAAACATATACTAATTATGTAGCCATATTATAAATAAATAAATTAACAAATAATTAAACTAATAAATAGACTTTTCGATAAAATAATATATAAAATATATAATTTCAAAATGTGCGTTTTATATATTATTTAAATTAATCTAATATATATTATAAAATTATATTTTTTTAAATATTAATTCAAATGTAAAACTTACGATAACAAATTAATTACTTACAAATAAATACATATTTTACAATTTTTCTTTGACCAACACACCGCTATTATTAGTATTTGTTTGAACATCATATAGAAATGCCATATTAAAATTACATGCGTTGGTAAAAGCCAATAAGCTTATTTCTTCGCGCATGTTTAAAATGAATATACTCTACTTTTTTTTATTTATAATGCTGAACAGACTTGATTGTAGATGCATTATACACACCGTGCCTAAACCGAGTTGTAGTATAGGTTAGGGTAATCGAAAGTCAGCTATTCTTGCATTGCTTGCATTCCAAGCTGCAAGTTGCCATTGACGAGTGACTAGAAAATTATTTATGCAGTTTTAGTATGTGGGTTGCAACTGCTAGAGTTGGTGGGTCAGCGCGCGTGCGACAACCGTTTACCATAAAAGTAAGGCAGGAACGAAAATTAAGTGTAAATCAGTAGAAGTTTTGTGTTTGTCGCGTCTTTGTAAGTTTAGAATGGTAGTTACTCATCTATATACATATATGCATATATATATACATATATCTATGCATATGCATATATAAAGAAAGTGTAAGTGGGAAAAAGTTCTAAATCTGCATAATATAGAGGCTTAAAGAGGGCTCTAGTCGATATTGTGTTAATCTAAAAAGGTGTTTAGTTTAGATTCTAAAAATCTGGGAGGTTGTAGGTCAAATGCATCGAACCGTGTAAAAGGGTAGTACAATCGATAAAGAAAATAATATAACGGTAAGATTTAGAACGCACGAAGATTTGAGTTATAATCAACACTCGATAGTCGTACAGAAGTTATTTGAGTGCTGCATTGTATGCGCTTTGTGGGCGCGTATGACAGGAGACGAGTGTATTGTTCGAGTTACATTTACTAAACTTAAGTGGACAAAACAGACAAACAGATGAAGGTAAAAGGTCATAATTACAATACAAATTGTGGATTAACAATTTTTAAAAATTTATGTTGACCGTATATTTTAATATCGATTCGATTGAAAATCGATTACTTTGAATTAAAATGGATTGATGGGTGCTTGCATTTAAATGTTTACTTTATATTTTTCTATACTACAATAATGTAGCTGTTAATAATCTAGATAATATGATCGTAATAATAAATTCATAATAAAATTCTTATATAAAAGTTTTCTAATTATTAAATATTTGCGTCTATGCAGGTTATTAGCAAAACTAGTTTTAAAATTTATTTCAAACTGGTTTCTGTTTTAAATCTTCTAATAATTATGTTATATATCTCTTCAATAAGTTATTCTTATCCAATGATAAACATATATTTTCAATAACATCAATGATTTTACTTACCTTGATAAGATGATAATTTATATACTTTATATCTAAGCTATACCATGTAATTCCTTTAATTTAAAATGTAAGTTTGTTTTTCTAAAACCCTAAAAATTTTTTTTCTATATTTTAAATATAAGACTTATTTATGTATACGTAAATCTTTGTAATATGTATAATAATAGTACAAATTTAATTACAATTGATTACAATATGTTAATATTTTATAAAATGTTTATAAATTTATTTTGTTATAAAAATTTGGTTGATTTTAAAAAAGAAATGGTTATATAATTTAATATTTACTAGATAAGTATATCCTTACATCAAAACTTAATTTTTCATTTGGAAATAAAATATATAATAATTTTTTACTTAACTAAAATAAAAAGTAGGTTATCTACCGTAATTGAGTAATTGAATATATTATTGTATTTTATTTAAAAATTTAAATTAAAATATCAATGCAGAATGTATACTTAAGACATTTATAGATCTTTTAAAAATTAGAAAAACAATTAATATATATAATTTCAATTACTTTTGAATACATATTTATACACATTTTTACACAAATCGATTAAAAATAATTTATTGTTTCAAATTGTATTTATAGATCATGTCGGATGACGATGCTTTGGATTCTGTGGACACAGAGGACACAGAAGAAGACATTTTTAATCCTCACAGTTTAAAAGGTCTAAGAACATTAAGATCTCAAACTAATTCCAACCAGGACTTGGATCAAAATAGTTCAATTGTTCGTCGTAGTACAAGAAATAAATCACAAACATATGATAATCTTAATACTAGTTGGATTTTTGGTAATATTTAAAAATTTTATTTTTATCATCTAAAAGATTTGAGAAAAGACGTATATTTGATGTATGGGTCTGTGTGATTAATATATATATATATAGATAGATACCTATAATTAAAACTTTGTAATAGTATTACAAATTTTATTTAACATTATATTCAATAATAATATCAATAAGAAGGTTATTTTTACATCTTTAATAAAAGTTTCAATCATTTGAAATAATAAGTGTTTATTTAGTTCTTAAAAATTATATTTGAATAATTAAAATATATTAATATATTTTATTAAAGTTTTACTTATAGTATTAGAAACAATTTTATATTTAATATCATGTTTTTTGTTTCCAGGCACACAAACTTTGAAGGGATATCCAATGTATAAACAAAATGGTTCTTCCTCGGATAAAGAGATGGTTGATGATACACCTCCTCGGTCAAGTAGACTTAGAAGACGAATGCCAATAAGGTCTCGAGAAAATCATCCTCCAAACAAAACACCTTCAATACATATGAGAGATCGTAATAATCATAGTTCAAGTCGAGAGCTTAGGGTAAAACCACGACGACTTCGGGAACGTTCTAATCGTAATCGAGAAATACATGAAAGATCTGATCGAGACCGAGGACTTCGTGAACGGCCAGATCAAGATCGTGAACGTCGTGAAAAACCAGAACGACACAGAGAACTTAGAAATAAACCACAAATGAGTGAAAAATCTGATTATGACCTTAGAGACAGAAATGATCATGATATTGATTTACGAGCTTTAAAAGAGAGGCAAGACAGAGATAGATTGGATAGAGATTTAAAAGACAATAAATCTGATGTAAAAAATAACTCTGATGTAAAGACAGGAAATGAAGAAAAGGAACCAAGGTACATTCATATATATATATATATATGTATATATATATACAGTTCTTGTCTTTTTTATAACATATATTTTTATAAATTTACCTTGCATCTATATATTTTTTTGCATAGATCTAGAAAGTCAGATAGTCCTTGTAGATTACGGGAAGGACCTGTTACCAGATTAAGTAACAGCTATGCAGAAAAAGATGAAAAAATAAAGTCTGAACCAAATAGAGATGATGATGATAATTCTCAAGAAAGTGAGAAAGTTGAAAATAATGATAATTCAGAAAATGATGAAAATGATGTTAGTACTTTAAATTTAATATGTAACTGCATGCATTAAATAAATTAATAATTTATTTTTCCATCTTTAGGGATATGAAGATATGTATACAAGAATTAAAAGGACCAGAAGAGCTTCACAAAGGCAATTACAACAACGACAAATTGCTGGTAAGTTTTATATTTAATTAGGCAGGTGCAGGATATTGATTCAGAATATTATTGTTTTTTTGGAATATTTTATTTGATATATAGATTATAACTCAAAAAGATAATGTTGATTATTATTCAAAAAGAATATACGTTTCAATAATAATTATATATTACTAGCAACTGTTTTTTTTTATAGAATAAGTAATAAGTGATAAATACAAACTTTGTAATTAATATCAGTTCATTTCTGATTATTTTTTAGTTCTTATCACAGATATATGAAACATATACATATTTTTAATGTATTGGATAAAAATTTAATCAAATCTATTATTTCCATTTTTTTTATTCATATTTAAAAAATTTTCTATATTGTAAACTCATAAATTATAGTCTGTATTTATACAGTTACTGAGAATTAGCATAATTCTCATCACATTAATATGCATTTAGTTTCAAATTCATTAAATTTATTGCATAAAAGTCAATTAAAAAAATTTAGTCGGATATTTTGAAAGTGAAATAGTATCAATCTTAAATACTTGAATATATCCATTAAATAATTAAAAGTTAAAATCGTTTAATGAAAATAAAAAAAGTATAGTTATACTTGAATCTTTTTAAATGTTATCTTTCAAGAAAAATTTAAATTATGGAATTAATAAAATACACATTAATAAAATATTGATATTCATTTTTTTTCTCATTACAATATATTTATAAAATTCATAAAATTTATAAATTAGATTTAAAAAATATAAATATAGAATTCACTTCTATATCTTCTTTCTATTTGATCAAAATATATTGATTTATGTTTAAATATGATCAATATATTACTTCGTAAGTATGTACCTATTAAAGTATTTAATTATGAAATTTTATTATATCTACTGATAACAGAAAACAAAAAAAATTATTCATAAAATTATTTTTTTTTAGATCAGATAATTTGATTAAAAATCAGAAACTACTGTTCATTTTTTTAGTATTTTTTATAACATTTTAAACACAAAATACAATTAGTATTTTTTATAACATTTTAAAAAATCACAATTTATCTACTTTGTACTCCAACTTCAATAATAATTATTTAATATTAAAATTTTCAAAGTTGTTCTGGGTACTTGCTAAAAAAATTTATTCTTTGCAATAATTAAATTAATAAATTAATTAATAAATTAATTAATATTTTTTGATAGAATTCGTATGCTTGTACTATTTTATGCTCATTATACTCTATGAAAGTTTCCAGTTTTCATTCATTTTTTTAAATTTATTCAAAATATAATTATGAAAAGAATCATAAAATAATACATGGATCAAGGAATGTACATTTTTATACATTAAAAGTACAAAAATTTCAGAAATATGTACAAGGAACATTTAAAACATTATTATTTATAGTTTGATGTATTGATCAAAGGTATTAAAAATAAGACTATTAAAATTTTTAACAAATTGACCTTTAGTATTAATAACAAAACACAACAGTGGTTCGAATAATTTTAATTATTAATTGTTTACAATATATTTAATCATTAGTTGTATAAATTGAAAAAGAAAAAGAGATAAATTAGTATTGCCTTACGTATATTAAAATATTCTATATTTAAATATACAATTCCATAATGATTATTATTTAGATTGTTCGAAAATAATTTTACATTTTTTTTAATATACATTGCATATAATATAAAAATAAAAATTCAACATATTTACAATATTCTTATATTGTTTAACTATAAATAATGCAGCAGAGAAAACATACTTATTGAATTTAGTGATACAAACGTATAATTCTGTAAATTATTCAATCAATTAGATTTAAAACAAATAAAAATTTATTTGATGAACTATTTATGTCATTTGAACGTTTTTATCAGAAATATATTTAACAAATAATATTTGTGTTTAAAAGTCTTTTATTTAATAAAAACACATTATTTCAATTTTTTATTTTAAATCCGAATTAGACAAGGATATAATTATACCGAATATGGATCATCTTTAAAAAAGACTGACTAAATAATGTTATTATGTATAGTAATATTTTTAATAATATAAACAAAAATAATTTACAATATTTATAATATTGTATAAACAAAATTTGTTCTCATTTTCTTTAGGAGATTCTTTATTAAATCTTTAAATATATTTTAATATATTAAATCAATGAAGTTCCTAAACATTTTTTTTTGCCTTCTTTATTAACGTGATTAATCATATATATATATATATATATATTATTATTTTCATATTTAAGTTAGATGTTTGCCTGTTGATACCAAAATATATTTGTATTATCAAGACTTGTATTTTTAATACAGTCAATTTATATTATATTTGCTAAATCTTCTTGCTAATACTTTTTACAAATTATGCTAAATGAGTCGATTTTATAAGTTCTCTGCTCTATACATACTTTATGGTATTAATTTTTTCTTTGATGAAACTAATCCGTTGCTCTAATTGGATCGGTAATATCAGAGCAACACCAGTAATGGTGATCTGACCAATGCTGAACATTATAAAAATTTTTGTCTTTTACTCAAGTATTTTGAATCAAATAATTTTTTTCATTAAGATATTTTTTATTCAATTTTTAATTATATTTCATTTATGTTTTAGCATTTTTATTAAGCATAAAAAAAAGTTTATTATTAAAAATAATTGAATATAATAAAATATTATATTTTTTTTAAAATTGGATTTTTAAAATAAAATTTTTAAATCTATTAAAAATGGACCATTTCAATAAGTTACACGAGCTAATATTTTCAATGATTCACATAATTATTTATTTGCAACTCTAAATTATAGTTTTAGTGTATGATGTATTGGTAAAAATTTGTAATAATTTTCTTAAATTTTAGTAATCATTTTTTATTTATATATCAACTTGAAGTAGCATTCATTTTTAGATACATTTTGAGTATTTTTTTTATATTTTATTCAATTTGTCTAATAGTTATTTTTAATTAGATTGAAAGAACAAATATAATTATTTTCATTTAATTTTTTTTTAATTGGTTTGCCTTACTTTCAAAATTAGTTAGTTTCAATTTAGTTTCTGATACATGTTTTGTTTTCGACGAATCATTTTCATAAAATAATTACTTATGAGTTCCAGAATTTGATATTTAAAGTATTATTTTATTGCTTTGTAATTTTGTCCGTATTATTTATTAAAATTGAATATATTATATCCAGAATACATTAAATTTTTAGACATATTACTAGATTATGTATATTTGTATAACAATTATAATATTTTTAATACACATAGGAAAAGTACTATTTTTTTTTCTTAAAATCTGACATTTTTTATAATTAAATGCATTATTTCATCTCAATAGAAGTTATTACAAAAGAAATATTGGTATTTTTTTCATATAAAATTTTGTACTTACTCATTCTATCAAATAATATTTGATTTAAAAATAGATTTCTTCATTAACATTTGACTATTTAACATTTGTTAGGAATCTAAAAATAGCTCGGTTTAAAAATAATATATGAGTATTTAATATTCTAATTAAATTTCATATTCATATTAAATATACAAATATGTATTAATAAATTAAATGTCAAAATCTTGGATTTTGATTAAAAATATGAATAAGCAAATTTTTTTGCAATATTGTAGTTATTAAATAAACTTATGAAGAAACTTAGTGAATTTACTATTTATTATTTTTGCATGTTAGAGGATAGTGATATGAGCGAATCATCTGATACACCTAGTCCACGTAAATATAGTTTACGTCAAAAGAAACCTACTGTAGACAGATTTCAAGCGAATGTAGAACCAGTTCGAAGATCAATAAGAGCTTTTAGAAGTGTTCTTAGCAATTCTATGAGAAGGCGTAAACATAGAAGTAAAAGTTCTAGTAGTAGTGATTCAACTGACTCTGAACCACAACGCTACGATAAAAAGAAAAGTAAAAAATCTAGGTACATCTTTTTATTTGATTAGAAAAATTAATTTACATTAAATAAATAACTATATTATTTTTTTAAATGGCCCTAACATTCAGGCAATCATCAATACCTCAAGGAGGTCCAACTGATAATAAGGCAGATATTAATCCAATTTCAGTAGACACAAATATAACTTTCAGCGATGTTGGTGGTTTGGAATCACATATACATTGTCTAAAAGAAATGGTTGTTTTTCCAATGATGTATCCAGATGTTTTTGATCGATTTCACATAACACCCCCAAAAGGTGTACTATTTCATGGACCACCAGGTATGATTATTTAAAATATTAACTCAAGTTCATTTTAATTTTGTTTACATTAATATAATAATTGATTATTTAGGTACTGGCAAAACTTTAATAGCTAGAGCATTAGCTAATGAATGTAGTCAAGGTAGTAAAAAGGTAGCATTTTTTATGCGAAAAGGAGCAGATTGTTTATCTAAATGGGTTGGTGAATCTGAACGACAATTAAGATTATTATTTGAACAAGCACAACAAATGAAACCTTCAATAATATTTTTTGATGAAATTGATGGCTTGGCCCCTGTACGCAGTACGAAACAAGATCAAATTCATGCTAGTATTGTATCAACACTTTTGGCATTAATGGATGGTCTGAGTGATAGAGGAGAGGTATTTTTAAATCAAATTATCCTTTAAATATTAACAGTCATATACTTAATTTTGTTTTATATTTAATATATTTAATATTTTTAATGTAAGGTGATTATAATTGGAGCAACAAATCGAATAGATGCTATAGATCCTGCATTAAGAAGGCCAGGTCGTTTTGATCGCGAGCTGTTTTTTCCTCTGCCTGCTAAGAAGGAGAGATTAGAAATTTTTAAAATTCATGTTAAAAAATGGAGTAATCCACCTGATGATCATTTATTACAATTGTTAGCTGATAAAGCTACTGGTTATTGTGGATCAGATTTAAAGGCACTTTGCACAGAAGCTGTAATTCAAGGTTTAAAACGAACGTATCCACAAATTTATTTGACTACTAATCGTTTATTGTTAAATCCTGCACGCGTTGAAGTAAAAAAGACAGATTTTATAAGAGCGAGTTCTCTTTTGGTCCCTTCATCCCATAGAGTAACTCCATGTGTTGGCAGAAGATTAACACCATTTATAGAACCTCTTCTCGAATCGTCATTGCAGAAATTACTTATTACAATAAAAAAAATATTTCCGCAGGGCACTAATCATGCACTTGCAAAGTACGTAATTACGAAATATTTTATTGCTTTTATAATTTATTTATTTTTTAATATAATTTTATTATTTAGATCAAAAGTATCAAAAGGTATCTATCGTCCACGACTTTTAATTGCTGGCGGTAGTATGGCTCGGAATCAAGGACCGCAATTAGCAAAAGCTATTATTTATCATATGGAGCATCTTCCAGTACATACTTTAAATGTTAGTACACTTTTTGCAGAAAGTGCAAGATCTCCGGAAGAAACATGTGTGCAGGTCTGAACGACTTATTTTTATGTGATTATTTAGTTTATTTGCTATATTTTATAAAATTATAAGAATGGAGATTTTGTTTAAACATTGTTATTAGATACAAAAAATTATAAATAATTTTTGACATTTTAGATATTTTTAATTTAATTCATATTTTCTTATTCATTATTTGCCGATTAATTAATTAGAAATTAGATTTCATAGATAACTGTTTTCATTATACTATTTCTTTGTATGTTTATTTATTTATCATTCACAGGTATTTAACGAAGCTACTAGAAATATACCGTCCATAATTTATATAGCAGCAGTTGATCAATGGTGGCCCTTAGTACCAGAAACAGTTAAAGCAGTTTTCCTTTGTTGTATTACATCATTGGTTCCATCTATACCTATTTTAATTCTCGCAACAAGTGAAGTCACTTATGAAGAATTACCAATTCAGTTAAAAAATCTATTTAGTAAACTTCGGGGAGAAGTACACTTGATTACTGGTACAATAGAAGAACAGAGAACAAAATTCTTTAGACCAGTTTTTACAGTACAAAGTTTACGACCACCTCAACTTCAGAAAAAGAATATTGAAATATTAGAAGAATTACCACTAGCTCCAGATCCTGAACCAAAGAAACTTACTACAGAAGAAAAAAAAGTTCTATTTGAAAAAGAAGAAATATCATTAAGAGAATTGAGAATATTTTTGAGAGAAATTTGTGCTAAACTAGCAAGGAATAGACAGTAAGTTATTACATTTCATGCTTATATTTAAAAAATATAATGCAATAAGGCATTATTTTGTTTGTAGGTTTTTTATGTTTACAAAACCTGTAGATACAGAAGAGGTTCCAGATTATAATGAAATTATTGCACAACCTATGGATCTTGAAACAATGATGACAAAAATCGATATGCATTGTTATTTATGCGCTCGAGATTTTTTAGATGATATTGATCTCATTTGTCGAAACGCTTTAGAATATAATCCAGATAGGTAAATATATTATAAATTTCAAAGTAAATGGATTTATTTATATAAAATGTAAATAATTGTTATGAATATATACATATAAAATTATTATTTTTTTAAATACTTAATTTAATTTATCAGTTATACTTTAATAGATTCAAATTCTAAACATACTTATACATATATCTTATCAAAAAAAAATTTAATAAATAATTGATAGAGTTTTAATCTACAATAGTATATTTTTATTTCATTTAAATACTATATTTATTTTAAAGAGCACTGTATTTATTTGTTCATTTATTTTCCTCCTTTTTAAAGTAGAATCACATTTTCAAGTAGAATCACAAAATTTAATTTTCAATTTATTATAACACTTTTAATATATTATAAATTTTTATAAAACTTCTGTGCTTCTACTTTCCTATTTATATTACATATAATATAGCTAAACATTTTATTTTCAAATTTAGTCACATTTATTTAAATTTTTTAAATTGTATAATAATTTATCAATATTTTGCTATTACAATATATTTACGAAAAAGGTAAAACACTTCATTTATGCAAATCACATCATAATATGTTCGTACTGACGTTCATGTTGTGTTTTCATGTCAGCTTGCGTGATAGGCCCTCCCTTGGATTAATGAAGAGGTAGTTGAGTCTTTCCTGTTTATCCGTTGTTATTGTTGCTCAGTAGATATGTAGTGGTTTTCAATTATATTTTACATTATAATAAACTTTATATTTAATATTACATTTATTTATAAAATCTATAAATTAGGTAAATTTAAATAACTAATATAAATTTATTGAAGACCACTTTCATTAGTGTCAACTGCTTGTCGATAGTGTATTGTTTTTTAATTCTAGAAATTTGTGCTTATGGGAATCTTGTTTTTGCAGGGATCCAGCAGATAAACTAATCAGACATCGAGCTTGTTCACTTCGTGACAATGCTTATGCTTTAATTAAAGCTGAATTGGATTCAGATTTTGAAGATAAATGTAGAGAAATATCGAAAAATCGTAAAATTCAACTTAACCTTATACATAAAAAAAAAGAGAGTCCCAAAAGTGATTATGGACATCCTGGAGAAAAAGGGGATAAGAGAGAAAGTAATACAGGTAGTACTATAATGATAAATGGAAAGAAATTTTCTAGTTCAAGAAAACGCAAAATTCCAGCTTGGGCACGTGGATATGTTAAAAAAGTTCATAAGAAGAAGAAAATTTCCTTTGGAGATAGTACAAATAATGAAATCTGTGAAAACAAAACAGTCATTACCTCTGAAACATCTGGTCAAGGGATTGATCTAGAAAAGTTCCAAGAATTTGAATCAGAAGCCCATAGTGTTCTCAATGGTCATGTACCTATATTTGATAATACCGATACTGATAATGAATCACAAAATGAGTCGACAAAAAATGCACATACAAATGTCATTGATGTTAACATTGATAAACACACGTTTGAAAAGAGAAACTATACTAAATTGGAAAACATTGATACATTACTTGGAAATAGTGATAAAATACCACAAAACAACAGCTCATATACACTATCGAGAAATGAAAGCCTCAATGTTGATGATCTTTCGTTTGCTTTTGATAGTGATTCTAGTCTAATAAATGATCCTGAAGAAAGTGACAAAGTATTAATTGATAAAACCGAACTGGAGAATATATTCATGTACACAGTCAAAGCCACCAGCAAATTTCCCATTGAATTGCTCTGCGATACTTATGTTCAATTAAGCAGACGTGTTAGTCAGTATAGTCAAACTTATGATAGAAAAGAGCTGCCAAAGGTAAATAAAACCTTAATATAATAAGCTTATAGATTGTAATTTTGTATATATTCCGCCCCTTCCTTTTTTTTATAAATTGTATTTAGTAAAAATAATGATTTATTTATTTTTTGCAGGATTTGTTGCAAGATGTAAAACGATTTGAACAATATAATACTGTAGAAAATGAAAGGTTCATCAACGATTAACAAAATGAGTGCTTCATAGTTCATTTTTATGAATCCTTAGGAAAATGAAACAAATTTATTCTGTCATACTTAATCACTGACATTATTTACTTGCATTCATGGAAAAATCTGACAATTATTGCGACTGCCGAATTTTCTATGAAAATTTAAAGTCGTTTGAAATGCGAGGATCATTATTTAACGAAGTTTGTTGCATCAATTTTAGACGTGATACGTATATTTAAGAAATAGGTGAAGGGTTTTCGTCTATGAGTTATTAACAGAAGTCAAGTAAAGTGAGAACTTACTGTGTTACATGCAAAAGCTTATTATATGAGAATTAATTTGCATTTGTGGTCCTATTAGATAAAATTGTTTGATATATGTGTGATGAAATTATATTTTTCATTTTTTCATTTACAATTATTAATAAATTTGTAAAAAAGGGCCTTTTATAAGTTACCTTGTTGCAACATTAAAATTAAACTACCAACATTAAAAAAAATAATTGCCTCTACAAAGAGTATACCAATGAAAGTTAATTAACATATTATATTTTCAAGATAGTTAAGAATAGCGTTAATATTGTTAAATGAATATTGATAATCAAGCAGCTGCATCTTAGTTTCACTGTGTACTTAAAGTTAATTCGACATATAACTAGCAATCTATGTCTTATATTACCAACATTAATCTTGTAATAGTAATTTTAATTACATATTTTTATTTTAATGTTCATGAACTTTCATATTTAAAAAATTAAATATTTAAAAAAATTTTCAATTAACATTCCTTTTTTAAATTAAAATAGTAATTTATTTTATTCAAACATTATTTTTTTTAAAGATTTATATTTATGCAATTTGTTATGATAAAAAGTATAATGCTCATTCATGTTAACTGTTATTAATTAACATTTGTCAAAAAAACATTAATAACAGTGGTAAACACATCAGGTATGTGGTGAAAATAAAAATACCTATGAATTGTTCATTAATAATTTTTGTTAGAAAAAAAAATTTGACACTTTGTATTTACCAAAGTAATTTATATCATAAGTAAAAAAAAATTGGTATAGATAATATTATAAATTTGATTAATCTAGATCATGAATATTTTAATTTATATAATTATTAATAATCAATATTATTTTACTATTGATGTAGCAAGTTTCTTCTTTCATTTTTACAGTAATAAAAAACGTAATTTTCTCACTGTAAATGAATTTATAATTAGTTCAAGCAGGCTTTTGAAAATTATAGCAAAAACTATTTAGTAAGATAAGGTAGAGCAGTGACATTGAAAGTTGTGTACATAGATTTTATACTCGATAATTGAAAAAAAATACAGATCTATTATTTAAATTTGTTTTGCGACTTCGTTAATGTCGATTATATATTATACACTACCTCGTTACGCACGTTTATTATCTTCGTATGAAGGTGCCGAGATAGAAAAATTAAAGAAAATTATAATAGGCCGTTATAATTTGTCAGTTAAAGAAAAATAAATGCCGTATTTTTTAAAATCTTTTTATTGCATAAGTTAATTGTAAAGAATAGCTAAAAATGTCAAACAAAAGTACCATATTCGCCTGCCAAAGAGATTATAAAACGATATTTTTTGTATCGTAAATTTTTTCTACTGAATTATAATCGGATTAGTTAATAACAGTTGTAAATTATGTAGTTAGTTTGGGAGAAATGAATTTACAAGATTTGGTCGATTTTGAAAAAATTTATTTCTTCTGTTAGACATTTATAGAAGGTTTATTTTTTAATATTAGCCCTTGAATTATTGTTATAAAATGTTAATAAGACGAAAAATTAATTTTTTATAATAAAATAGCATTCCTACTCAAGGGTTTATTTATATTTTGAATTTTAGTAAATTACTAAAACCAATTAATACTTAACACTATCGAATCATTTGTATTAGTTATAACGTACAAGCAATAAACCTTCATGCTTTTTAATACAATATTAATTCTATCATGTTATATTTTAATTAAAAACTAATTTTATAATGCTTTAGAAATAGAATTAAGGAAGCAAACACCGTAACATTCCACAGCTTATAAGGTAATTGATGAGAACATAATTGAAATATTGAAAAAAATTGGAATTTGGTAATTCCTGAATATTGTATCCACTGCCCAGTCTTATTAAGAGTAAATAATTGTCAATATAAATTCGAAAACAGTATATTTATTCGTGACATTAAATATATTTTTCATTTTTTATCTATTTTTCAATAAAAATTCAGTATTAATTATGTATAAATAAATAAATCAACATTAATTAAAAAAATTTTAATTGGAATGATCAATGGTTTCATATTTGTTTGTTGTATTAAGTTAGTAATTAAAAAATGTTTAGAGTATAACTAAACGATAACAAATTTACTTAATTCAAGAATTAAAAAATTTTTTTTCATAAATGATAGTTTCAATTATTTACATAACTCAGAATGATCAGATAAGATATAAACTATATGAAAATGAAAGAGGAAAAATATATAACATCTTATTTAATTTAACATGTACTTATATTTTATTGTTATGAATTGTCACATAATAAATTGAAATTTCAGAAATATTGTTGAATATTTTCTATTGATCTATTTTCAAAAGATAAATGAAATTATAATTTAACAATACCCCATGTATTAAGTCTTAACATATATATTCGTTTTAAGACATAAATTTTAATATTAGAAATAAATTGTAGGAAAGTTATTTATAATTTACGAAGTTTTAAAATTAAAGTTTTTTTAAATAACAAATATACTTTTTATCAAAAATTATCTAAATGTTGAAACATCAAAAAGAAATTAAAAAAATTTTAAATATCAATATAACAAATGAATATTATTTTTTTTATTTTACATAATCTTTGCTTTTTGGTTTCTAATAATTGCTAGATTTTCTGACAAGACTTATATATTACAATGGGTATTTTAATTTACATTTTCTATATTTGTATAATATTCTCACTTTTATTTCCTTATATCCATATTTAGTTATTAATTTTCATTCTTTAATTTTATAGATGTTGATCTTACATTACAAACTTAGTTTTTTGTATATACTTTGTACGTTTTGTTTCATTATATTTAGTTTTTATATTTTATTTATTCTCTTTCTTTTTCAATAATTTGGATTAATATTATAGTAATATTTTTTGTGCTTTTTTTAACTCTAATGTATTTTAATAATCTTCCTTTATATTTTTCCCATATTCTCCTGTTTCTAATACAATCATTGACAAAAAATGTTGATCTTGCTATTTCTTCATATAATACTTTTATTTACTTTCTGTTTTATTTACTAATTATATTATTCAATCCTAATGTCCGCTTCATGTATTTTCTTCTGTTTAAATGTCTTCCTTTTAGTTAAATATTTATACAAAAAATAGCTTTAGTTTTTCTCAATTCTTATCCGTTTTAAATACATTTAATATATATATATATATATATATATATATATATATAATGCAGAATATTATATATTATTTTTATTTTTATATTAGTTTTCCATTTTTTAAGTGTAATCGGGGTTTCTATTTTTTCATTTATAACCTATATTTTTATCTCTTCAAATACTAAGAACGTTTCTTTATCATTAAAGTATTTAAAAAGAATTAAAACAATTGTTTGATGATACACACAAATACGCATGGATTATCATTCCTTTAATAAAGGAAAAAAAAATAAATTGTTATATTTTTTCAATTATACGTACCATTTTAAATACTATTCATATTTACATTTTTTTGTTAATTTTAGGAAATACAATGAAATCATTTTTAATATATTTTATGTTGGTTTGTTTCTATAATTATATAAGTAGAAATGTATGCTAAAATGTAAGTGTTTTCAACAATAATATTAATAAGTTTACATTATTTTTATACATAACAAATATTGCCGGTATAACGGCCAGTAATAACCATAATAATATAATATATTCTTCGAAATGATTTGGTTTTATTTTCCAAACTGAATCCAATATGTGATTTCTGTAGTTTACCGCAAGAGGTAGTAATGTTTCATTACTAAGAATTTGATTATTAAAAAAATATTTTCTACGTAATAAGTATGCCTACATTTTATAAATATTATTAATAACACTACGTGTTTTGCACTATTTCTCAGTCCTTTCATTTATATAATAGGATTACACGAAAAACCAAAAAATATAAAATTGCAACTATATTTAATTAAGGAATATTATCAACAATATTTCATTCAAAATTATAAATATAAATATTTTATTCAAAATTATAAATATATTTATATTGTATTAAGAATGATTAGCAAATAAACATTATTTAGATATTTGATTTTTTTATATGATGGTATCATCTATAACTACTACAAAATAATTTAATATTGTAATTTCGATTCTAATATTTTTCGTCATAATATAATATTTTATAGCTAAAATATAGTAAATAAATATAATTTGAGATTCTAATAAAATATTAAGAAAGAAATATATATAAACAAATTATTTGCTTTTTAGGGTATTCATTGGTCTTTCAAAAAACATATAATTTAATTTTAGTTATTTAGCCAGAATATATTTATAATAAAATATATGTATACTAAAAATTTTACCTTGGATCTATGTTCTCGAATAGCATATATCATATTTTTCATACTTTAAACTATTCGAGTGTCATTGACCTTCATGAGTGACATTGCTGTAAGAATTAAGTTAAATCTACAAAAGAGCCTAAATACTAAAACGAAAAAACTAATACTAAAAAAATTCTAGAACCGTTGTCTAATTATATCAATGAGTAATAAACGTTTTCAATTATCTTTGAAAATTTTGCATATGCTTATCTTTGATGCACTTGTGAGACGAGAATTCTAACTCCATCTTATGTTACAAATGCGTAAGGTTACAAATTGATATTAATGAATATTAAAATAATACAAACACATGAAATTTTAAATTATTATAGTAATAATATTTTAGTTTATTAAGATTTTCTGAATTACTATAAATCAAATAGTAGAATAAAGATATATATAATATATGCAATAAGAATTGAAACTATATTTTAAACCTAAAAGTAACAGCTGATGAAATCAGATGAATCTAAAAGTTTACAGTTTGTAGATAATTTGACTAATTGTATTTTATAGTTTCTACATTTGAAATTAATAAGTAATCGTCTATGTTATCGCTTAATATAAAATTATATGTAAATACTTTCCCTAGTAATTAGATTATTAGTTTCATGTATTTTACTTTTTACGCTTATTCAGATTCTTACACAGATATAATTTTCTTTATAAAGAAACGTTAACTTTCACCAGTATTTATTATTTTTATTTTCATTTAATTAATTCATTATTGTTTGCCACTGACTTTAAAATCATTTTATATTTATTACTTCTACTATAATTATATGTAATGTTTATGAATGCATATCTGACATCAATTTTTCAAATGAAATTTTAAATATTGAACTTCTGTCTCGTAAATCATATACTTTTAAAAACAATCTTCATTTATTTATACTTATAAATGTTTTTCACATTTAAAGAAACTTCATATATATATATATATATATACAAAGTACACATAGTAAGAAATCTTTGTGTATATATATATATAAATATATATTTTAAATATATTTTATTTAAATGAATTATTTATAAAATTTTAATATTTAATTTAGTACAATTCTATTAACTAAATTGTTATCAAAATTATATTATATTTACATTTTGATTATGATTTTAACAAACAAAGCATGTTAATATATTTTATGTTCATTTTATAAAAAGTAATAATAAGCATATTCCGATATTTCTTTTGAAAATAATATATATTTATTTCAATTATAGATGCATGAAATAAAATTATTATTTTAAAAAAGAATAAATCACCTTTTACTTATATGAATAACGGTTTAAAATTTAATTAGCTAACTTTTCAAATATTCATTTCTATAATATATTTAATATAAAAATTATATGTAGGAGTAATCTTTATGTTATTAAAAAATTTGTTTTATTTAAGTTTACAAGATATATAGAAATATACAGAGATATAGAAGTTTGAATTTATTCATAATTTATATAAGTTTATTCAGGTTATATTTGGATATATGTTGTATATAGTAATTTAAATTTTTAATAGCTGATAAATTCAAAATTTAAATAGGAATTCCATAATTTATAATATTATTCTGGTTCAATTAGTCTCATTATTATAATTATTATTATTTTTATTACTTAAAATTAAGATATTATTTGTAGAATAAATTATAGATATACATTTTCGGAAATCCAGTTACTTGTATATAATATTTCATTATTACTTAATGGAGTGTTAATATGTATTGATTTAAATTCAATGATAAACAAAATTATAAAATTGAAAATATTCGAATTAAATAAGTGATTTAGCGTTTGACTTGAAATTAACTTTTATTCGTGATTTTTAAAAATCTTACTTCGCGTGTTTTTTAACGTTTACTTTTCTAAAGGCGAAATGTTGGGATTATGAAATTCTTTCGTACGACTTTCTTCACGTAAATTCCAGTACATCTTTCTAACCAGTTAACAATGCAAGTAATTTAAGTTATAAATGTGAAATGTTATTATTTAATATACTTATTTTTGCTTTATATAGGTATAATAATTACTTTCTTGAATGGAACATTTTCATGGATTAACTGAATATTGGTACTTAATTTTACGTTAAAGTGATTTTTTCACTTTGAACATACGTGAAAAGTTAAGTAGAATGGCTGGTATAAAAGATTTTTCCTGCGTTGGTGGTCTTGAAAAGCATATACGAATCGTCAAAGAAATGGTTCTATTTCCTCTTATATATGGAGATATTTATGCAAAATTTAACCTTCGACCACCACGAGGACTTTTATTTTATGGACCACCAGGTGAACTTTCAATATATTTATTAAGTTAATTACTTAATTCATTAGAATGAATGCATTTATACTTGACTATTCAAATTTTTGTTCTACACATATATATTTTTTCTATTATTTTTTCTGTTTGAAATGGAAATAAATTTTCAATTTTCTGTTGAAATTTAAAAAAATTTCATATGAGTATTTAACTAGAATTAATAAGAAAATTCATTTTAACTTATACATAAATATAAAAAATTCTAGTATAAATGCATTATTTGAAACTAAATGAAGAAAAATTAATATAATAGCATAATTGTGTTTTGAGATTTATTATTAATAAAATGCATTTGTATAATACTTATATATATATTTAATGTTGAATTTAGTAAATCATAAATTCTATTAATTATAATAAATTATAATAAAAATTGTAGCTTATTAATGCTGAAGTATCAAAAAATGCGTGCACAAATACACACAGGCAGAACAGATAGAAAAAGCAAATAGACATTTCCAAGTTTTCATTTGTATATAAATTATACGATCAAATTTAAGGGAAAACATTTTGATTATCTCATTATTCATCGATTTATAATTAAGATATATGGTATTATAATAAATACACTTATATTTATTTTACTAATACATTAACTTAAAAACTTGGTGACATATTTTATCATAATATACTAAGAAATTTTTAAAAGTGAATTTAACTGATAGTCATTTTATTTAGTGAATTTTCATTTTTTAATTATAAATATAAATATTTGACAGTTAGAGAAGAAGAAATAGGTAACAATTAGAGGAACTATAATTTATTACAGTTTATATAATGTATATGATTTTTTATAAATAAGATCAATATTTATTATCTATATTTATATATATTAATCATCTTATAATTTTGTTATCGTCGCAAGTGGTATTTAAGTATATACTACTATATATTTGAATTTTTTTAAATAAATAAATCGTAACAGAACAATCAATAGTTTTAAAAACAATTTTAAAAAATCGCTTACAACATTCAATATAAACTAGTTATAATTTACTAATAACGAGTTGTTGCATGTTTTATATTTTTATATAAAATTTTGAGTTTAAAACATATTAAATTAACAACATTATCACGTAATACTTATTAAGTCGAGTAATTGTATTGGAGAAGTCTTTCCATTTTTGTTATTAAAAAGATATCATTATAGCCATAACGAGCTTTATAAACTGCATGTAATGAATGGATTGTTGTTTTTCAGCCGATTATACGCGCTCGCGCGCGTGTATGTGTGTACCATTGTAGTCAGATTCTTAGAAAATGGTCTTATTAAATTTCTTAAGAGACACATTGCAAAATCTTGTAAAGTTGTAAATTGAGCTGTGATAAAATTTCCGTTCCAATTTATCGAAACTGAATTATAGTTAAATCTGTAATATGAAATATCAAGAATTGTCATAATTGCTATTGTTTTGTATAACGCATTTATGCACTATTAAAAATTACGATTACACAATATATGAAGTGAAGCCATTAAAAGCAATTTTATATTATAAAATTTGGTTTACATATAATACAGTGGCATATTATATGAGCCATGTCTAAATATATTTTTATACGAAGAGTAAATTTTATAGAAAGTTTTCCTAATGAACTCAAGATTCAAGCAAAAATACCTATTATCCATAGTTTTGTAGTAATACAAAAATTTAGTTATTATCAGAAATTTATTAGAATACTACCTTTCTCTTTTGACTATTTTTCTCCTTTTATTTTTATTCTTTATATATTAAAAATTTGTCATTGCTTAAATTTTTTATCGCTTAGAAACTGACACACATCGCCACAGTAGTATGTTCTAGTTTATAATATAATTTTATGCATCTTTTTTAATTAAAGTAGATTTTGTATTTATCATTATATTCTTGTATGCTCGTTTACATTTTAATTATACTTAACTTATGTTACTTTCATGGTTTATATTATTTTTACCTTTCTTCTATCACAGATAAATAATTTTTATCGAGCATTTATAATATTTAGGAAAATTATAATAACCATACATAACGGTCTTGAAAAAAATAAGTGATGAATTGAAATTGAAATAATGAATTTTATTTAGATTTTAAAGTTAATAAAATTTATCTACAAAATTCATTTAGAAATTCTTGTAATAACGTAAACAAAATCTATATGCATAATATAAAAATTAATAATAAATATGTAAAATAATATGTAAATAAATACTATATAATAATCAATGAGGCGTATTCATTAATTAATAAGTTCAATTTGATATATATATATATATATATATATATATACTATATTTAAACGCATATTTATATTCATATATACATATAAATTTTGCAAATTAGACACAATTAAAAAACAATTATACAGTGATTTTTTTGGAAAAGGTTACATGTAAGAATATTATTGAGGCTTTAAAGAGTAGAATTTTTCAGGTGAACATCTGTAGTAATGGACATTCATCTGCTACACCATTCACCAACCTCCTTATATAGAAATAAAAAGTGTTTTAGTATATTCGGAATGGCTGATTGCATCGTTATTATATACTTTGAACAGTTCACACATCCACATACTTATCATATACTTAAATACAAAACTAATTATTAATATACGCCAGGTTTACTTAAATTTTAGCTTATAATTTAATATTTAAAGCCAGAAACAAGCTTACATGAAAAAAATTGTATTTTTTATATTGTCTGATTGTATATTTACGATTATATTTTTATATAATTAAATATTAATCAGTCTCTTTTCTTTAATATCTTGCTAGTGTATTTAAATACATTAATACTTTTATTTCTTGGATATATTTGAAGATTAAAAGTTTTAGTTATTCATGAACAAATACATAATATATATTATATTAATTCTTATATTTACCTACAAACAAGACCAAAGTTTAAGTAATTTACAAACTATTTAAATTTTTTTATTAAAATCAAATTATACTTCATGTTATAAAAAATCGGAATCGGTTATAAGAATCTCCAATTATTTGAAGGTTCCGCGTTAAAAATAAGATAAAGTTCATTTGGGGATTTTCTTTAATCCTCGTGTAAACTTACTTACATATAAAATATATAAATTAAGCACAACTTCTTTCTTAAAAACTTCTTTTTAAGCTTGTGAAAGTACTTTTGGCCATTATTAAATATCTTATAAAGAACCGATTATCTTGTACCATTTTTTATGAAAATATTTATTAATATGTAAACTAATGTATATTTTTCATATGATTATACATATGACCATGAATATCATAGGGTTGATAATTTAGTATTTCTACATACAATATATTTATCAACATAATTTTTAGATCTGCTTTAAAATTATCATTTAATGGCCGATTGATAACATCTTTGTCTAAGTAAATCAAATTTATAAAAGTATATATCTGCAAAAAAATTTTGTTATAACTTTAATAGTTACAAAATATTTTGTATTCACAAGTTTAAATAAGTCTTTATCTTGCTTCTAGTTTATATTTTTATTAAATAGGAGTATAGTATAGATCGATTTACTTATAAATAATAAGTATTATTATTAGTATTATTATTATTTATTACTTTTATCATAATTTTTCAGAGTTATGTATATTAATTGTTTTCTACATTAATCTTCACGTTAATAGAAATATATTTAATAATTTTAATTATATTTTTTGCTATTACATTCATATATTTTATTTTATTTTTTATTAAATTATAATCATTTTTCGTATGTATTAAAATTTAAAATATTTCCTCATTCAGCGCTAAATGAATTATTGAATTTATTAATTTGTACATTGGCTTAAATGTTGATAATAATAAGTTTGTCTAATACAGCTAAGGGTTATTCATGGAATACTTTTTCTTTCATAAATCTTTTTTCTAAATACGTTTTGAATATTATTACTAGTTTTCTTGGTGCAAAATAAAAATAATTTAATCAAATGTTATTTAACTAACACAAACTTTAGCTTTGTAAATATTACTCTGCAAAGTTATTATTATTATTATATATTGCCAAACGGATTAACACTTATTGAAAATATTTCATATTATTTTACATTATTTTAGTACTCAAATATTGAATGTTACTATAAGAATAATTATAATTGAATAGGAAATTGCTAATAATTAGTTATAATGGTGGCGCTGTTGCCATAAATATAAAATGGAAAAATGTTTAAATTTTACTTTAATGTTTAAAATTGTGCTTCATAATTTTTACGTTTTGTCATTATTTCCAAACTTTTCCATTTCTTCTCATATTCTTTCTAATATACAAATCTAATGTACAAAAGAGATATTAATAGTTGTTATATTAAATGATATTAACTTGATTTATTAAATCTATGAATTGCAATTAGATTATACAAACTGAAAAATATTTATCCATTTTTATTTTATTGTTCATTTTATAATAATTTGGTAAAAGGTTTATTTGATCTGTGTCAAAATATTAACTGTGTTTATTAAGTATATGTCTTCGATACAAAAATTTGTTAAGTGACGTTTTAATAGTTATTTTTTAAAGCTTATCGATCCTAATCAGGTCGTTGTTAGATTTAATTTATTTAATTTGTTTTTGATATTGCTTTTTGGTTAGTTCGAATATACTTTTTAAACAGAATAAAATTTTGTTTATTTTTTTTATCTACCCTTACTTATTACGTAAGATTTCTTTAATCATAACTAATTATTATACGAACTAAGTACATGCAACTGCTCTAGAATTTTCAATTTGTTATCCTTTTGTATCTTATGGAATTATTCTAATAATAATAGTAGTTAAAGGAAGTATATAGTGTGTTTTTAGTTTTATATATCAATATAGATATACAATTTTAATTTTTGTAGTAAATTTTATGTAGCAAGTATTACTATTGATAGATATTTATGCTCATCAGCAAATACTTATTGTATACGGAAATAAAAGCACAAAAAGGAAATTGAATTTTAATATCGAGTATTCTTTTATTCATATTCATTATGTTCACAAGAAATTCAGAACAAAGAAAAATGTTGGAAATCCAAAAGATAATATATTATACTCATTTATATAAATTATATTATAACTATACTACGTGAGCCTCGGCTATCACTTTTAAATTCTAATATGTCAAAATTAATTAGCTTTACTATATAAAAAAGTATTAACGAAATAAATAATTAATATATTGCATTAATATAAATTTCAATTACTGTATTTTTTGTATTTTTAATTATTGTAATGAATTTGAATTTTTTCTGTTTATTAGGTACAGGGAAAACATTAGTTGCAAGTGCACTTGCAGTAGAATGTAGTAATTCTGAACGAAAGGTTTCATTCATTTCACGAAAGGGATCTGATTGCTTAAGCAAATGGGTTGGTGAAAGTGAAAAGAAACTTCAAAAAATTTTTCAAATGGTTAGTATTGTCTAGTTGATATATATTTTTCTCTTTATATTTTTCTATAAATATATTGTAAAATTATTATCTAGGCACAGCAAAGTAGACCATGTATCATTTTTTTTGACGAGGTCGATGGACTAGCACCAGTAAGATCGAGTCGTCAAGATTTTGTTCATGCAAGTATAGTATCAACTCTACTAGCTTTAATGGATGGCTTAGACAATAATTCAGAAATTATTGTAATTGGAGCTACTAACAGGCTTGATGCTATTGATCCAGCTCTGAGAAGACCTGGAAGATTCGATAGAGAACTCTACTTTCCTTTGCCTTGTTTTACTGCCAGAAAAGACATACTTTTGGTATATTATCTTTACGTATCAAATTTATATCTGATAAAAAAATTTAAAAAGAAGAAAAACACGTGTCATTGATGAGTTCTAAAAAAACTTATCTTGTTAATCTAAAAAATATGATAAAAAAATTTAATTAAAACAATTTTTTGTTAATTAATTTTTTTTTAATCTATTAATTATTGAATGTTTTTATTAAATAATATATATATATATATATATATATAACTATTATACAGTTTATATAATATGCGTATTATATATTTACCCAATATATGTTATTATATACTCGATTTTATAAAGTTCATACTTTTATTTAGTAAAACGTGTATACCCGAATCTTATACTTTACATCAAAATGCACACAAAGTTAATCTTATTATTTAACAAACATTATAATAAATATTATTCTAATGAAAAAATTATTTAAATTTAAATTGTAATAATTATATATAAAATTTATTATTCATTAAATATATTACTAATGATTGATAAACCTCATAAATTAATATCATAAACTGTGAAAGAAAAATCTGACATAGTTAAATATATATAAAGTTATTAAGAATTAATATACATCTATGAAATTATCACAAATTTAATTATTTTATATTTTTTAATTATTACAAATATAAGTATATTTTGAAAATTAGAGAAAACTATTCCATAAAATAGTTTTAATAAACGATTGATGTTATTTTTTTGCTATTTTTGGAAATTATAGAACGTATAAATTTTTTATTAAATTTTATAATAGGAAACTTATGTTTTAAATATTATTGAAACTTTAAATAAATTTCAATATTAACATTATTCCTATGCATTTTTAGTTAGTTACAATTATTTATATAACACTGCCACATAATAATGTATGAATAATGTACTCGAAGTGTTATAGGTAGAACGCGAGTTTTATTCCAGAACAAAACACGGTTTAATTTATTTAAAATTTGTTTAAATAATAGTAAACATTGTAAATTGAAGAATACTAGTATATTCTTTTATTTCGGCATATAATTTATAAGTTTATATACAACAATATAATTTACTATTTATTAATGATAAAAGTATTTACTATTTCAAATGAATAAATCAATGCATTTAATAAATGGAACTTAACAATTCTATAAATTTTGATGTAATAATAAACATAATACTTATATAAACTATTTTATAATATTGAATTTAGAAAATAGAATTTATTCAAATTATAATCTCTTTGTGTCAACTAAAGAATCTTTGCAATATATCGTATGTAAAAAAAATCCTAATTCTAAGGTTTTGTCTAAAATTTTTTAAATTATGATAAATTCTGGTATACTTAAGTAAATCAAAACAAAATGCTTTGTGGAAATAAAAAATTTATAATCTCTTTATGAGATTCGCAAAGCAATAAACAAGAGTTAATCTAAGCTAATTCAGTTTTTATAATAATTTAGACATATATCTTATTACATATAGTTTATATTGCTCATTATTGTGATATCATGCACTTTTTATTACATCTTATAACATTAATGCTTAATACATACTATTAGATTTCATTAATCTATTGTTACAAAAAAATTAATTTCTATACAAAATGCAATATATTACAAAATAAAAATAGAATATATCATGTCATTAAAATATGAAATTATAAATATTCTGAAACTTTCAAATATTTAATTTCAATATCTTTCAATTATGATTAGCTAGTAAAGCTTGAATTTCATAATGTTGTTCAAAATAATTTATTATATTTTTATATAGGATTTTATATTGTACTTGAAAGAAAAGCATTGTTTTTAAGTGAAGATATCTAAATTTAATAAATATATAAATATATAATATGTGCATATTTTATCTATATATAAATATATTATATATATCTTTAATAAAATCGTTGTTTTTAGTCTTTTTCTTAGAAATTATTAATTTATATGTTGAATTAAATGTTTAGATAAAAATGTAGAAATTTTAAATTATATAGTATAAAAATTCACTAGTTTAAAATTGTATAGGAAAATCATTTTATTTGTTAACTAATAAAAAATCCAAAAATAATGTATTTAAATAAAGAAATAAAACCAATTACAAAGGTATTTTATATGCACATAATGAGATCATGCAAAAATGTGTAAATAAAATAATTTCATCGTAAATTTTTTAATTTAAAAATAATTCAATATCCATCATAAATTCTGTTATTTAAGGTATAACAATAATATCTTAAATATTATTTTTTTTTTTATTATAAAATTTAATATTTATGATTAGTTTTTAATTATTTGTTACATTATTACAATTGCATTTTTTTGTTTCTTTAATAGATACATGTAAAAAATTGGAAACAGAAGCCACCACAAAAATTCCTTGCTTATCTGGCATCAATAACCGTTGGCTTTTGTGGTAGTGATTTGCAGGCTCTTTGTACCGAGGCTGTAATGTGTTGTGTTAGGAGAAATTATCCTCAAATATATACTACCAAATCAAAGCATCATATAAACGAAAGATCATTAAAGGTAAACTTTGAATATTTATTGTATAATACAATAAAATTACCATAATATAATTATAATTTCAATTTTTATTAAAATTCAATAAGAAAATATGAATACTTTTTGTAAAAAACATTTAAATAAGATATGATATTATAAAAATTCGTAATAGAAAGATTATTTTGTAGATTTATAATTTATTTTAAATATAATTTATACGAATTTTCGAAATAATCTATCCTATTTTTTCAATTGGTTCGATTTTATTATAGAAGACAATACTGCAAGACACTTTATTAACTGTGTGAGAATTACAAAGTTCTAAAATTATAGTATGAAACTAGTTTAAAAAAGACTGCAGCATGCAGTTATACTAATAATTTGATTCAATGCTAATATGAGATAATATAGCCTATAACGAAACATTTCGTGTAAATTTGGTAATTTTACATATACATGCATGAATGAAATCTCTTTTTTACTATAATATATATATATATATATATATATATATATAATATTTAAGACATGTAATTAGTTATGTCATAAATTAGACATATATGTCATAGATTATTATAAAATATTAAACATTTTTATTAAAATCAATCCTTAATGAGGAAGTTAAAAAAACACAAATAAGCCTTCCATACGTAATCTTTAATATTTAGTAACTATTGTGACATAAGCTTCACTCTTCGCTATCAACTTTTTCGTGATACAGATGTAAATGGCGAAGTACGAATGTTTTACAAAATACATGTATAGTATTATCAATCCATTATGTGAATGAATAATAAATAAACACTAATAAAATAAAATATATTTTAATCTAAAAAAATTGAATACAAACATTTGACGAACCCTGCTTCAATTTTAATTTAATATTGAATAATAATTAATATATAAGTATTCACTTAGTCGCTTATATCTCCTTTATTCTCTCTTATTCTATCGCTAAATTAAAATTCTAACATTCCTTCTAAAATGTTCCTCTTCTGACTTTAAAAGGCGTGGCATCGTATAATAACCACGAGCCTATTCTATAAAAATACTACAATACTGAAACAATATTTTATGTAATTTAAATAAAAACTAAAGTAAGAAGTATATTTAAGACCTATAGAGTAAATTGATGAAGCAATGAATGGAACGATTGAATATAGGGAATGAATAAGTACATGCAACCAAGAATTTCCATCACAGAAAATTGAAAAATACCTAATTGGTATAAGATATAATGAATACAGCAATGCATCTTCAAAGCTCTGACTCGATTTTAATCTATATAATGATATAATTAAGGATCTTATTCAATATCGAACGACAGCTGTTAGACATAGAGATGTAATTATAACTACATGGTGGGTTAGAAGTAAGATTGCTACGGTTTACGTGTTGATGGGTGAAATGCTATTTTAAGTGAAGTAGTTGCTTGTTTAATTACTGCGAATTTTTATCTAGTACAACATTGCAACAAATTATAATGTCTATGAAAATCGCGTGAGTTAACACGTGTTATAATCACTGGACATTAAAATACTATTTTAGTAATAGTTCTCCATATTTTCCATACAGGTCCTGTATTTTATACATAACTAATCCCAAACTTACATACATTAAACTCAATATATTTATAATTGTGAATATTATAATTATTATAATATCCATTTATAAATATGTGGCAATAAATTATAGATAGTACATTTTTATAATATATAAATAAAATGAAATAAAATATATTTTAAAAAACAATATGTTTTCATTCAAATACAATATTAAAAAAAATTTATTCTAGGTTGAAAAACTAGATTTTATTAAAGCCCAGCAGAACATAGTGCCGGCCTCACATCGTGTTTGCATTGCACCGGTAAAAACATTATCGACGGAAATTCGACCACTTCTTGAAAATATATTGAATCATATTATGACAAATTTGTATAATATTTGTCCAACAGAAATGATAACATCAGAAGATTCGTAAGAAAAAGTGTTTAAATTTGTTATAGTATTTGAATATATAATTAATTATTTAATTTATATATTTAGTAAAAGATTTATTGAATACAAAATGTTGAAAAATTATCGCAGGTACAAAAAATATGTTGTATATTTTTTCTCATAACAGTGAATTAGATTTATTAGTTTTTTCTAAATATTTGATATGAAAAGGTTATTAAAAAAATTAACACTAACACTAATTACATTTTTTGAATATCTTACAAGAATATAGTATTTGTAAAGCATAATTAAACATTTTTTAATCTTGGTTAATTTTACAATACCTCATATACTTTTATGCTTAAAAATAGTAATATAAGTAACGATATATATTATTAAAAAGCGTGTTATTAATTAATCTAAGACATCTATTGGATAGACATTTATGGAAGATAGTACCTTCGTAAATAATTATGATATAAATCTGATCAATATTATTTAGTATTTCAACCAATTTATAATACTTCGATATCGATACAGTATCTTCTTTATCATTTAGATAAATAAATTAACAGATAATAAATATTTTTATATTTCATAGCTATATTTTATAGTATAAATTTTTATTTTATATATATTTTTTTAATTAAAATTGTCTTTTGAAAAACTATATAAATTTCATATATATAATTCATCAAAAATATTTGTCTAGCTACATTGTTAAGTTTATTGATTAAAATTTATAACTGTTTTATAGCAGTTACTATAAGTAATAGCCATGCAAGAAAATTGAGTCAAAGTCATGGTGGTTATTACTGATGGCTATTGGTTGGCTGGTGGTTATTACTAATTTGATTGCTTCATATATAATATTATGAGTAATTTCGAATTTGATAAATAATAATGTTCTTTAAATGGCATAGTAAACATTGTGCATACCTATAATTACGATATCAAATAATTATATTGAAGCTTAGAACTACATAAATGCGTCAATATTATATATTATTTTGTGAGAAATAAATTAATATTTAGGTATAATAATAATTACACATGACATAAAATTATATACAGATGAATAATCAGATTTCTGCAATAATTAAGTAAACAATAATTAATAACAAAACATTAATTAATAAATTAGACATCTGTTATTAATTATATCTTTTAGTCATTTAGCATGAATGCACGCGCATATACACACTATCATACCTAAATAAACAAGAATTGCAGGAGATGAGTGATTATAAATAGTATTTCTGATATAAACTAAACGTATGTGTAATTTGACATTAATAATTATTAGAATTATATTTTCAAACATTTTAATTCTGTATTTATACCTTTATCAATTCATATTCTACTTCTTCTTTTTTTGTCATATTACAATTGTTTTTTTAGTTACTCACTTTCTTTTATACGTTTATAGTTTTATTTTCGTCAAATATTAAATGAGCGAATAGGTGTTACCAATTATTTTAACAGGTCTATTTATTTCTGTGTTTGCGATTGGTGAAAACAAATATATCCATATGCATTATCATAGGTAAATTCTAACCTTTATTCGGCATTGACTGCATACTAGTATCTTTTTTTCATACCTATCTTAATAAAGAAAATATTTATCATTCTAACAATGCATTGCTACTATTATATTATCTTTATACTATTGCTATTTATATACCATTCCCAGAAGATAATGTATGTACAAATGTCATACTTAACTCACTATAAACTTTCAGTTTCCTAATAGATATCAGAATCTTGGTTACGAGTTCAACTTGACTCCTTTTTTTCTTCCTAGTGTCAACTTGTTTACTTTTTAGTGAAATTCAAAATATTAGTTTTATTACTGGAAATGTGTTGTTAAACACGAAGACCGCAACTTATACCTTCTTTTTTTTAAGTAAAATCTATTGGAAGCTAGCAATCAGTTCTTGAATGTTCTGTTACTCTTTTAAACTCTGACGATTTCAAATATATCTTATGAACAAATTATGTATAATATAAATGATCTATATATAATCATAACCATTTATATAATTTTACATATTGAAAATGACTTGTTCATCATATATTTTCATATGAAGTTCATTATAAATGTACCATATTTGCCAGTGATTCGAAGCGTACAACTTGTGTAACAATTACTATTAACAAAATTCTTAGCTCCCACTAATGTATTTCAATTCACCAGACTTATAGATTTACTGTAGATTTTATTTTTGAAAGGGAGACTTGATCTGGGCGAGACATTAATGTCGAGATATAATTTTATTAAATTAACACAACGGTCTTACTTTATATGGAGGAATCAAAACAAAACAATTTCTTTTTACTTCTTAGTATTTATTATACTAATATGATATAATAGGGTATGCATACCAGAATATGTGCTTTGCAATGATTGGAGAGATTTTACAATGTCCCGAGCATTGATGGGGACAATAAATAATTCGAAAAGAAGAACAATAAACTATATCATACATTTTTTGTTAATGAGGTTTGTTACTACCCATTTCCCATTACAAATTTGTATGTATGTATATATTAGTTAGATTTTATAATTTATAAAAATTTCTGCATAATATAAGTATGTAGTAAAAATGTATGAAGAAAGTACAATAAGTATATTATTAAATAATATTTAGTATGGATATAAATAGTCGGATACATACTGAAATTGAATCTTGGAATATCAATGAATAATATAATAATAGCAGTTACTAAAATTTTATTTCACAAAAATTTCCATTGAAATTGGGAAAGTATTTCGGATTAATAAAAAGCTCATCTTTATTACATGATAATTATAAATTTATTACTTTATAAATTTATTGAGATAATTTGCGGTACATAAATAATGAAGATATGCGTACTTAATAATGATTATGATTATAACCGTGATTAACATTATTATGAATGTTTAAATGATAAATGTTAATATCTAATAGTTTCAGTCTATAACAAGATTTTACTAATTAAGTTACATATACATTGAAATACTCAACTTAAAAGCTTTAAATATATATTCTAAGCCTTGATATATAACAATAATTTGCTGGTTATTTTAAATCAAGTAGTCAACTTAAATTTAAAGTATATAGTCTATTACTACTTTAGAGTTAAAATCCTGTAAAAATTGCAGACGTAATTTATAGTTCCATTTTGTATATAAATTGAAAAATAAAATTTCAATTGCGATATTATTAAATAAAATATACTTTTTCCTTATATATTTATATTGAGTATATGTAATTATATCGTCATGCTCAGAGGATAATAAATAAAAGATCTTATTTAGAAATATATTTATAAATAATGCTATAAATATATCGAAGTCAAAATTAGTGTAGAAAATAATTAATATGATCCCAATCTTGGAAGCAAGTATTAAAAATATAACATGTAAGTTTAAAAGTAAAAATACATTTAAAAAATGTTCAATGTATACCAATAGATAATACTAATGAATTAGTTAATAATAATTATTACTAGTAATTATTAGCCATTTGATTAGTATTATCTACAAGTATGTATTGAAAATCTTATAAAAAATATTATCAATATTATCATCATTATGTCAATATAGATGATCTACAATAATCAAAGTAATAATCTTTTCTCGCCGTGACAGATTAATTTTTTTCATCTTTTTAAGTTCTCTTTATACTCTAAATGTTAAAATTAATTATTACTAAAATCCTACATTTTATATACTAATTAATCATCAAATTCTCTTTTATACTTAATAATTTTTAGTATAAAATGTTAGTGAGTAGCTATTTATTAACAATATTTAACTATATATTGTATGAAACTATATTAAGTATAAAATATAATCTGTATTTATAAAGTAAATAAAAATATTACATATATTTAGAGTTATTAAAACATCACATTCAACCAATTGTCCCAGGATTTTATTATGCGGAATTGATGATTGTCATACTCGACATATAGGACCGGCTATTTTACATACATTGGAACATTTACCTTGCCATATTTTAGATGTGACAACACTTTTTGAAGAAACTGGTAGAGCTGCAGAAGAATCTATTATTCAAGTAATAATTGTTTTAATTGAATTTTATTATTTTCCAAAAATTTCTCAAAGCCTGTTAATAATTGTATTCAATATATGATAATTTTCATACCAACAAATTTTTTAAAATTATTTTATATGCAAATAATTATGGTATAATAACATTACAGATAAAATACAATTGTGATACTATTTTTTTACACATGCACAAAAGTAAAATCATAAATAAAAAAAAATTAAATACACATAAAGCAAATATATTACTTTTAAAAAAAGAAAAATACTAAAAATTAAAATATAAACTGAATATTAAATTTATAATTAAATTTCATATTGAAAAAATATTTAAACCTTTTATATATTTAAAATAATGCATGAATCGATGAAGTATATTGTATATTTCAATCATATGTATATATTAAAATTGTTTAAATAGAACTCCACGCATTATAATAATACGTTAAATTATATGCCAATACTGAATTTTAGTGACTATAATTTTGACTATTTTATTTCTTATTAAAATTCAAATTATATATAATTTTTTCGAAATTCCTACGGATTTGTTAAAGGTTTCTTCAAATCGAATTCAGACACTTTAATATGTTTTGTAAATCTAAAAATTCTTGCGTAAAGCTATAGATATCTTTTACACTGCTAAACATCAACTGTTTTATACGAGTATACTAGTATACTATTATACTATATACTAGTATAAGATACATGTATTTTTTGGTGGGATTGTAATGTTTGCAATTTTTGTTATATCAGAAGTGAAACATAATATTCCTTTATCCTTTACTTTAATTATAGATCTTTTCTTCATTTATAAATTAAATTCTTCATAAAAAATTTTTAATATAATTTCAATTTTTATTTTTGAATTAAAAAATTTGGAAATATGAAAATTTCATTTCATAAAAGAAAATTCAAAAAGAAAATTTTTAACTTTTTGTGCAGGCTAATTCCATTTTTTTTTTTTATAAAGAAAACCAAAGTTCCTAAAATATTCAATATAAATTTTGTGACCGTACAACCAGAAGTTAAAATTAAAGAAGTTAAAAACAAAATTTATTGGTAGTCCTGTCCGATATTCACTTATATATATATATTTACATCAAATAATATATTATAATAATTATAAAGTCAGTATACAAAGTAATTGAACGTACTCATTGAATTTAATTGGTATATTTAAATATACGATAGACTTTAAAAAAATATATAATATTTTTTTATGTTAAAGTATTTAAGAATGAAATAACTTTTTGTATGGCAATTGCGATTCATACTTATGAAATAGTTACTATTTTCACAAGAGGAATACGTTATAATATATTAGAAATAATTGTAAAACAATTTAAAACTTGTTATAAATAAAACAATACATTTGAATATTCTTTTTATAAGATTTTAAACTATAAATAATATGTATTATATTAGTAAAATTATATATGACACTCTACAAAGATTTAATTTTAATTTTAATTTAATTTAATTTTAGTTTTACTGATATGTTAAAATTATTTTACATATACAAAAGTCTGTAATTTTTTAAACTTTAGTTTTTAATTTTATAATAATTAATATAAATATTTTACTATTTTACTTTTACATTACAAATTTCTTTAAATATCAAAATCTAAAATTAAAAAAATTTTTAATTATTTTTAAAAATAATTGCCATTGATACGTGCGTTTTTCCATTACTTTTTTATTACTTAAGTATTAATATTTTATATAGCAAATAAACACATTCAAATAAATTGTTATATTGTATTTACTTTTTATTTATTTTCTTATTAAATAATGTTTTATTATTTTTTCACTTTAATTTTCTGCAGAAAGTGAAGGCTGCACGCCATACACTGCCGTCTCTGTTATATGTACCTGATATTCTGTCCTGGTGGGATTTAGTGGATGAGGCCGCGCGTGTGATATTTACATCATTATTACGAGGCTTAGATCAATCTGTCCATATTCTTATATTGATTACCGCCAAATGTGATCTTGAAAATATACCATTAGAGGTTATCAAATCTAATTTATGATTTTATATTTTTTATAAACATTTTTTAATTACAAATATTTATGTCACAATACAATTATATACAAATTATATATGTATGTAAATATTTAGAAATATGTACATAATTATAAAATTAAACACATTTTTAATTTTATTATAATTATATACTTAATTAAACTTAGTTTAGTTTTTTTTTACTATTTATTTCTTAAATATTCTAGGTGAATTCTTTTTATAGTAAATATACGAAAAAAAAAATTATAAATATCTTCTATACAGTTACTAAGGTGATAGTGTTATTTATAAAAAAAGAAATATGAATTTTCGAATAAAATAATTTATTTACAACCAATTTAAAATATACTAATTGATGTTTTTAAAATGAAAAAAAAATCAATTCTTGTCATAATATAAAGAAATAAAATTACACCAAGGCAAATCAAATAATAAATTTTTTATTTTTTAATAATTAGCTGAATGTGATATACTTTTCTTATTGTACGTATTTGATCTTAAATTAATTTTAATATGTATCAAACATTTAAAGTTGAGAATCGAATATTCAAAGCGTAAAAATAGAGTACTCGTTATTCTTTTTCGATCCATAAAATGATAAGAAGTAATAAAATTATAATATTTATTATAATAATAATAAACAAAGTAGTCTTTCATAAGCAAAATAGTATAGTTCAGATCGGTGTAATTTTCTTAATCATTAAAAATAATTTCTTTCAAGTTTTGAACTTAATACAAGCCATAAATATGAATATTGTTTTAATCCTGATATTTACAATTACAACTATAATTATAAAGTTATTAAAACAAATATATTTAAATATTACGTTTAAGAAATAATATTAATTATTTAATTTTTATTTGCTGTACAAATAGAAAAATCTACTTGACTCATAAAAGCGGAATTTATTTAAGTTAATCTATTTTGTATATAGATTGGTAAATCTCTTCAGAGAACAAAAACAGATGGCAATATAATATGTACTATTCAAGAAATTTACTAAAATGAAAATGTACCAAATACGCGGAACATATAGAACATAATTTAAATGTTCAAGTAACAAAAAATTAGATAATAAATCGATCTGTGATAGATTGATTATAAAATGAATTCTGCAGAAGTGCAATAATTTAAATATATATGTTAAATATATTTTTTGGTTAATATGGGAAGTTACGAATATGAAAGACGTCTTACTTTGTAAAAGGGTAGACGATGGGAGATTTAAAATTATATTTTCCAAGAATAATAATAGAATACATGAACAGCATTTTATATATCGATAAGCTGTATAGTTAGTCATACTTAATACCAACGATAAATAGCAGAAAAAATAAAAAAAACAGAATACGAATAAAAAAATAATCGACTATAAAGTACACAAGTCTATTTTTAAAGTAAAATTATAAATTAATTATTAATTTATTTAGCTGAGTTTTCCACGTCAAAGCATGCTATCAGAATTTTTATTAATAATTTATTAATTACAGTACATGATACTCCTTTTAAAAATATTGCTAATATGTCATATTTATGTCTCATATGGAAAATGATTTATTTTTTATAAAAAATAATATTTTAAGTTCCATATAAGACCTTTTTACTATAGAAACCAAGTAATGTATGTATAGCAATAATAAGAAGACATTTGTAGTTAAATGGTAATATTATAGATCTTTACAAGACAGCTAATTGATATTTAAGTATCTTGAAAGTAGCTAATTTGCTAAATTAGCTAAAAAATAGCTAATATCCACTAAGCTAATAGTAAATAGGATTCTAATTTATCTTATAAAAAACTAAAAGAGAACATATTAAAAAAATAACGATGACTATAGAACATAATCCTCTATAGTTAAATAAAGTATAAACTGTACATTTGTATGGCCTAATTATGCAAGAAAGTGGAAAATAAGATAATTTTGATCAGATAAATTTGAATTTCAATTTGTTTAACATGATAAAATCTCTTTCTAAATGGTACCCAACTGAACATAAATTTTTCACTTAATTTTGTATAATTTAACATATCAAGAATCGGAATTATTCATCAATACAGATATATAATTATTAAAAAATGATGATGAGTAGGTATTATAGATTATAGTTACCATCGTCGTCATCGTCGTTTTAATTATCGACAAAATACAATAATAACTAATAATAATCATCGTCGTCGTCGTCGTCATCATCATCATCATCATCATCATCATCATCATCATCATCATCATCATCATCATCATCATCATCATCATCATCATCATCATCATCATCATCATCATCATCATCATCATCATCATCATCATCCACATCCAAGAAAATTAGTACAATTTAACAGAAATTTTTTTTTATCTGGACGATATAATCATTAACATAAAAATATTTAAGAATTTTTGGAGTAAAACACAAATGACCTTTTCAAATTGTTGCATGTACTATTGAGGACAAACATTTTTTGTAACAAATGAAATTGTTTTACCTCAGAGTTTTAGCTCTACTTCAGTATAATTACCGAACTGCTGTCTTCAAGGATCTCGATAATTTATAAGATTTATAGTAATAGTACAAAAAGTTCATTATAAATTTGGCAATCTTATTAAACTCTAAGAACAAATATTATATTCTGAACAGAAAATTGGTCAAATGTATAAGATAAAAAGAAGGATTGAGGAACTTGATAAAATGCTTAAATGAAATTAACAAAATGAGTTGAAAAAAAAATATATAAAATATGAACATTTTAAGAATGAAATTAGCAAATTAGAAATTATAAGAGTACAAGAAATAAAAAATGTTCTTTCCTATGAAAAAACTTAACCGAGATTTAATAGTAAATATTGAAGTCTTCTTTAAGAATCTTATTAAAAATTATATCCTTGTTATTTAAGTATTCCAACTAATATAAATTATACGAATTTTGTAATATTTTTTATAAGTAGTTATTTTAATCTATTCTCTTATTTATTAGATTATTATATATTATATATATAGTATATTAATTACATATTACATAAAATAATGCTATACATAAAAACATAAAATCTATACTTGTGAATAGAGAAAAAGTTTTATTTAAATCTAATAATTACTTTAACATATTTTCTTTTTTTGTAACATAAAAAAATAAAGTATATATTTATAAAAATTATACATTTTGGACGATATGTCATCTTTCTAAAAATTTTTTCGATTGTATTTTTTTCTTTACTTTTGTAATACTTTGAATACATTTATCGCCATTTCGTTTAAATATTTTTGATAAATTTTTATCTTTCATTTTTATTGTATAAAGACTTTGGAAATATTTTTACAATATTATGTACATATCGTATCATTTCTTTTTTATTTGTATTTTTTATTTAATATAAATTTGTAATAAAAGATCTATGTAATTATTATTTTACTTTCATTATTATTTACTTTTATTATATTATTTTCATAATAGCAATTTTTCTTGAGTTCTTATTTCAGTTCAGATACGATTTCAGATACGATATCATTCAGAAGCGATTTCTTATTTCACTTATTACTATGTATCGATAAATTTAATGATAATCTTGTGTTTAACCACCTAATATGATATATTACAAGATTAAATTATAGATGCAACTTATGTAAGCATAAAAATATGCATGCTTTGTGCACGCATAGCATTTTACACATACCAACTATGCTATGATAAATATATTGTAGTAATATTTGAATAAATGAATTGTTAACTTTTCTCTAAATACATTCGTCAAGATTTTTTTTTCGACTATAAGAAATTCGTTTTTTGAATATATATTACACAAAAAATATGCTGTAACATATTATTAAAAGTTTTATGTAAAAAGTTTAACTATACATCAAATAATTATAATTCTTAATATAATTTATTTTGATAATGTGATTGTTCAATGTAACGTACATATTAAATAGAATGTTTCAATTTTGGATAATATGTATTTATAATGTATTATTTATAAATTTTTTTAATTTATTTCCAGATTTCAGTATTATTTAATAAACATCAAGGGGAAATCCAACAAATTCCAGTACCTAATGCAACCGAACGAGAAAATTATTTTTACGAACTTTTTCTCAAAGCAAATTTTACCTCAAATAACGTCTCCAATAAATCATGCAATGGTATATCTATCTATCTATATATATATATATATATATAAATACATAAACATTACATCTAACTCGTAAATCGTCTTTCAAATTTCTTTCATTAATATACATTAACATCAAATATATCTGACGGTATTTTGAATGATTATTTATGTATTGGGTATTTTTTAGACATTAAACAATTTCATATTATTCGTAGTAATAACTTTTGAAGTTTTTTAAACATTACGGTCTAGCATATTTATTAGTAATACGATGCATTTGTTTTATAATTAAAAACATTAAAAAGCAAGCCCTTTCATTTAATGACTTGTCAAGTAAGAGCACGTGTAAATATGATAAATTTGTAAAATATATAAAATACAATTATAAATAGGAGTTTCAGATAGATTATTAAGTACAATATTTGTAATTAAATAAATAAATACAAGTAGTTCTTAAATAAATCTCAAAAATAAATCTTAAAACAAACATACAATCCACATTACTTTTTTTTTATTTTAATTTGTTATAACCTTTTTTATTTTCATTCCAATTTTTTTTCTTTTTCATTGTGACATATTTCATCGTAAATTATTTGTTATAGTTTGAAAAAAGAAGAAATTGTAGAAATTTTGAAAAACACATTTTTTGGTATTTACAATTACTTATGAAATTAATTATAAATTAATTAATCATAAAATGTTCAATTTTAATCATTTTAATTTTAATTTTGTTACCATTTTCTTTTTATTGGTTTGACTTTGCCATCATCTGTTCTAAAGATATTAATTTTTTTAATGAATTTGTGGATTACAAGGATTTCTTAAATAATTAGTTCTATTTGATGATGCAGTAAAATGTGTTCAACCTAATTTAGCTTTAACTTTCATGCTTGTTTTAGAAAAACATAATTATCTATTTTAAATGTTTTATATCCAAACGCATTATGGTTAGAAAGATTAACAATAAAAAACAACAAATTATAACGATAAAATATTGTAAGTTTATACTATGAATAACAAGTATTAAATGATAAAATTATAAATATAATTTGAAAGTTTTAAAGGCTAGTTCAATATTAATATCTTCGAGATAATTTATGAAAAATATATAATATTGACTAACAAATTATATTAAAAGTATAAGTACAGTAATACAATTGAATACAGTAATTTCAATATTTCAGTACAGTAAATTCAATACTTACTCATTGTTTAATTATATTAATGTCATTTATTAGTTCTAATAAGTAAAAACGTTGTATAACCAAATAAAAAGTATAATATTGCATAAAATAGTATTTTAATAAATAAATAATTATATTTACATTCAGATTATAAAATTATTTATATAAATTATAACTTACAAAAACACATCGATCCTATTTCATTAAGTGATTTCATAACTTACTGAATCAATGTCTGATAAGAAGTACGTAGTAAAAACAAAAGAGATGTTTAGTATGATTATGAGGATGAAATAACGGGAGCATAGGTGGAAATAAGCGACAGCAGAATTAAACAAAAAAAGAATAAGACAAAAGCAAATGCAAACAAAGAATTATAAAAAAATAAATAATAAAAATATTTAAGAATATGCTTTAATATAAAATATTCACTTTGCGGAGAATTAATAATTTTACCTACTAAAATAGAAAACATTACATAATTTTTAAATTTATGTTTATATTATATATTACAATTTATATATTGAAAAATTATTAACGTTGTAGTATCTATATACTTTCATATTTAATTAAAAAATACATATTAAAAAATACAATTTTCTTAATTTATTTTTAATAATAATTAACTTTTAAGATTTATAAATTATTTAGTATTATGTACAGAAACTGGAAATAAATTCATATTCTTCAGTTTAAATTGATTACAAAATGAATAATCATATATATTTTTTTTATTAAATTATTAGTCTGTTTAATTTAATTGTCTAATATTAATAGTACTTTATAATATTTAAATAAAAATATCGAATTGAGAAAAATATATTCGTACTATTTTTAATTTTTTAATATAAATTTTAATTTTGATTATTACTCAATAGGAATTTTTATTTAAAAATATTATCCAAATGCAGATTACATCTTATTAAATTTTAATAATTTTGTATAAATACATATAATTTCATAGGAGAAATAATAGAATCCACGCCGGTGAAAAAAATTAAAATGGAAAGTAAAATACGAACAAAAAGGAATACTGCTTCCGAGACTTTAAAAAAATCCAGATCGGGTAAGTTTACAAATTAATGTTTATTTTATATTTCAATAAATATGTACTTTTTTTTAATTTTATTAAAAGTCATAGCAATTTTACTAGAGGTATTTCGAATTGTAACATAATTATTAATATAATTCTAAATAAAATTTAAAATCATAAAATCAAGTTTTATTTTATTATTACACAGAAACTAAGTATTTTTTAAGTATATATAATTTATAAGATATTCTTAGTCACATCAAAAAAAAACTAAAATCTCAATTTGTTGACTATTGAATTGTTTTTACATGAATATATTCAATCTTAAGTAATCAATCGATCTATATAATGCTAATTAAATGTAAATAAAATCTTTAAAATTATACATATATACTATATTGATGTAGATAATTTAATAAATATAAATATTAATGAAATATAGCTTTAAATATAATAAATATGAAATTTCATTCTACTTATTATTTTTAAATTATTATTATAAGATACATGTATCTCATGCAAAAATGATGTATCTACATGTAAGAACTTCATTGCAGCTGTTGAATATGTAAAGTATTAATCGAATCAAAGTAGCATCAATCTTACTAATTCCATTAGATTTCCTAATTTAAATACTGACCATTTTATGCAATGATTTAACTTGATTACAGTGAACTCGAATAGGGATTATATCTAAGATTTTGAATATACTAAGCTTGATTCTTTTTCATTTTTCAAAGCCATTGATCTTTAATTATCGTGAATTAGAATAGCTGAGATATTCTATGCATGCGAGCTCTAATTACATCTGAGCACCGTCTATCCTAACGTAAAAATGTGGATTAATGATTAAATGAAGCTCGTTTTTACTTTCTGGCGTATATGGACTTATCAATATCATACCATTGTTATTTTTTAAATAGAATAATGCCAGTAGGCATAGTACTGGATTTGATCATGTCAACGTAAAAATACCTTATAATGTATTTTTTTTTCAGTAGCAGTTTTATTTTCGTAGTAAAAAACTAAATATATATGACCAATATATATGTAACGAGTAAATTTTTTTTGTTTTACCTATTTTACCTATTGTTTTGTAACAACTTTACAGCAATAACATTGATTAAATGCTCTATCTCTGATCTGTTAACTTTAGTGACACATTGTATCACCTTTTTTCTTTTTTCTTTATAATTTTAGTCGTTATTAACTCTACACTCTTACACACTATACATTACCTTATTATGTAAGTATTCTCGGATACATTACAGATGAAAATTATTATAGAAAACTCCTAAGACTTATGAAAATACATGTACTGAATCTTCAATGGTCAATCATATCCAATCATCAGTTAATTGACTATTTTAAATTTTAAATATTCATTGAATTGCATTATAGTTTTTTTCCAAGTTGCGGGTATCAATTCGAATTTCGCTGCCTCTTTTTAGCGACGCTTACCTGTAATTTTTATTAGTACAAGGACATCTAATATTAACAATGCAAAAATCTTATAAAATATTTGAGATGATTATTATTGTCCTAATTTTATCTATTTACTGTAGATCAACTATTTTTCTAAGTTTCAAACTCTTGGTTATAACGGTACTTTTCAGAATTAATAATTCATTTATTCATAGAATGTTTTATAAACATATATTTAGATTATAAATTATTTTTAATAGTAACTTGCTAAGTTAACCTACGATTAAGTTAATTTGATCACTAGTCATTCAATTATTAGTAATGGCATTATTGAGTTCACCAGTCTGAACGTGGACTTGCTTTACATACAACGACAATAATAATTTCTAAAATTATATTATATTTGACTACCCTGTACTATATTTTATCATATAAATATAAAGTTATAATATATGAATGTAATATAATTTTATCACTATTTTTTATTAGAATATTCGATTATTTGAATGCTCGATTTATTTGAATTTAAATATTTTAATCCAGTAACTCTACTTCCTTTAATTATATAAGATTTAAAAAGAATCCTGACACGATTTAATATTATAAGCTATATTATGCTAATTAAAACTGAAGATACTATGGTTGCATCTATTATTGTTACTCAAAATGATTACTTTATTCATAACATTTTGTTATTTCAATAGTCTATATTTATATGTTTTTTTTTATATTGTTTTTTTATTGTTTTATACTATTAAATATTATTTATGTATAAATAACCGAAACAATTATTAGAAGTACTGCATATATTAATATATTTATACTACTAAAGATATTTTTATACTTTATGTTTGAATATGAACACTCTAAATGATAAATAATATAATAATACAAGCATAATTAATGCGAGCAAAAATTAATAAAGAATCAATCAATGAATTAAAAAATATTAAATAAAAATAATATAAAGAAAAATTTAATTGTTTTAGACACTCATATTATGAGATTGCATCATAATAGTTCTACACCACTACTCCGTCAAATAAATTGTGAGTATAATTAAAATAATACCATATATTAATAATATTTATTAAGAATACTATCTTGATTAAAATATCTTGGAACTATTTATATTGTCTATTTTTAATATTTATATGTATGCATTTTTAAAATAGTAACTGCTACATAACTTAAATTCAATAGAATTCTTTTAAAGATTTTTTTGATGACCTAATTTTACTCATATTGAAGCATACTACTCATCGTTTCTACATTTGAAATTTTAATTTAATTTTATGCATTACTATATATTTAAATTTTAATATTTCTAACCCGGCTGGTATTTGTAAAAATAAAATATTTAAAAATAATTATAATTAAAAAATTTTAATTGGTTGAATCAATGTATTTTAAAGTAATTATTAGTATTTACGATTACCATAAATTAATTATTAATTACATAAAATTGCATTCCAAATGAATTTGTTTATATGGCATTCTTTTATAATGTATCATAAATGCCATAAGTAATTTCTACTACGATGGTACAAATATGTACTTTTTGGAAGATTTATAATAATACAAATATAATAAATTAAACCTCATAAACAAACAAAAATAATAATACATTTTATTTAATACATAGAAATATATAGGTAATTTAAAAATAAAGTTTATTTTTATCTGTGATTTACCATTTAAGATACTGGATACATGCAATCCTTCCATTTTTATTATTAGTATTTGAATATGTGGTTGCAGGACCAAGATCATTGGATTAGACCATATCCACCATTTTATTGGTGGAACAATGTGAATAAGTGAGAGGTTAATGCTTCAATTCAGTAATCAACACAATTGCTTTTCGTGCTATTTATTGTGTTTTAATGTACATACAATGTAATGTATGTACAATACACGATTATGATTCTACGTTGATGGCGAAAATCATTGAGATTTTGCCGTTCCTTAGTGTTTTTACAAGTGGTGGTAGCATGCACTACACATCGAGGTCGGAGGTTGTAATTCTCCGGGTCCTCTTGGTGCAGTGCGCTTGGTGGAGGGTTACTTTGGAGACTCCTTGTATAGTGCCACGTGTCGGTGTTTTAATTCAGATGTAGCACAGAATGTAGTGACGTCTTGATGCAGAAGTAATACAAAATGTAGTGACGGCTTGATGCAGATGTAGCACAGAATTCGTGGCGTCTTGATGCAGAATGCAGTAATAATATGTAGCGATGTCTTGTAGTACAGTGTATTTTCTTGTAGGTAGCTGAAGTAAGTACTGAGGCATCCCCGGTAAGAGACAGCACATCTTGATCCACATGTAACGCACATGCAACGACAGATTGCAGTGACCGTAGTAGTAACAGTGTACTCTCTATTTAGCGGTTTAGATAATAGTAGCCCGTTAATAAGCACACTAAGCGGAAAGCGTGCTCACTCCGTGGCAGCTCTACTGAGACTATTCTATGGTGATCCTGCAAAGACAGACCGTGTTCCGTGCCATGGTGTCTTCCCTAAGAGAGAAAGCTTTCTCTTGTCGTGAGCTTGCTTTATATCAATGCAACAGATTAGTTAGCTGGCAATAATAGACAGGTGTTGCTGTACAGAGATTTGTACAGGACTTCGAGATTAAAGCTTTAGAAGTTTCGAGAATTCTAGGAAAGCAAGCTTTAGAAGGTTGGAGAATTCCAGCCGTCATTGCTATGCGGAGACTAGATAAATAGTACAGGACGTTCGCAAGGAAAGACTTTAGAATGATTGAGAAATTTCGGAATAAATGTTTAAAATTTCGCGAGCTAACATGATTATAGTTTTCCGAGAATTAAATTTCTTGGAATGTGCTCCAATCCTGAACATATTGTATATATATTCGATATATTCAATGCAATTTTAAATTCTGTTTTGTCAACAAAATGTAAAATATATATATTTTATAACTGAAATTAAAAAATTTAATTAGAACATATATACGATAAATAGGCTATATTTCAATACGTTTCTTTTCAATAAAATATTGTATAATAGTTTTTAGAATTTAATACAAGTATGAAGATTAATTTCTTACTAAATTACTAAAAATAAATTTTAATTAATACTTTAGTAATTAGTAAATAATTTTAGTTTATTTTCAATTTACACTAAATATAATTTATTTTTTAATTATAGTATTACATAAATTTTTAACTACAATTTAAACACTTATTTCAAATATTTATTTCCATTTTTAAAACAATGTTTTATAATTTATGTACTATAAATTATTTCACACCAGACTACCGGTATAATTGATAAATATAATTCCTAATCTATACTTGATTATTTATATTTACATATAATACATAAATATATATATATATAATCAAGTCGAAGTTAGAAAAGTACAAAACTGAAAGCCATTATAAATATAACAACATTTGTTGTAATCTCATTATTATAACGATATATTTAATAAATTGAGGTAATTAACCTCATCACAATCCTGCACGATTGACGAAAATAATTATTCTTGAAAGCTTTTATTAATAATGTAAAGCTACTATATAGTTGCTATAAAATTCATTTTATTGATTTGATAATCACTTATATTTATGATAGCCTTATTATTTAATTATAGCAATATCGATATGCAGTGGAATTAATAAACTAATTATTATACATAAGCGTTTACCTAAAGTAATTATCAAATGACTTATGCACTCAAAAATCTGATCCTTTTCTTATATACATTCCTCTTGCTTTCCTGACTAGTAAAAAACAATACAAATAATAAATTAACATCCATAAATTAGTATGCTCCAAAATATTTAATTATTTTACTTATTTATTTATCGATATATCGATATATTAAATATTGAAAATAAACTATTTAATATATTTTAAATATTGTAGGAATAAACATTTAATATACATATTATTACACAATTATTGAAAACTTTATTAACGGATCGTTGGAAAACTTATTTATTAAATTTATGGAAAATAGATTATTAAAATGACTAATGTAATAAAATGTATTAAATTAAAATAAATTTTTTTTTTAAATAAAAAATTAATTTTATTATATTGATATATGTTTCAATATATTTTAATTGACAAGATAATTAACAAATCGACTACGTCATAAAAACTTTATGCTTAAATATTTTTTATATTATTGTTATTATCCGGTATAATTAATTGACGATATTTTAACAGAAACTTCTAATGTGAAATTTAGGAATTTATAAATATTACAAAATAAAATTAAAATTAGAATTAATTAAAAATTCTTTTTGAAGTCATTTTATTTTAACCAGAATGTTTAATTTATGTCAATCCAGTTACAATCAAATTAAGCAGGCCAGAAAATTTATGTAACATTTTATATTTTTGTTCAGTATTTTTTATAATTTTGTCATTTTGTCAATTTTTATTATATATATAAATGCTTATAAAATTACAAACGTAAATAATTCTTATATAATTCTATTTAAAATATTATTAATGAATTTTTTTATTATTATTAATTTAATAAATTATCACTTCTTAATTAATTGTTAATTAGTTGAAAATTTGTAGTCATCTTCGAATTTTAAATTAATTGTGTATTCATTGTTACTAATAAATATTTCTAATTAAAAACATTAAAAGTAAAATATTTATCAATGATTTTACAACTTTTTATATCAGTAAAACATAAAGTAAATGATACGTGAATGTAAAGATTCAAGACAATGACAGAATAAATAGATTTTTGTTGTTTTATTTATAGTAATTATATTCAATTTTTGTAATAGCTACATTGACAATGACCAATGTTGGAACAGCATCTATAGCAAGTGTAAATAATGGCAGTAACAAGCGAGAATATAAAAATGCATGTGGTGAGGGTCCTTTGATAAAACGTCAACGTCTTGTTTCATCAAATGGAAATTCGTTGAAACCTCTCAATTCCGAAAGATTAAATGAAGCTCAGTTACAGAAAATTTTGCATAGAACAATTTTGTTAACGGAGGGATGGCCTTGTCATCAATTGGAATGTTTACGGACTTCTCTCGAATGGATTTTAGATAGCCAAGAATCTGATATTTATGAACCAATCAATAAATGTCTTAATAATTTTGAACATGGATCTTCTAACTACCTAAACAACGAATTAAAACTTGAACAAACGTAAGTTGATTTATTTGTGTGTAAATATATATGTACTTTTATATGATATATAAATTTATTTATTGAAATTATTAAACATATTTATATAAAAACTTATTTATTAAATAAAAAGTTACCTAAATGAACATTCAATTAAACTATTTAAAGTTTGTATTAATAATAATTTTTTTTATATAAACTCTCATTTGTATGTGTATTAATTATTAACAATACTGAATGTCATTGTGGTTTTTGAAATAATCGATATAGGTTATTATATAGAGGTTTTTAAGTGGTTTGTTTATTTAAAGTTTCTATTGATATGAAGATAAATAAATGAATATATATATATATATACAGTAATGTATAAAAATTGAATTATTTCTCAACTATGCTTAAACGTATGTTTATTTGTAATATTTGATTTATGTCTTGCAATCTATTTTATGTCATGACTTATTCTGGAAATTCTTGATATTTCAGTTATACCATGTAAAACAACATATAAGAATAAATTAATTCTATTTTTTACTATGGTAATATATTACGATTAATATAAAAAAATTATAATTAATTAACTACGAATTCTTCAAATTAGCTTTATAGCTCGTTACATAGCATTGCAAAGATACATTTGTATACAATAATAAAATTAGACAGACAAAATTTATATATAATTTTAAGGATTCCTTTCGATTGTTATGAATCTACATCAAATGATTTGGCTTTTATATTTTCTTATTGTTTTTCTTTTTTTATTAGGTTTTTCCAGTCCCTTAAAAAAAAATCGTACAATTCCATATAATATAATCTTAAAAACATGCTTAGTAATACGGGTACTTTTTACTTTCAAAGTACAATTTGCTCTTATTTAATTAAATGAAGCTGCGATATTACATATACATTACTGTTTCGATTAATTTGTTTTTATATTGTAGCGTTTTATAATAAGAGATAATTTTTTTTATAATAAGAGATAACAAGAGACAAAAATATTCACATATCTTTAAAAATTATTTAGAAAATTATTAGAAATACAGTGAATTATAAGCATTTTTTTATATTTGTTGCTACTTAATTATCTTAACAATTTACGAAATATATTTGTAAAGTTTTATTAGAAAATGTAAGTTTTTTCCATTTTCAAAAGATGAAAAATTGTAAACATGAATTTTGTTACACTAATTTGTCTTGTTATATTCCAATTAAAAAAATAATTAATTTTTAATAATTATTAAAAAACTATTTTTTAAAACATGCTGTCTTCTATAACTATATTAAATTATACTTACATATTTATCTAGAGTAAGCAATTATTTAGCATATTAAAAAAATATTACATACATTATGTTTATTAAAGTACTTATTAAATAAAATAGAACATTGAAAAAACATATATTGTACTATATGCCATATTTGAATTGGTTAGAAAATTGTCAATTTCATTAAATAAAGTGTACTGAAAATAATAAATATTAATCAAAATTCTATTACAGTGAAACGATTATTTTATAACAAGTATACGAATTGGAGACGTCAATTTCCATTTTGAATAAAACTGTAATTTGGTTCTACATAGAAATGTTGTATAGGATTTTTAATACTATACATTTATAATTTTATATCCATAAAAGTAAGGAATTTTTCAGCGTTCAAATAATAAATTGGAATAAATGAAATAATGTATGTTTAATATATTTTACAAAATTTCAATTGTTACCAAATTAAATATAAGTGATATGTAATAAATATTTATATAGAATAAAAAACATCGTTCTATTTATTAAATATTATTAGCAATAATAAAATATATTAAGATTAAAAAATATATAAAGATTATGAATATTAAATCTATTATGTTTCTTTTCTATTTTACACAAATCATCTATACATATTTCAAATAGTATAAATGCACTTTTAAATACTGAGTTTTTTTTAAATTGTAATCTATTAGAGCTTTGCCTACGTCTACATTTGCAAGTTGATGCAGATTTTAATTTAGATGTAAACTAAAAACATCATTGCTAGAGGTAGCAATAAATTATTCTTATAAATTATTTTTTCATTCCTTATACTATTCAAAGTTTGTAAACAGCATTGAGGCGTAGATGCGCGTGATTACTTAAATATTAAGTTTTATTTATTAATGAAGCACATACAACAGGGATGAACTATAATGACATAATCGGAACATTATAAAGGTCATAGAAACTGTAAAAATAATACGCTCCATAAAAGCATATAATATGGTAGTATGTAAAAAATAGTATAGAAATTTTAAAAACAAATATTTGAAGCCAGTAGTAAGCAATCTGAAAAGTATTCAAAAATTAAGTAAAAATATGCGTGTCTTCACAAAATTATTATGATTATGATAATCTTGAAATTACTTTGATAATATATCGAAAAAAAATGTGAATATACATAACATATAGAATATTTCTGAAAATATTTATTATACGATAGAAACATAATAGAATTTTACTATTAAATCTACTTAACTAAAAGAGTAAGTAAGATAAACATTTAATTATTATATATAGATTAGCCAAAGATATGAAAACCCAAATTATGTATACATATTCCAGCTTTTCAATTAATGATAATGAAACTGTATCACATTAAAAATTAGCTATATTTCTCAATAAAAATGAAGAACTTTGTTTACAATAAAAGTCGTTAAGCTTTCTAATACCATTACATGGATACCCATATAACTTTCTTTTCTATTGTGAAATAATCAATTTACAATAGAGTCATCTATTGCGTTGGTGTATGCATGCGTAACATCGCGCGCGTTGTATCGAATAATCTAGTTGCACAAAGCATTGGTTGCTACGATATTGATTAAAAGTCTCATTCAATATTGGTCTATTTATATAATTGTAGAATAAAAGGTAATTATTAAGCATACTTAAAATAATAGCAAAGTTATTATTGTTTAAATAGCTATTTGAACAAATTCCAAAGTAAGCCAAATTTAATTAATCTTTTGAAAAATCTCTATAAATATGATATAACTTAAAATAGTGCTCAGTCTATTTCTTTGTATTAATATATACAATACTGTTCGAGATTGGAGCAACTGAATAAATAAGTAATTAAAATTTGAAAATTGATACTTAAAACTTAAAATTGACAACTTGTAGTGGATACTTAAAGTGGGTGCAATTGACACTGAAAAAGTGAAACCTTGAACTTGATACTTGAAATTGGACACTTGAAGTGGATGCAATTAGCACTCAAAAAGTGAAACCAGTGAAACTTAAAAATAACTAAAGAGAAAAAAATGCCAAGATAGCCTATCCGTTAAATATTTAATAAATGCGCCATTCGCTTCCATTTGTCAGCAATCCTACCACCGAACATCACTGGGAGTTTTTAGTCTAATCCAAGACAATTTGGTCTTTCGAGCGGAATAAGTGGAAGTTTACGCATTCCTTCAATACTAATACAGCAGAAAAGAAGCGCAGCTACACTCATCATACTAAATTGTATTGTAATCGTACGGAAACATGATACTTGAGTCACAATCAAAATAATCTCTTCAATACTGTAAGTACTTCATTGTTGTCCTCTCTCATACTACAAAAATGTTAATCTAAGAAAAAAAGGAGAGCAAGGAATCAGCAACCCCAAACACATCTATGGCTCAAGAGCAATAAAGAGAATACAAGGAATTGGCCTGTCTCCCTGGCATCCCAATCCCCAAATTTTCAGGCAATCATTTAGCCTGGCCTATGTTCAGGGATCGGTTCCAATCTATGATTCTAAAAAGCAGCATATTAAGATATGTACAAAAACTACATTATCTCCGAACATCACTTGAAGGTCCAGCAGCAAGAATTGTAAATCAATTGTTTATTCAACAATAATGCATAATAAGAACTTGACGTATAGCTATATAGCAATTTGTGTTATATATATATATATATAATCAGTGAAGCAATCAGTTACAAATGGTCAATTAACTAATTGTTAAATCTACCTATTCATTTCATATGTTATTATTTACGATAGTGTGTATATTTTATATTTAAGTATCTTAATAGAATTATAATATATTAATTATATTATAATATAATCGCAAATGTGTTGACTGATTGCTGCATCAAAAAATAATATGCAAAATATCAATTCCAATTGAATATGGATATGGAAATCCTCACGTATGCTATATAACTCAGCATGCCTATTATATATAAAAAAAATTATAGTGATAATTTAGAATAGTGAAAAGTCGTGAATCATTTTTGTGGATAAAATAATTGAGCATCAATTAAGTGATCCCCAGTAGTGACGGATAATAAATAATAATAAATTTTAAAAATAAATACAAATTAATACAGGTTGTCTTTGAACTACAATAATATGAAAAAATATGCCCGCTTATACCAAAGTATAAGATATAAATAGGTTCTAGCATCACAAACTCTCTTTTATTTGTTTTATTCTAATAAGGTAGACTTAATTATATCTTCTATTATAGCTTATACCTATATAGACTAAATCTTGGCACAATATAAATAGGGATTATTTAGGTTGATCATATCCAGTTTCTCTTACTGATGGAATCTCCCAGTCATCTTGACTGTTAAGATCACGATTCATGATCTTTTTAATTCTCTTATTTCTAGAGTTACAATATCAATTAGGCCATAATTTTTCTAATTGCAAGTTGTGATCGAAGCTCATCTAAAGTATAACTTGAGCTGTGCTATCTTGTTTATGCACGAAATCCTGTAATTGCAAATTTTGCTACCGTATCTGATAATGTGATCCTAAGATTGTAAATTGTTGAATTATCTGATAACTATGAATATCATTCTTTCGTTATATATAATTATATATTACTGTAACGGTGCTCTATCAAGAAGTAATAAAAACGTTCATAAGCATAACACTGAATATAAATTAATTAAAAGTGTATAAAATGTTATCGATTTTTGCCACAGAATGATTTTAGCTGAATTTATTCATCTATATATTTAATTTTTCATAAATTGAATTTATAATGTAATTCGTTCAGACATAAGGATTTGACATAAGGTTACGTCTAGGTGAATTATATAAAATATTAAAATATAAAATAAGCTAATATATAATTAACTTATATTACGGAGAGTCTCAAAAACTGCAAAATAATTTACTTTAATATATCGGATAAGAAATATAATTAAAAGTCAATTATATCAAATCTTCCAGATGATATTTAAAGCAATTATTTAGCGAAGTGACTATGAATTCATTGTACATTATATATATACATATATTTTACAAATATATTTATTTCTACAATTTAAAATTCTGCAGAAATCTTACGGAGACATTTTTTATCCTTAAAATTAATTTTAGTTATACCTTTTCAATTTATTTTTAATATAATATAAATATATTTTCGAGCATATTAAAATTTCAATAAATATTTTTATTTTTAAAATTCATTGATGTTTCGTATTTATTATGACTTATTATATTAAACTATTCAATCATAATATATAACAATATGTTTCTTACAAAAGATACTAAGAAAAATTAGTACTGTGTAATAATCTTTATTAAGAAAATAGAAGGAATTTTCAATAAATGTAAAAATAACCGATTCGAATAAAGTAATATATGTATCATTTATTATTAAGAATGAAGTTATTTCATGTTTTTAAGTATATAATTTATTGTTAGTTTAAATAGTTTTAATGTACTATCGCATCTATTATTCAGTTAAATAATAATATCCTAGAAGTTATTTGATGTCCTTTGAAGTAAATTATAAGATTTATCTTTTATTTTAAGTTAAATTAACATATACCAAATATTTCAAGAATTTATTATTGTCTTATTCTCTATGTCACTAAGGAATGCGTTTAAATGAATAGAAATAAGACAAAATTTATTATTGATAATATTTCAAAATGGAAAGAATTTTTATTTTCTGTACTTAAAAATAAATATCAATTTATCTTTATGCTTAAGATTAATCTCAAAATTTCTAATACTTGTAATCAAACAATTTCAGTTTCATTTTGAATAATTAGAAATATAATTTATATAATAAAATATTTTTCATTTGTTTAATATATTTCTTAATTCTAATTAAAATAAAAATTTATTTGAATGTTATTAATTAAGTAATAGCTATATAATAAAATTAGTCCATTAATATTTCATATTATATTTAAGTGGAATAATGACAAATAAGTATTTTCATTAGTCAAATCTAACAAATATTGATGTATGTCACTTTTTTGTGTTAACTGTATGAATAGGTAATATTATATACAATATACTCATACCATATTTTATGAGCAATTATTTCACACTTTAGTAAAAAAAGGAAGTAAAATAGTTAGTTGAATTAAAACGCGCATTATATAATAATAATAAAATTTATGCAAGTGATAGAATATGTATTAAATATATAGTATTTGTATAAATTTTATTAAAATTTTATTAATTAAAAATTTATGATTTATAATATAATTTTCTTAACTGCTTCTTAAAATTATTGCATAAAATATTAAATTAGTAATTATAATCTATTTCAATATTGAATAGTAAACAAAATTAATAATACACGAATTAAATTATTCAATTAAAATAGTTTTAAGAATTTCGACATTACTTTTTAAAGAATGATTGCATTATATTCGTATATATGTATATGTATATATATATATATATATATATATATATATATATATATATTTACATTCGTGTACTGTGCATATTGATTATAATTACATCGAATGCTTTCAAAGAACTATTTTTTAATATGCAATATTCAGACTGTCAAATAATTCACAATTAAAAAGAGTTTAATATATAACCAGAAATATTATTTATCCATTTAGTATAGTTACTTTATGCTACACTAATATATTTCATTATATTTAAAAATATTCTTTTGCATACAATAGATGATTTTTTGTTAATTTTGCACTACTGCTTAACTCGTTTCTACTCAATTTCTTACATTTTTCAAACATTTTTTCAAATTTGAAAGAAATATAGATGGGACAACCAATCGCCATGTCAGATTACTGCGCACAATCCAGAAAATCCCAACTTTTCAGCTCCTGGCTCTTAGTAGTGCTGAAAGTATGGTATAGTGATTACAATTCTGTCAGATTTATTTGTGATGTCTTCGCAAGTTTTCTGGCAAGTTATTTGTCTTAAATACAGACGATATTGATTGGCGAAATAAAAGTATATAAACATCGTTACCATTCTTGAACATAGGTAAGTTGTTGATTTAATAATTTATCGCAATTTTGTTTGTTCATATACCGAGCTGGATACTCCCTAGAGATTATAGGTACTAAAAAGATAAAAGAACAAAAATGAGTGTAATGTATATGCGGAATCGCGTGCATATGGCTTTAAGTTTGTGTGCATACGTATGGATGAGTATTATGTACAATTATCTAATTAATTTAATTATGCTTCGTCAAATACCTAATGCATAATGTGCAATCAACAGAATCCAAAAATGTAAATATACCTGTTAGCCATAGATTGAACAGCAAAAACATTATATATAACTCAAATTTCTAATTAATTTTACTGTTATCAACTGCTTTATTGAAAGTTAAATGTTGTTCTTCAAACAAAGTCTTTCTTTTATTATTAATTTAATAATTTATTTATAATAATAAGATAAAATAAAAATGTGAATAACTATAAAATTTTGCTAAAGATTTGTTATATTACTTCAGAATATTGCAGAAATATAAACATGAATCAGTTAATGTATGGGTTGGTATTATTTGATACTCTAGTCGATTGAGTATTTAAATTGTAAATTAGGTTAGATAAATAAAAGTGTCATTATAGAGATACATATAAGGGTTCGATAAAATGTGTATACAGATTCGTATGAACTATTACTAATTCATATTTATATGACTTTACTTATATGGTTAGCTATTTTTATGAAAATTATTACAGATAATAGCAATATTTAATAGCAAAGCAATTACCTAGTAATAATGATTATCGAATTAATAAGTTTACCACGACAAATAGAAAAACTAGAATCTATAATTTTTTATAACAAATAATTAAATCAATAAGCAGCTTCTGTTTATAAACAGTGTATTATATTTAATTGATAAATACAATTAATATAACGAATTTATTGATATTTTTAATTAAAACAGCTACCGTACACAAAGAAATTATAATTAATTAGATATTTTTTAGTTTTTAAAAGATTTTCTATTCTATTGTATGTAGCATAAAAAGCAGATTTAATTATACGATAATATTTTAAATTTGAATTATTTTTAATATTTGATTTAATATTCTGAGATATTTTATAATATCTTATTATAAAAAAATATTTTATATAATTGTTACTCTAATTTAATTGATTTAAATAATTATAACAATAAATTATGATTATAAAATATTTTAAATAAGTTGGTATAAACTTTTTAATATGATTTTATGATTTATGATTTATTATGATTTTTAATATGATAAAGTGTATTGTATAGATTAAACTTCCAAAATTATTTGATTGATTAATTGATTTTATAAAAAATAATTTCACTATGGTGTCTAGTAAACTTCATTTACTCTTAAATACATTATACATTATACTTTATGGATAATATAGTAGTTACTTTTGAGTAAATAATTTTGTATAAAAATTATATTTTTTTCGATAAAGGATAATACAGTATAAATCCGTAAAAAAATTAAAACTGAAAATTTTTGTGATATAGTAGAAAAACAGTTGTCTGAAAAATTAATATAACACCACGTTCAAAAGGAGAGCGAATATTATTTGGATTGCTAATTAAATTAAACGGAAATCTTTAATTATTTGTACTCTATACGAGAATAATTATTATTTTGTACTTGTAAAGCTATTAAGTTTGTATTATATAATTTTATTATGCTGTTACCAAAATCATTTTGAAAACTATAGCCAAAATATATCTTAGTAATATATAAGTATCAAAAAGAAAATTAAACCTATTAGGAAAGGAATAAGTGATTTACGATATCGTTAAATATTTAAATAGTAAAAAAACTACTAAACTTCAAGTTCAATATATGAAAAGAATTATTAAGAATCATTTAAAATATTAACAATATTCGAAAAAGAGCGAATTCATTTACTGTAAAAATTAATAACAGTATTAATTGTAAATTAAATTATTACAATTATTGTATAAAGACATAGAATAATTTTAAAAAATTAAAAAAAAACTTTTTAAAATGCCTTCGGAATTAACTGAAAAAATCCTACAATTGTTTTCCCAACTCCTTTAATTTTTATCGCGTATAATAAAAAGATGATTTCACCTACTTTGAAGTTATATTTCGTAGAATTCAATATAATACCGCACTTATTAAAATTTCCAATGTGCGGTAATATAACCGTACGATTGAGTGCACAATAATCTCTGCATGGTCGCAACGATCCATCTTTCTTTGGAATCACGTATAACACCGATGAACGTGGACTCTTGGAACGCCGAGAAATCCACAGCTGAATCATTAATTCAAACTCTTTGATCTTCTTAAGTCGATCAGGTGTCAGATGGCGAGGCTTACTATAGACGAACCGACCAGGTATTATTTCTATATTATGCTTTATTATATTATATTATTTTATATGTTATACTTTTATATGATGTTTGATACTTGTTCTTTCGAGCATCGGCAATGGTTAATGGTAGAATTATTCTAATCATCGAATTTTTTACTATAGTTTTAACTGAATTTCACGAATATTAGCAGTATGTTCTATGATCCATTGATTAATCTTTAATTTTATATACTGCAGGCCTCGTAGCAATCTCAGTAATAATATAAAAATCTAAATTTAATAATATACATGACATTTATGACAAAGTTTTAATTTAATTTTTTTTACTAACCTCAGTGTTTTATCTTCAAAATAAAGTAATATAAATTATCACCACTACAATCCGTAAATTACATTTATAAACAAGATAATTGTTCCCCATCCTTTATTTACACGACGAAACCGTTTTAATAATTTTGTTCTAGATCATATTTGATAACTTTAAATCATTCTTATTAATTTGCGATATCTTGTTCTACCTACCACTACTGCAATTAGGCTGTATTGAATTTAAATACCTTTACTTTCTAGGTAATACAGTAATTTTTATACACAATTAGATCGCCTTTTTTTCATGTTTCTCCAGATTTATTATCCAGAGTAACCATATATCATTGTATCATTAATATTAAAAAATAACTACTTTTAATCAGTGACGTGCTTGAACGAGATAAATCGGATAGGGTTCCAATTCAAAAGTGCTCCAAGTGGTCCAAAATTTATGATAATTAATATTAGTCAATAACTTTATATTATTTCTTAGCTGAATTGCTAAATACTGTCAACGATTTGTCCAATACTTTGTCAGTGTAGATGTGCCATCTTCATATTAAATAGAATATCGTCATTGATAATGTCCATACATCGTTTATCTAAAAGTATAAATACTTTTAGATGTATTTATTGGTTCTTATTGCATATAGAGTATTGCCTTTTTCCTTCTTTTCTAGAAAGAAAATTCCTCTTTGTTATGCTCAAATTACTAATATAATTGTTTATTATATGTTTTGATACAATTAGGTTGAATGATTCTTCACAATTACATTTACCGACCACTCATACTCGTAGGCTTCCTTCTTTTTCTTTCCAACTATGATTACACTTTCTAGTTCGATTCTGTCGAATTTTAGGGGACGATTATAAACTATTTTTAATCTTTGCGTATTTCTTCTCTTTGGTAATAAGTATTAGAAAATTCGGTAACTTGCAATATATTCATTGTGATTGATTTTCTTACCGCTTCATTATTATAACAATTTTAGAATCTCACGGTTTATGTTATGATATATAATAATAAAACATTTTTCATTTTAATTGATTTAAATTTTTTATAATTTATTAACTACAATTAATAAAGATAATTAAATATTTAAAATAAGATAATTAAATAACATGATTTAAATTTCAAATAATTATTAATAATGTTTTGTTTATATATTTTATTTATTATTAAACTGTTCTAGATATTTCAAGAAAAAATATTAATATATTTTGCGTAGTGTACTGAAAATTCAACTTTTATGTATTTACAACAATATTTTTAAACGAAATAAATACTATTAATTCGGTTTCGTGATTAATTTTGGCGTTTGTTATGTCCTACTTTATTAAAGTACACAATTGTTGTAAAAAACAAGAGTGTGTGTGTTCACTACTACAATTCTGTATACGTATACATTCAACAAAAGTACATCTCGATTAGAAATTCACTTTTCGTATGATATATGCTGCTTAAGCAAATTCAATGTACATAATTTAATTTTAATTATTACCTTAAGTGAAGTAAATTTATAGTGACTTAATTAATTCCTATATAGTTTAAAAGTAATAAACTGAAACAACAAAAGTTTTATTAAATTTATTGTCCAATTTATGTTATAACTAATTTCGATTTATAACTAATATGTTATAACTAATATTGTAGTATTAACCACATTATATACACTCGTAACATCGTATTTTATGTTTTTAGCATTGCAAACTTCATCTTGTGTTTTTTCTTTTTGTATTTCAAGCTAGCTCAAATTAATATTAAAATCTTATCGCATTTTATTAATATTATTTCTATTGCTTTTATTATTAATTTATAAAAAGATTTATTTCTTTTATTTATATTAATTATATGTTTTAAATATTGTGATGTATTTCATATCTTTCGTTTTATAAAATTAATTATTTATTAGATTTTTATTTCATTAATAATGTACTTATTTATTCATAATACTTTAATGCTAAAAAATTGTACACTTAAATAGAGTTAAACATATTATGATAAATATATATACTTTAGTCGTTGAGTTTGATTTTATATTGAAGCACAAATAAAAAATTTAATAATTTATTGCTTTATTATAATTATGTTACAAATGAAATAAACTTACCCTTTATTGTATATATATACAAATAATTAATAAAATCGATCGTTTAGCAATACGTAGATCTACAAATATTAATTGAATATAAATATTCATTATTTGTATTGTTATTTTGAAGTATTAAAATTAACTGTTGTAACTTTAAGATTCCAAGTATTTTTCTTTATTTAATATAGTTTTTATGGTGGTAATTTAAATAAACGAATATATGATTAATAAATTTTTTTAAATTTGGTTGCTCTTTGGTTTGTAAGTGAATTTTCTAATAGAAATCCTCCAAAATTGCTTTAGAGGACTAGGATTAAAGTAATACAATTATAATTGTTACAGTAATAATAAAAATACAGTAAATATGAGGATATATCTAGATTCTGTATAATAACAATGTTGTGATTATTGATAGCGTAGTTGCATAAATTCTAATATTTAATTAGCATACCTAATTTGTAATTAAATTTTTAGATTTGTTTTACTGCTGTTTCAGCAGCATTTAACTTTAAAGCACCATGATATATTTCTTGTTGCATCATCTGTTTTTCAGCTTTATTATCCAAAGTTAAATAAAACTACTTATATCATCATCGTTTGCACTATTCTTGAATAACCATTATATCATCCGTGATGTATCAGAATTATCAAAGATATCTTGTCGCTCTTAGATACTATAATATATTAAACTTCAATTTTTTGAATTCATTTTATTGAATGGTTGCGTTTCGTTTATTCTCATTTATTTATTTGATTTTTTACATATTTTATCATCGAGAAACAAAAATTTCTGTTAGGTTTTTGAGTGAATTACATAATTTCAATCCAATATGATATCGATTATTGTCTACTATCTGTTTCTTCTTTTTAGAAAGACACATAATGTAATACTAAATAACACAACACGATTTAGGTTTCTAAGATTATTGAAATTAATACTTTTTATATGAAACTACGATAATAATTAATTAGAATAATAAATAGTATAAGTTATAGATTGCACTTAAATGAGTGTGAGTATACACGAGTTTATACGAAGATGTTTTTGAAACATAGTTTTAATATAATACTAGCTGGTATATATTGAAGTGTGACTGGGGCAGTACTTTATGCGACTATTTTACTTTTCTTAGAGTTGAAATGGCTGAAGACGCGGTGAGTGGTAGTGGAGCCGGGTCAACCAGCAGTTGCAGTGGAAGTAACAACGGTGGAAGTATCAGTGGCGAAACAAGCCGACTGCAATTACTTCAAGAAATGAGAAAGCAAAATTTTGATAGCATCCGATTTGCTTCTTATCGTACCGCTTGCAAAATGAGATTTATTCAGAAAAAAGTAAATCGTAAGTTCATGCACACATATATATGGTTACTAGATGGTCATTTCTAGTGCGCAATAATATTTTAGTCTAATTTTAAGTTGAATATTTGACTATTTGATTTTTTGGTTTCACTTTTCAATAATTTGACATATAATTTAAAGTATAAAAAATACAGTAGGATTAATTCTGATCCTAATTTAACAAAACAAATATTGACTTTTTTCAATATGTATTTTCATTATTTTTAATTAATATGTAAATTTATATTAAAAAAAACCCGAATCATAATAATTAAAATGTTGGTTTATCTTAAATTGTTCTTTACACTAAATATATATGAAATTTACATTAATTATCAAATTTAAGTGTAATGTCAATGGCTATAATTTATTCAATTATAAGAAATATTAACTTTATGATAATTAATTTCGTGATTTGTTTCTTTAATGGTTAAATTTGGTATACTAAATCTTATTTTTAGTAAAATCTTATTTTTATTAAAATAAATGCAATTAAATGTCAACAATATTAGAAATGAAAAAATTACTACACAAAATTCTGTTATTAATGTAAGTAATAAATTATATAAAAAAATTACAATATGGTTAATTTTTATGTATAGTTCATAACGTTGACATATGGAACGTAATTGAAGCATTTCGTGAAAATAGTTTAAATACACTGGAGCCATCAAGTACACTTAGTGTCTCAAGGCTTGAGACCTTGTTGTCTTCATTGTTTCATGCACTCAATAAAAGAATGCCAATATCGCAACAAGCTAAAGTTGATGCCACAACTGCATTACTCATGAATTGGCTATTAGCTGCTTATACAAGTGGGTAAGTAGTAGAATTCAACAAATATTTTCTAATAACTTACTACATCTTTGATTTTAATAGATTTTATTTTATGAATTTTATTTATTTTTTTCTATAGGGATAACAACAAAATTTCAGTATTTTCTGTCAAAGTTGCCTTAGCTACCCTTTGTGCAGGAAAACTAATGGATAAATTTCGATGTAAATAAAAAATATTATTAAAAATAATTGTTAGTTTTACTTAATGTAATAAAATTTAAATGAATATAAATTGATTATTTAATTTAGATATCTATTCACAAATTTCGGATGGCAATGGTCACATGATTCATTGGAGATTTACTGAATACTTAAAAGAGGTTTTAGCACTGCCTGCTGCTCTTTATGAGTCACCCTCTTTCGGCTATTCCAATGATTTGGGAAACTCTATATTTCCATCTGTGAGTTTAAAATTTATTAAGATTAATATAGAATTTAAATATTCGTTTATATATTGTTACAGAATGCAAAAATAACTGTCAACGATTTTTTGGATACATTAATGTCAGAACCTGGACCTCATTGCTTAATTTGGCTACCATTATATCATAGGATGGCTTCTGTAGAATGTGGTAATATTATTAAAAAGTGTCAATTATGATTTATCAATAATTATTACAATTTAATCAATATTGATTACTCTTTTTTAATATTGATTTATTAACAATTATGGAAATCTCATTTTTCTAATTTATAGGGTGAAGAAAGAGTTTTATAACTCCAAATTTAATTTTATATTTCTTCACATAATTATGTATTTTCAAATAAATAAAATTTTTTATAATCTTTTGGGATACGAAAATATAGTTATTGATTAAACAGTTTATTTAATAAATATAAAGTTGTCGTATAAATTGACTTATTTTTTGTTATTATAAACAATATTTAAATTTAATACCTTGTATGTAAGCAAGCCAGTTTTCATGAATAAATTTAAAGAAAAGATATTAAATTTTTATGTAATTAATCATTTATATCATTGTTATGGCACTCACATTTCATGCAAAACATTTTTATTTTTAAGTAACACATCCCATTGCATGTGATGCCTGCCATAGAGAGAATTTCAATGGATTTAGATATCGATGTCAAAGATGTCATTCATATCAACTTTGTCAGGATTGTTTCTGGAGAGGAAAAGTTTCTGGTACCCATAGTAATGATCATGAAACAAGAGAATATAGTAGTTTTGTATGCAATATTTAAACAGTATTTATGAAGTATTTCATATGTTTAATTTTCGTAATTCATGGTTAAAATAATGTTACAGAAATCACCAAGTAAACAAATAGGACATTCATTGAGGAAAAGTTTTAGATGTGTACCAGATAAGGGAAGAAATAATCTACCAAGATTTCCAGAACAACCAGAAAAAACTTTGGATTTATCTCATATTGTGTAAATTTATATCATTTTATAATTCATATTTGCACTTAGCAAATTTACTATTATAAAATAGTTTTATATTTATAGTCCACCTTCTCCTCTACCATCACATAATGGATTTCCTGATTCTGGATTCATGGGTCCATTTGATTCGGGTTCATTAGATAGTCGTTCAACTTTAAGAAGGTAAACTGTTATAAAACTATATATGATACTAATAAATAAATTTTTTCATTAGCTGTTTAGTTGTATATAATTTTTCTTGATATCATTCTTAATAGTTCTCGACTCGATGATGAGCATAAATTAATTGCTATGTACGCGCAACGATTATCGCAAGAAACCAGAACAGTAGTAAGTTAAAAAAACATGTTACATTTGATTTGCATTTACTACTTATATATGATATATTTTAAATTTTTACATCCTTAGTCCAATAGCTTCATATACAGAAAATCCTAGTCAATAATTACATAGTGACTTATTTTGCAATTAATTTAATTATATTATTCCACTTAATTTAAAGCCTAGAACTTCATCTAGGCTATCACAGGTTAATCAAACTGTAAGTATATTTATATTTTATTTAAATTCATAATGAATATTTGTTATAAATGATTAATATAATTATATTTTTATATTTTCAACAGAGTAGAACACCGTCAGATGCTAACTTAACATCATTAGATGCATCAAGAGCACAACGAGAACTCATATCACAACTTGAAGCAAAAAATAAAGAGATAATGCGAGAAATTGCAAGGTTAAGGTATACCAGTGTCGTTTGATTTCCTTCATATCAACCTTAACCTCATTTTCATCCTTTCAGACCATCCTAGAATCAAGCATGTTTCAAATATATTTCCATTTAGTTTCGATTTTCTTAGTTGTATATTTTTAAATAATTATACATTAATTAACTAAATTGTGTAAATTATCTGTTTATCAATTTTATCACATTTTATATATTCATTTTTTTAAATTTGATATAACTTTAAAAAATATAAATATGCATTTAACTGAATTTGATATTGATAAACATTTTTCAGTATATAAAAAATGAAAGAAAATTTTAATATATTATTTTATATTTGTTCTTTTATTTTTAAAAAATTTTAAAGTGATTTTAAATTAAACTTTAAATTCATTTTAAAGTGAATGTTGATCATACATCAGTAGTACTTTAAATTTAATTTACTCAAATACATAATTGTTTTGAAAATATTAAACAAAAATTTATTAGTATTATTTATTCTAGGAGACAACAAGAAATTGAAGCAGCAGGTTTAGAGAATCCAGCCCTCATGTCAGAATTACGAGCTTTACGGCAACGAAAAGATGAATTAGAAAATCATTTGGCAACATTACAAGATTCCAGAAGACAATTAATGGTACAACTTGAAGGACTGATGAAAATGTTAAAGGTTTGATTATGCTAATTTTAAATTTCATGCTTTTTACAATGTTGATTATGATTTCATAATATTTAATAGTATAACCTAGTCTTTATTTTTTATTATTTTATAACAAATGATTAAGTAATTACACATTTCTTTATGACATTAAATTATTGTTATAACTTCCTCTGTAATACAATGTATTAATTTAAATTGCTCAAAACAATAGTTGCATGTCTATTAATATTTACTATTTTATTTTTTTCATTATTTCTGTATTAATTGTAATATAAATAATAAATTAATTATTTATATCTATCAGTAATATATACTCTTTAGTATTAAACTGTTTGAAGTATTAATATTTTCTTTCATAATATATATACATTAATGTACAAGAAGCTTTGAAAACTCTTTTTATCAAATCATATGTTTTAAATTTCAGGAAATATAATCTAGAAATTATGTTATATAACTACTTTTTATTTAAAATTTTATAACCCTGTACTAAGTTTATGTCTAATTTTTATTTTTCATTTAAATTATCTCTTTAATTTATAATTGTTAAAATTGAAATTCATTACATATACATTGAAATTCATGTAAATTATATCAATATGGATCAAAATACCAAAATATTTTATTTTTAAATCCTGAAAATAATTCTATTGAAAAACGAATATGTAGGTTTATTGTTAATTTTATCTTCTACCTTTTATTATTCTAAAGTATTTCTTATTTCTTTATGCTATATATCTATGATTAGACTAATTGTAATTTAATACAATTATGATTAAATAAGAAAAGAAATAATTTTGATTTAACAATTTTAATTATTCTATCTTTATTGCGTGTTCTTTACATATTTCACATATTAGTGTATACAAAGTGATAATTCAAAATTTATCTCATTTGAAGCACAATAAAATGCCAGCAATGATTATAACTGTCTGAAGTTTAACTACTTACACTTCCTAATGGAATGGCAGAAAATCTTTGACCCTGTATAAAATTGACTGACTTATTATAAAATACATTTTTTATTATTAATTCAATATTTCATGAAATATTAAAATATTGTTATTTGTACAATATTTATTAAGATTAGATTATAATGCAATGTTAAATGTGCTCCATATAGTTATTATAAAAAGCATTTTATAGTCTGAATATAATTTCTATAAGGAATAATTTTCAACTAAAACTTTTCTATTTTATTACAAGCAATAAATTTATCTATTTGTTTGATTGTCAATTGTCTTTTGAGCTGTAATGTAAAATATCAGTGCAAAAATTTGATTTGACATCAGAATGGTATATACATTCCTTAATAATACTAATTTTCTACACTTATTGTGATATATAAAATAATACTTTATAACAATAATTATCATAATTTGTAATTTTTAAAAGTTATCTAACAATACATCATTGCATATTTTTCCATTTGCTATGTAAACAGATATGGTGGCAATATTTGCCACTAGTACGTATAATATGATTATTAATTTTAAAGTTAGCATTAAAGAAATGTATAGTCAATTGTTATTAATTTCATATGTTAATTTATTTATTAATCTTATGTGAATTCGTATTATTACTTAAAAATAATTTAAAGAATTTTTTCAATTTTATTCTCTAGAAGTCACAGTAATATGATCTATAGCATTACTTTAAACAAAAATTGTAATTATTTACAAGTTTCAAAGCATTTATTTCTTATTTATAAATATAAGTATTTGTATTACTGTTATTTAAATACATAACAATACATAAAATCATTGTATATAATAGATAAATATATTATTATACATAATATTTATATTATAACTATATTATTTTCATATTTCATTTTTATCCAAATGATTATTATTATATTGAAATATCACAAATAGATAAAAATTAAATGTTTAGGTTTCCATCATAATGTTATTAGAAGATTTATATAAAATAACTTTGTTGATATTAGATATTAATATTAATAGTTAATATTATAATTTTATATTAAAGTGCAAATTATGAAATAAACATAAGATCAAGATAAAAATCAAATGTTTTTCGAGTGTTTAGAATGTTTTCATATTTTATGCATCAGTAAGAAAATATACAGCAATAAATTTGTTTTAATCACATTAAAGAATTTCTACTGTTTTAAGCACACAATTAATATTCATTTAATTTTTAAAAATTAAATGAAATAATATTAACTTAAATTTTTATTCTATACTTTGTTTTAGATTAAATTAAAAACAAAATTTTCACAGATACATCAAGCATCACCTCGATCTACTCCAAATAGTTCACCACGTAGTACTAAGTCACCACCATTAATACCAGGTCCTACTTCTAGTAGTAAATCTGCACCAGCAACTCCTGGTGGTTCACTAAGCATTATGCCGAATCATCAGCAACAACATCAGCAAATGCAACAACAAATGTCACGGAGCTATCAAAGTCCAATACCCCCCACTCCAATGAGCGTCAATGTTCAAACAGCAACGAATGCATCAATTCACGGTTCTATCCAAAATACTTCGATGCCAGATAATTTATCCTGTGTCGGAGGCGATGTAAGGTAGGTCAGGGCATGCGAGATATAGATTTCTTAGCGTATGTGCGTTATGTAGTATATAGAATATATCACTATTGGTGTATCGTACTTATTTATGTATATGAATATAAAGTGCAAAATACAGACCATCTTTATACTAAAAGAAAGCTTATGGTAGAAATTCAAGTATTTACTGATATTTAGACCAAAAAAAATTTCTATGAAATCTATAAACATATGTGTATATTTACGTGCGTACATTGTGTAATTGCCTTTTTGCCTGTACGCGCACGTGTATATGTTAAACCTTATGGTGACCGAAATTTTTTAAATCATTATTTAATAGAAAAAAAAAAACTAAAAAAATATACGTTGTTTTTCATTTTTAGTTAAATATTTTAGTACTTTCATTCTTTGACGTAACATACCTTATGGCGACTAATAAATATTAGCTTATAAGATATATTAACATTTACGAAGTATAATTTTAAATATATAAAATTTAAATATATGTTATTTAATAAGCTTAAAAATTATTTTTACTCTGTGACAAACAAATGTTTTACTGAAAATAAATCGTAACAAAAATAATGCTTACCATTATATTATAAAATTCAATTAAACTGATTAAAATGTTTCAATACTGTGTCATTAACTCTTAAAAACTATGTTCGGGTTTGTTGGAAATTGCACTTATCCGGCTTGAAGGACCAAATGTTCGAAAATGTGTTTGATTTTCTGGCTCGAACTGCCAAGTCTTTGAGTTGGGGAAAGGGTTTAAATTGAGGATTACCTCTGTTTGAAATTCCGGCCACCAAGTTGATCAGATTGATTACTTACATTTAGCGTGTAATTCTTGGAAGCTCTAGTAGATTCTCGGAATGGAAGCTGTAGTTTTCGAGAATCTTTCTTTGTTGCTATGCGGACATAGCACATTTACATCGAGAATGTTTGTAACGAATAATTCAAATATTACGCCTTGTCTGGGATCAGACCGAAAATCTCCTGTTGATGTTTGGTGGAGGTGTTGTTGGCAAGTGGAAGGGGCAATGCAATTATTCAATTCTACACGCAGTATTTCTTGGATTTCATTTATTAAATACAATAATATAATAAATAGTTAATGGTCATAAAGTGTTTGAGTGATGGTGTGAGCGAATAATTTGGGAAAGTTTCTTCAATTGGTTTACGTGCTGAGGAGAGTGTGTGTACTCTCCGTGATGTGAGGAGTGACTCCTTCCCTTCCGAAAAGTGCCGCTGTAGTAGTATGCGTGAGAGCCGCCGCTGTCGTACCGAAGCCTTCTGAAGGAGACTGGGTCGCTGCTGCTTTAGTGTCGGTGTGATCCGTTAATATATGTAGTAGTATAATTTCGATAATTTCACTCTCAATTATGTTTTCACTAGCGCCTTATGAGTTTAAGTTTAGTTAACGGATTCTGATAGTGTGGCGTTACTATTGAATGTAGAATAGTGAGCCTATCGTGGTGACTGCGTAATTATTAGTAGCACTGAGCGCTGCTCTTAAATATTCTCGTAGTAGCTTGCGTCGCCGATACGCTCCAGTGTATGTTGCTATGCCAATATTTGTCATGACGTCAATAGGGTATAGCGTTGGAAGGTTCATCGGCATTACTTTTCGAATTTGTAACCGTATATTCGAGTTTCAGCGTAGAAAAATTTTTTGAATTCACTGGTTTGTATTTATAAACATAACTGTCCGGGAGCTTATACCTATCCCACTTTTGTATTCCGCTTTCAACTGCTTCAATCCGTAACACGCGTTAATATTGATATAATGTATCGGAATCATATTATAACAAACAATAAATTTTTTATTGTTGGGTAGTTCAATCCTGAACATACCGCCCGCCATCAGCACTGTAGTTGATGATTCCCCTCGTTCTCTTGAGTGGGTAGTACTGCTAGTTTGTGAATTGCCCTCACCATCGTGGTGGGTGCAGTCTTTAGTGTGACTACTCTGGTGAGACCGTTTCTGCCTGGATGAATTTCAATAACTCTGGTGAGTGGCCACTTGCAAGGGGATAAGCGTTCGTCTGTTACGAGCACCAGTGAGCCCACGTGGATGTTATTTCGTTGGTGGTGCCATTTTGAGATTGCCAGTTGTTGTTGCCAGTACTGTAGCGACTACTGTGACCAGAATTGTTGTACGCATTGTTGTATAAATTTCCAACGGGTTAGTCTTGAAATTGATAAGTCTCTTAGTGATGGTTCTGGGATTGTGATAGCTGAGCTCCCCATTAGGAAGTGTTCGGGTGGTAAAGCAGAGATATCTTCGGGATCATCGCTTATGGATTGTAGTGGCCTTAAGTTGAGGATGGCTTCGATTTAGGTAAGCAGTGTTGTGATTTCTTCATAGATCAGAATCTTTTCTCCGACCGTGCGCCTTAAGTGGAATTTGATGGATTTGACCACTGCTTCCCATTTTCCCCCCACTTGAGGCGCAGCGGGTGGGTTGAATTCCCTTTGGATGTTGTCATTAGCAAGGGTTCTTGCTATTCTTTGATATTGTGTGGAATCGTGTGAAAATAATCTTTTTAATGTTTTTTCTACTCCAGTGAAAGTTGTGCCGCGATCTTGGTACAAGGTGTTGGGAATGCCTCTGCGAGCCGCAAAG